TCCTTTAAGCATCTTAGTGGCCCTTCTCAGGACTTGCTTCAGTAAGTGAGTCTCTGTTGTACTCAGGAGCCCAGAGCTGGTCTTTGTATTCCAGATATGCTGTTGCAAGTTGTGTAGAGCATAAGAGCCAACTCGCTCAAGCTGCATGAGCCAGGTCTTCTGCACCCCTTTCTCTCCGGGGAACTGTATCCCAAAGACTCTTCAAAATAGATTGAACAGGCTAAAGTCTGTTCTTATGAAGTCTATGGTTGTGATCCTGCTCTTGTGTTGCTCCCTGCTTTCAGGTTCCTGAACTTAACGTGCATTGTCACTGCATCCATGGTGCAGTGACGTGATGCTGTGATGAAAGACCCTGAAACTTGATGATGACAACATGAGTGATAATAGCTTCCTGTTGTGGTCTAGTTGACAGCTTGAGCTTTCACTTTGGACTGCTTAGAAGCAAATGCTTCCTGCTTCTTGTCCAACCAAGTTGATAATAATTCTTCTAGTGGAGGAAAAAAATAATTGATACCACAAGTGTTTTGTCTCGGAGTTACTGAGTGATTGCTACTTCTTAAGAGAATTTCTACTCGCCCTTGAATGCTTAAGCTAACTGTGTCAAGTAAGTGCCTATGGAAACGAAATAATACAGTATATTTGTTGTTTGTCTGGACGCAGCATGACTTTGCTAGGCCTCTTCTGTCAACAGTATACTTCTTTACAAAGATGATTAACCCTCAAACCAGAGCAAGCAAGTGTAGACAGATACACAACTCAAAGTAATTTAGAAGTTTTAAAGATTTTACCATGTGTTGCCTTGTAGTTTACTAAGTTCATTTGTTTTCCAAGAGTATACTCAAAGATTTAATTAACAGCAGAATGACTGTGTCTAATGCTACACTAGCTACCATGACCTTTAGTAACACATTTCAGATAGAAGCAAAGGTTTTAGGTCAGACAGCAGTCAAATAACACTTTTGTTGTTCCTATTTCCCCTCAGCAGCAGAGACAGAATAATATTTTTTCCACTCATCAGTGATACCTTTATTTTAACATACAATCTAGAAGAGCTTATGTAGGTGTGGTTATGGTTAATCCATATTGAGTAATTCAGTAAAAGCATTGTGATGGGGAACACACACTCAACATATAAAGCTTCCTTCTCAAATTTAAGCTTATGAATTGCAGTTCAGGACTGTTATGACTTTGAGGGAATATGCTCTGTTTGCATTTCCTCAGCTCTTTTGAACAGAATAAGAGCAGTGCTGTTGAGACAACTGAATAGTGTCCCTCTAATAATGCAGCAAGTATTGCAAGTACTAGGTAATGCTACTTCTGGTTTGAGAACAAATAAACTAAGCATGCTTTTAGTTCCTCTTACGAATCTGCCACAAATCCAAATAAAAGTTGCAATCATGTCATTTAACATGACTGTCTTATCTATTTCAAATTGTCAAGCCATTGGTGATTTCCCACCCTCACCTTTCCCCCTTTTTTCTTTCCCCTTTGGTTTGAGGCAATTATTCCATATTCCGGAGTTGAACATTTTAGGTATTTGCTTTTATTCTCAACAGATTTTTCTGTAAAGGCTGTAATAGCACCATTCGGTCTTTCTTTGTGTCCATTTGCCGCAAGTATTTTTTGTATCTTCATGTTCTGTGCTCGTTTGACTCGCACTTCCTTTGTGGTCCAATTCTAAACTGCTAACTCAGTTTCCAGTGTTACAATGTCTTGAAGCAGTTTGCAGAAAACCTGCCTAAGATTTGCTGATAATGATTGTTTGGTTTGTGTGAACTAGATGGTATCCACGGTTGAGTTAGAAGTTGAAGGCTAAAGGCCTTCTGCCAGCAGAAGCAGATTGTCAGCACAGAGTTTCAAGACCTTTACAAATGACAGCTAATAGCAATGTACAGTTGTTAACCAAAAATATAACTAATAATTTAGCTAAAAAGTTCATCTGAGCCATATCAGGTCTTGTTAATCTCCAGGCAGTAGAAGAGTCAGGCTTATAATTAACACATGTGGTTTCCAACAGGAAATTACTCATCATCTGCTTAACATTGTTTATCATGAATATACTTACCCATGTTTTATACTTTCTTTCTGAATATTAGAACACCTTGGCATAATGGTATATAACAGTAGAAGTGTGAACAGTCATATGCATAGTCTTTGTTACATGCAGATATATTATGAATATATTACTGTAATGCATAGTAATGGTAGGTTGTTCAGAACTATTTATAAAATTAGTGGGATGAGATATTTTTTATTTCTTAATTAATTGCTTACTTGTTCTGAAGTTTTGTTTGGATGTGGGGGAAAATGTACTTCCCAGCAAAAACTTTGGAATTTCAGTATCCTTGAGGTTTTGTTTTAAGAAAATATAGGGAGATAAATGTGGATTGTTAACAGGGCATTTCTGTACCCAAGTTTTTGTGTGTAAAGGATTGTTCAAGCCTAGAACTTGTTGAAGATAATGACTACCATAGTGGAGCACTCAGACAGTGCTGCTACTTTAATGATTGTTGTATGAATGAGGGAGATCTTAGCACCACCAGTAAACCCATTGCTGATCTTTCCTATTTGCTAATTGGAAAAAGCATTTTCTAGGTATCATTGACAAATGAAGGTAGTCTGCCAAATGGTGGGGGTTTTATAACTTTGAAGAAATGAGCCCAGTCTTTGGGGGGATGGAGGTGAAGGGGACGAAGGCTTAATTTGTGGGATTTTTAGATGTGTGCATAAACATGAAGAAATACTTGCAAAAATACAGGTACTGATCCAGTGAAATATTTACAAGATGAAAAAGTGTTTATGATGTTGGCAGACTATAACAAATTTGGAGAGTTTTCAAGGATTTTGACAGGGAGTATTAAGTCTTGGCAAATGGAGTTAGTATCCCTTAAAACAAACAAAAAAAGAGAGAAAAACAATGCTTATCAAGCTGTCTGTGGTAAATGCAAATTGCACTAAGTTTAAAAGGCATAATTAACAGCACAGCTAGATAAAAAGTATTGGAAGCTCAGTTTGGAAGTTTGCAGTAAACTGTTTTCATGTTATTCTGGGTTACATAGGTCTGCCGTGCCATATTGCAGGGAAGCTGGCAAATAATATCTGGAATGCAGTTAAAAGTGTGACCCTGGAATGCAGTTAAAAGTGTGACCTTGCAGGTGTATGAGATGTTTCTTCTTTCTCTTCCTAACAGCAAATAACAAGTACTGTTTTCAGTTTGGGTCAATGTGGTTTGCTCGTGGTATGGACTGAGAGAGCCCAGAAGATACTTTTATCGGGACTTGTAAAGTTAGGGTGAAAGTCCGTAAACGGTAATTTGGTCTACAGGAAAAAACTGAGTGGCTACAGAACAGAACACAAACTGTTCTTCAGCAGAAGAAGAATTAGCTCCATTAAACTCTAATAAAGAAGAAAAACTTGTCCAACGAAAGAAAAACTAAATAGTGAATCAGACTATGAAGTTTCATTATAGAAATTTGGAAAGTAAAGTTTGTATGAAATTTCTTTCCTGTGGTTCTTAAATAGGTTGTATACTGTTATATATTGAAACTTTACTGTTGAAGGAACCTTGAGCAGTCATCTAGGTTCTTTTTATAAGCTTTTAATTTACCGGGAAGCATGGAGGAATTCCCCCTCACTGAATCACTTCTCTTAACTTGAGGATAATGGTGTTTGTTCCTTACAAGAAAAGTGGTGAGCTAGTTTGCTTCTGCAGGAAGTGTCTTGAGGAACATACCTTCCTCTCTATTGGTGAAGAGGGGAAAAGTTGTGAAATTTCTAGCAGGCAGCTTTCTTGTAATTCTTTGCAGGAGTTGTTTGTTTGTCCCTGTTTTCTGACTGGTGGCTGTTGGTCAGGCTTCAGCTTTTCCAGCTTTTAACTTATGGACCATGAGACTTGTATACTCTTGCAGTCTGAACGCTGTACAGGAGAGCAAGTATTATGCTTTTAATGCCTAACATTTTTTATTTAGAACAAAGTTGTTTGAATAGAATATTAAGAATCTTCTGATTCTGTCTGTTACCTGAAAACGCAAATTCTCCTGTGACTTTCAGATTTCATAGTTTTATTTTTCCAGCTAATCTGAACTGTAAACTATTTGAGTAATGTTTAAGTGGCACAGAGGAATGTTAGTAGCTGTTACTTGTAGTCCTATATAGGATGAGCTATATGCTGCACAGATAATACATGCCTCTTTTTTTTTGTGTTTGGAGGGCTTATAATCTGAACAGACCAGAGAAAAAAAATGTTAAAAAGCATGCATCTCAAACACAGTGATCTCAATGATGGTGACAAAGAATTGCATTGTGTGTATGGTGTCTTTTTTTTATATGTCTTTTTTTTCTGGGTAGTAAAATGGAGAAGAAGAATGTGGTAGGAATGAGGTGTGGGCAGGAGAGGATTAGAGGATCATAGAGGAATGTGTGTTAGCTAGATCTGTAATGTAAAGGGATGGAAATTAAGTCTATATACTGAGGGTGGGAAAAGTCTAGACAAAAAATAAAAAAGTTGCAGTTCCTTCCATCAAGTGAATTTTCTGCCAAATGATACATTTCTAAAGCTTTGTTTTTTGTCTTGGAAGGCTTAAATCTTTGTGTGGCAAAGACTTCACAAAGCATAAATGTTCTATACTAACAGGTTATGTTGCTGAGATTTGTCAGTAACTCTTGCTTCAAGTATTGATGTGGTGCTAATGGACTTGTAATAGAAACAGTAGGGTAAAACTGTAGAAAATATAGGGACTTTTTTCGGTCCTAGCATATATTCTGCTTAAATTGATGAGAATAAAGGCCCATAATTCAGTGGAACATTAGGAAAGCATAATTTTGAGTGTTTTATGTGCTGATTTATACTCTGAATTTCTGCCAGTGATTGTTCCCCTTGCTTAGGAAAAAAAATTTTATACTACTTCAGACTTTCTTTCCTCTCTGTTTGTGCTGTTTACCATGGGGTACAGAAGGGAATTTAATTCTTTTGTTCTCACTGCTTTTCCATTCTTTTTCAGAAGTAAGAAACTTTTTAGCAAGAAAAAATTGAAAAGAAAACAGAAGACTAAATTGAAAGTAAAAACACGCAACAAGGTAAGTCTGTAACTAAATTGACAAAGTTCTGACTCAAGTGACAGTAACTTGAATTGAGAAAAATACAAGAAAACATAAATGTAACTCATAATTTGTTTGTTTAGAGGAGTTAATAATAGGCCACTATTGTCTGTTTACTGTATTCTACATAACTGTGATACCAATGTTAACCTTATTCAACTGCTTTTGTTACTAATGTTCAGTATGAAATAATATGAACAGCATTTTTGGTTCTCCAGTTCCTAAACTCTGTGTTGCTAAACATGTTGGTGTCAAAGTTAAATTTTGAGATTTGTGTCTAACCAACAGTTAGAGACTACTGCTGCAAAGATTCATCCATTATGGCTAAAGGAGAAAGGGAACATTGAATGTCTAAGGACTCTAAAGTTACCTCTGAAAATTCCTCCATAGTGGAAAATAAAATAGATCATATTTATGTGTTTCTATTAATATTTTCTCCCTGTGTAGCCCCTACCTTCATCACTTTAAATGCATGGGAACAGTACAGTGAACTTCATAAAAATATTTACTTGTTGCAGAGACTAAATTTATGCAGAAGTAACAGTATTTTAAAATACAGCTCTGCTGTGTTCTTTCTCTACTAGAGAGCTGTTATTTCTCTATTTAAGCTAGAGTCTTGGAGGGATTTTCATGAAGGCTTGCTGCAGGCATGAAGACTTCTTCCTTGTAGCCAGTAAAGAGAAAGTAGCTCATTTTTGGAATGGTTCTGAAGGACAGAACCACCAAAATATGCAGTGAAAACACTTTCTAGTCAGCTGAATGCCCTTATAATACAAATTCACTGTAGAACAACTTGGCCATCTTATCCCTATTTGCCACACCTCATGTAGTTACTCTATCTCAAGACAGATGACTTTGGGAGGGTGAAGCAAACCCTCTATCTATTCATTTGGTATTGACTTTTTGGATACTTACCAGATTATTCTACTTATCTCAAGTAGTGCAGCTTCAGACTATGGTGTAGAAAGGGCTTATCTTCATTTCTGTTTTCAGCACTGTACAGTGAAATATTTGTGGTTCAAACTGAATTTCTCAGCCCTTTCTTCAGTTGCTGTGATATTAGAAGTTTTAGTCCTGTTCCCTTCATGATTTTATCAGAGTCAGTGTCAACAGAGAAAACCAAGTTAGAAATTTGAAGAATTTTACAGAATGTAGTTAGTCTTTGTGTGTTCTATCTGATGACAGAAATTTGTGCTTTTAAAATAAGGTAACTCTTCAGCTTTGATTATTCTTACTATATAAAGGGACCCTTGTCTTTCTGGGTGGTGGTGCCCTGATTTACTGCCAAAGTAGGAAGCTAAATCCAGAATGGCTGGTCACAAGCTTAACAGTCAAATGTAGTTCTTGGATTTAGTTGCATTGGATAAGTGGTTAACAGTCAAATGTAGTTCTTGGATTTAGTTGCATTGGATAAGTGGAGTGGCAGAATCCCTTCTGAATGGCCAAAGAATATGTGAATGTATTAAAGGCTAGTTCTTGTCAGTGGTTATAGATTTGGTACTAACTGATAATCTCTGCACTCATCCTTACGGAGGGTTGTTCTCAACATTTTTCTTGGATTTAAAACTATTTTCTCTTGAAGCATTGAGATGTACCTATCTTTGAAAGGCATAATGGGCTTTTGCATGTCTTTTACTTATGCTGTTATTCTAGACAGTCGCTGAGGCAGACCAGGATTGACCAGCAGCAGTACGTTGGTCTTCATTCTGAATCACTGAGGTGCAGAAAGGCACTCCAGCTTATTCCTGTATGATAGCAGAAACTTATGTATTTCCTGGAAAATGTAGCTGAAAAGGGAAAGATAAAACCAGCTTCATATCTTTAGCTTATGAAACTTTATTAACTGACACAGTGACATGGTTTATGGTTTTGTTTGTTGTTGTTCCCTTGTTTTTTTGTTATAGGGTTTTCTGAGTTTTTTTTTCTCGTATGTTTTTCAATGCACCCCAAAGTTTATTGTAGCAGAATAAGCACAATGATCATTTTTGCACTCAAATGTCTGAAAATGGATATATGTATTGTCAGGAAAATGTGAGCTTCCTTTTGGAAGCTTTCTAGTAGAGCAGATTGAAAAGCCTATCACTATTGGATATTCTGAACAGGAGTGTTTGTGTGCATTAGTTTATTTTTTCATCAGAGACTTGAAGTCTGAACAGAGATGAGAGCTTTCTCTTAATAAGCTTAGTAGAGGCGGGGGGGGGCTTAAATCAAGAATAAGCTGAAGGAACCCCAAAATTTGTTATTTATATCCTGTGCCTACTAAAAATGATAATTGAGTAATTAAAGAGGAGAGAACTTTAAAAAAAAAATTGTTGAGCAACTGGAAGACAACTGCTTTCACCATTTAAGCATTAAATGTTAGAACATTTAAGATATAAAATATTAATTGGTGTTTAATGCAGTCCAGTAGTTTGAACCTCATTCTGTTTCTAAGCTGGTGTCATTCTGTGATCGCTGCTATTTAAACTACTGTTAACTTTTGGTTTTGTGGTTTAGTATCTATTTTTTTAAATAGAGGTATAAAAGTTTTCCATGTGGTGCAGTGTGTTTTTTCTTTGAAAATTCAGTGCTAACGAAAGTGTCTTACATAGAAAACAAATACCTGATTATTAGACATGGGTGTGTAGCACCCTGAATTCCCGTCCCTACCTGCCCACCCCCCCACCCCCTTTTCTTTTCTTTTGGCAAAAAATTATCATCGGAAAATCATAAGTTGTGTAACTTACTTCTACTTATGAATGTTTCTGCTTACCATCCCTTCCCCCTTTTCACCTTGGATTTTTCTCCGCTTTTGCTATTAACTCATGAAAGTACTGTGTAGGACACTTAGATGAGAGACTAAATGGAAAACCAGAGTTCACCATCTTTTCTTTTCATGTTATTTGAAGAATACTGAAAAATTGGGGGTCCACCAAACAGAGATTGTATTTGAAATGATTGACATCCACCTGTTCAGTTTATGAAGAGATTTTAGATTCTGACTTTTTTAGCTTTATACAAATGAAAGGAATGAAACATTGGGAAAGGCAGGTTCTTGTAGCAGGCAAATTTATTGAAACTAAATTATTGGATGTATAGGACAGATTGACTGGGATAAGTATTTGTCTCATTAAAAACTCAAGCAGCTTTTCAAATAATTTGGCTGTGTTTTCCATGGCTTTTGTATTATTTGGTATTTCAGCCTCAAGAGGGCATCCCTTTCTGAGAGATCTCTTAACTGTCCAAAGAACAATTTGGTGAGCTCTTATTCTCTGTGTTGCCCACGGGTTATTATAGCCTTACCCATCTTTAACAACAGAGTAACTTTCCTCTCCTAGATTATAGTCTATTTCCATCACATTTAAGAGTAAACTGTTATTATGGTCATCTGATTAAGGAGGAAGAAGATAAATTGGTCAGAAAGTAAGCTGTGTATGGATTTCATCCTTTGGGAAAACAATTTCTTTGTGTCTGAGACAAGCGTAAAGGAGACCAGAGGATTTTGGTTTTCCCACTCCTTTCTTTGAGTGTTACTAGAGCATTACAAAAGGCTAACTGAGAAGAGCGCTTACAAGTTCACTGCTCTTATTTTATGAACCAAACCTGTGCTGTTTAACCTTTCCTACATAATGTGCCCTTCCACTTAGCAGGGACAGGTCACACATCAGGGTGTGGGCATCTGTGCTTCATTCTCCTTTTCATAAGTTAGCCTCTTATCTTTAGAAAATAAAAAATAACACACAAGAAATCTTACGTTTATGTATTAAAACTGTGTTCATGAATACTGGATTTTTTTTTAAGTGTTATGATGTGTGTTGCATCAGGTTTTTTAATTTAAGAAGGTACGTTTTCAATTTATGATGTTACCAGGTGAGACAACACGGATGAAGATTTCAGATGTCCTACTTTCTTACAGCTCATATGAAAACTACTGAATCAAAAAGCATAATTCTGTTTTCCAGTCTAGAAGTTCTGTTCTTTTTGAAAGTGGTAGCAATTTCATATTCTGAGAAACCCAATGCTCTGGGAGAAAAAAACTGTAGAACCTATGATGTCATCTTCTGCTTAGACACCCCGGAAGATGGGCTTGTAGTCATACTTAGTGAGCGCTTTGGATTGAAATATTCCATTAGCCAGTAGCCATTAAGAAAGGGACATTCAGAGGTGGAGAAAAAGTGATTGTTGCTCTTCACCTTATTGATAAGTGTCATGGGAATCTTAATAGTCCTAACGTGATTAAAACAAGCTGTAAAGGTGTGTTTCTTTCTTGAAATAATGTATCGTGTAGCTCAAGAGCAATCTGTTCAGATTATTAATAATCCTAGATCTGTTGAAATTAATAAATTGTTTTACAGAGTTCAAGTTGATTAACATTTTGACTTAATGTTCCACTGTTTTCCTTGCCAATGTAGAAGTATTTTGTGCAAACATGAAATGCAGTATCATTAAGAAAACTGTTGTAACTTAAAATAGACTTTATTAGTTTGATATAAAATTACCGAGTGGAGTTCTGTAGGCACAGTTATTAGTTAGATTTTCTTAATGATCTATTTTACATCAAAATCTATGAGCCAGCAGCAAGATTGTAGCAAGGTGGTAGCACGAGTCTCTTACTATTAGGAAAGTTTGTATGACTGTGAAGAATTACAGAATAAGCCAAATTGGAAGAGGTCCACAGGGATCATCTAGTCTTAACCCTTAGCCCTGCACAGTACCATTCCCAGGAGTCTCACCATGTGCCTGAGAGTATCATCCAAACACTTCTTGGACTCTGTCAGGTTTGGTGCTGTGACCAAACCTGGGGAGCCTGTTCCAGCACCCAACGACCCTCTGAGTGAAGAACCTTTTTCTAATATCCAACCTAAACTTCCTCTGACACAACTTCAGGCCGTTCCCTTGGGTCCTGTCATTGGTCACTACAGAGAAGAGATCAGTGCCTGCCCCTTCTCTTCCCCTCAGAGGAAGTTGTAGACTGCAATGACATCTCCCCTCAGTCTCCTCTTCTCCAGGCTGAGGTTTGTATGAGTGCGTAGAAGGCTCTCAATTGTTGCAGAAAAGGAAATTGCAGTTGATGATGGAATGAACTTAAATTCCAGTTTTCTAACTTGTTTAGTGTATCTGACCTCAGTGAAGTTAGGAATCTGTTGTAATCTGGAAAGGAAAAAAACTTGCCTCATGCAGAAAAAACTTCTGATGTCTGTTTTGAATACCTTACCACTGGTAAAATAACAAAAGAAAAAAAGAAAAAACTGTTCACTGAACGAGCTTGGTGTGACTCCTGGGAATGGTACTGTGCAGGGCTAAGGGTTAGACTAGATGATCCCTGTGGACCTCTTCCAATTTGGCTTATTCTGTAATTCTTCACAGTCATACAAACTTTCCTGATAATAAGAGACTCGTGCTACCACCTTGCTACAATCTTGCTGCTGAGCAGATTAGAGGGACAAAGTTTTTCTTTTTTATTAATCAGCTCCATCTTTGCCTTTTGTAAAAGATATCTAAGAAAGTGATGTTTATGCAACCTGCTTATATTTCCCCAATTTTGAACAGATGTTTGTTTTGAAGACCTAGTAACTATAGGTATTATAGTTAAAGACTCTCAGATTCCATCATGAATAAATCATCAGTGATTTTTACCTTATGGTGAAGTTTCAAGGTAATGTTGTGCAGTATTGAAGTCTGAGTAGGAGATTAGTGTATATAACTCTAGTTCATGTACTGTTGTATAAGACTGAAACACTAAGCACAAAGATTGAATGATTAAAACGCTTCTGTTTAAAAGCTAAAGCATTGGGTAAGGGACTTGTTAATAGTTACAGTAAAATACTTGTAAATACTTGTAAAGTATAGAGAATATGAAGTTTATTTCCGAAAATTAGTCAGCTCGTTATTATTAGGCCAGGAAAGATACATTGATTTTTTTTTTTTCTAACACTGTAACGTCTAAAATTGTCTGTGCTGTTTAAACAGTTTGGACAGCCTATTTCAAAAGTGGTTACACGAGCTACAGAACTTAGGCTGTTCTGGAACAAAGACTAAACTGAACTGACAAGAAAAAATCGGAATGGAAACTCTTCACATAAGTGATAATTACAATACATGATACTAACTAGATAAGTGAACTTCAGATAGAGATATTTCAGAGGCTCCAGATATTTTTCTCTTCCTGTAACTGACAGTAAACTAGGAAGCGCATAGTAAATTTACTAAAGGATTTTTTTAACCTGTGGAGTTCAACTGAGTTAGCTTTAAAGCTGAAAGCTTATACTGTGTATTTGCCTTAACAGCAGCTGCAAAAACTCTTGGGGTAATGTATATGGATACTTGGCATACAGAGGAGTCATATGTTATAACCGTTTAGTTTTCTGGTGCCAAATAAATTCTAAAGTATGTAGTAGCTCATTATCATTGGTATTAGTCCAAATCTATTTTGATACAACCTTCTATGTTATTCCAGTATCAAAGTGTATCTTGAGTTCTTGCACTGATTAATACTGCTGGATTTCTAACAGGAGCTTTATTATTTCAAAGATATTAATGTGAACAAGGACTAAACTTATGCTGTCTTTAATCCCTAATGGCGTAAGTTCTGTTGTGCTAAAAAAAAAAAAGAAGGATAAAAACCCTTCCAGATTTCCAGTACGTATGTAGGGAACTTTTTCCAGCTTTTTTTTTCTCCTTCATTATCTTTATATTTTTGTGCTTACTGCTGATACTGACACAGGTGAGAAAAAAATAACACACTGTGTTGGATAAAATAGGCTGCCAAGTACAGTATGACTTCTTTGTTTTAGTTTTCAGTAACTTTGTAGTAATAATAGAAAGGAGGGATAGGCAAATATATACCAATACAGTTAGAATAACAGCGTAGTCAAAAATAAAAGGAAATAAGTAAACTATGAAATATTTTGTAGTAATGTTGAATTTTTTGTTGTGTTTTGAAACATGTTAAAAGGTCTAGCTTAGAGGCTTCTGTTACTTCTGGTGTTAATAAAAATAAAAGTGACATAAAAATGTGGGTTTGATGTATAAAATTGTGGCAACCACATTGTAGAAAAATAAATCACCCCATTAAAATATAATCCAGTTCACTGGTTCTCAAATTTCTTTTTCACTCTTCTCTGTTCTTTGCCATCACTGCTCTCACTGATCTGTTCCAAGTCATTGTAGTATAATTAAACTCCTGTGAGATGAACATGGCCATGCACAATATCTATCCCCTGTAATTAAAAATAAACAACAAACCCTGCCCCCCTCCTGCCTTCCAGGACTACAGGAAAGAAACCAAAATAACCTTGTGAAGTTAGTCATGACCCTGACTGTCTAACACTCCTCCAAATTTTGCCTTGTGCATTCAAACAAATTTGTCCTGCCCTCTTAACCTAGGCCTCATGTCCTTATATATTCTTTGTGCCCTCTGTCTACACCTACGCATTACAGAGAATTGCTTCCTCTCATATGCCTGAAATCTGGTTTTTCATAGCCTCTTCTCTAACCGGTCTAGTCATTTGTAGTACACAACCAAATGGAAAGAATAACCCTGCCAGGGCACTAATTTTTTTATTGTTGCAGGGTTTTGTTTTTTCAAGTCAATCATACCTCCTGTCCCATCTAACTGTTGCAGAATGGGAGAGCACAGAGCAGAATTTAAGAAAACCCACCTTTTTTGAAAGTTTTTTCTTATTATTTTTTCGAGTCTAATGACAGCCTCGTGAAGGGCTCTTTTGTGTCTTGGCAGGGGCTGACAGTAATACACCAGTAGTAGATACCAAGGAAAGGGTGGGGCAGGGTAGTGGTAGTTTCTCAGAACAGTTTCCAAACTCTTATTTTGTGGCTCACAGCTTCTGAAAACAGGATTGTGTCCTCTTAAGTCATAGGCCTTGATAGATTTTAGTAGTTAGTAGTTTGTCTTTTAGGTATTCACTGTGCTCAAAAATATTATCCGCAGCATCCTGACAGCAGTTTTTGAACTTGCCATCAGTTTTCATTTCATGACAAAACAGGCAGTGGTGGTTTTAATTTCTAATGTATACTCAGCAAACAGGGTAAATATTTAGTATTTACCAATGGGTTAAAATTAACAACTGGAATAACAAAGAATGCATTTTAAAAATCAATAATAATACTGACCCCGGTTGAGAAGATAAATCCCGAATTCTACTACTCTTCTGACTGTGGCACAGATTTGGACCATTTTGTGGCCTGAGCTGCTTTCATTTTCAGTCCCAATATCCTTGTTGAGTTATGAGAGGTAGAGACCTAAAGCTAGATGGAATATATTGAAATTTCTTCCTCTTCTTCCTTTCTTCTCTGCCTGAAATATAAATTGGTACTTCAACAGGAAAGTTGTCTCCAGTTCAAAAATAATTCAAAGTTATTGAGACTGTTGAAATCATTTATATTTAGCAAAACTTGAAACTTCTAATAAACTAAAATTAATTTTAATCTTGTCTTTCAGACTGAAAACCTAGAGAGTACAATAACCATACCAGATATCAGATTACATAGCAATCCCTCAGCATTTAATGTTTACTGCAATGTCCGCCATTGTGTGTTGGAATGGCAGAAGAAGGAAGCATCTGTATCTTTGGCTTCAAAGAACAGTGTACAAAGTGGGGATTCGGACAGTGATGAAGAAGAGGAATCCAAAGAACCGCCTATTAAACTTCCAAAGGCAAGTAACCAATACTGTTTAAAGCGTGCCACGTATGTCATCTAAGGTTGGTATGTGCTTTGTGGGGAATAAAGAACCATGTTATAAGCCAATTGCTCAGAAAATTGCTCTAGTTTTATTTGCAGTCCATCTAGTCCAGAATCATCTGATTTGATGAATTAGGATGATCTGTGTACGTGCCCAAATCACAGTCAGTTAAATGTCAGATAAACATTCTACTTGCACTCCTTTTTAAGTGTTGGTAATTGAAGACCTACAACCTCATTAGACTACACAAAAATGGTGCAAATAAGGCAGCTCTTACATCTGTCGGAGGCTACTAGCTCATAATGCTAAAGGGTGCTTCCTCTTGCTTTATTCTCCAAAAAGAGTAAGTCTTTCTGCTATTGGAAATCACTCAGTGGAGTGTTTTCTAAGATGTTTTGCCAGGTATGCATGTAACTGCAGTAACTGTCAATTATTCTTGTTAACAGAGTTGTTTAATCTTTCCCTTTTTTGGCTTTAGTGTCCTTAATGGCACTGATAACTCCAGATAGTATTGCACATTAAGATTTTGATGCTATAGTTCAACAGTTAGGGTGAGTTTTTTTACTCTTTACCACTTCTGAGCTTATAGTAGGATTAATGATGGAAAGTCAGCAATAATCTGTATTGGATTTACTGATTTCTTTCTTAATTATTTTCAATTTGCTGATTCACGTGTTTTGTACTGTTTGACTTCTGTGCATTTAGTTTTGTTCATTGCTAGCTTGCCAGTGCTATGAATCCTGCTTAGTTTGTTATTCTTCTGAGTCCAAAAAGCATATTCAGATTAACTTTCCTTGTTTGTATTTGCTCTAAAACAAATACAAATGCTGAATTAGAAAAGGTTGTTGGAGCCATGACTATGTAGAGTGTTCAAGTCACTTAGAAAATTAGGGTTTTATAGATGATTGTGTTTAGATAGTGTTATCTGAAGAGCAGAGTTTGCACTCTGGAAAATAGTGGTGGTGAATTGCAGAGGAACATAACCAAGTCAGGTAACTGAAATTTCATGATTGATAATTGCAAAATAATGTGTGATAAATAGAAATAAAGTTCACTGTTTATGAACTGCATCTGACTCATTGTGGATTATATTAAATGAATCAGCAAGTGCTTCTAGATGCTTAACTTACTTAAAGTAAAAGGCAGTGTAGTTATTAGCATTTTTAAAGAATAAAATGCAATTTTAAGGAGATTTTGAAATTAAGAGAGATTCTAAGGATGAGATTTATCAGTGGTACGGACAGAACACTTACATGTGGAAACTAAAACATTGGTATTATTAAAGGTGTTGGATAGTTTATCAAAAAGAGACTTGGATAAGTAGCACAGTTTTAGAAAGGTGGTGACTTAGAAAAAAATGGTAGGGAAACTGTATCATAGAATCAGCTGGGTTAGAAGGGACCTCTGAGATCATCAAGTCCAACCCTTGATCCACTACCGCTGTAGTTACTAGACCATGGCACTGAGTGCCACATCCAGTCTCTTCTTAAAAACGTCCAGGGATGGAGAATCTACCACTTCCCTGTGTCCAGAACTGGACACAGTACTTGAGGTGTTGCCTCACCAGTGCTGAGTACAGGGGAAGAATCACTTCCCTGGTCCTGCTGGTCACACTGTTCCTGATCCAGGCCAGGATGCCGTTGGCCTTCTTGACCACCTGGGCACACTGCTGGCTCATGTTCAGCTTCCTGTCAATCCAAACTCCCAGGTCCCTTTCTGCCTGGCTGCTCTCCAGCCACTCTGTCCCCAGCCTGTAGTGCTGCAGGGGGTTGTTGTGGCCAAAGTGGAGGACCCGGCACTTGGCCTTGTTGAACCTCATCCCGTTGGAATCAACCCAACTCTCCAGTCTGTCCCAGTCCCTCTGCAGAGCCCTCCTGCCTTCCAGCTAATCGATACTGTCCCTGCAACTTAGTGTCATCTGCAAATTTGCTGATGGTGGACTCAATCCCCTCATCTAAATCATCAGTAAAGATATTAAATAGAACTGGGCCCAGCACTGTTCCCTGGGGGACACCACTAGTGACCGGCCGCCAACTGGATGCAGCCCCGTTCACCACCACTCTCTGGGCCCGGCCCTCCAGCCAGTTCCTGACCCAGCAGAGAGTGCCGCTGTCCAAGCTGTGGGCTGCCAGCTTTTTCAGGAGAATGCTGTGGGAGACAGTGTCAAAGGCTTTGCTCAAGTCCAGGTAGACACATCCACAGCCTTCCCCTCATCCACAAGATGGGTCACCTGGTCATAAAAGGAGATCAGGTTGGTCAGACAGGACCTGCCCCTCCTAAACCCGTGCTGGCTGGGTCTGATCCCTTGTCCATCCTGTAGGTGTTGTTTAATTGGACTTAGGATGATCTGCTCCATAACTTTGCTGGGCACTGAGGTCAGGCTGACAGGCCTGTAGTTTCCCTGGTCTTCCTTCTGGCCCTTTTTGTGAATGGGCGTGACATTCACCAACTTCCAATCATCTGGGACCTCCCCAGTGAGCCAGGACTGTTGGTAGATGATGGAGAGCAGCTTGGTGAACTCTTCTGCCAGCTCCCTCACCACCCCTGGGTGGATCCCATCTGGTCCCATAGACTTGTGGGGATCCAAGTGGCTCAGCAGGTGGCTAACTGTTTCCCCCTGGATTACAGGGGGGCTATTCAGCTTCTTATCTACAAGCTCCAGAAGCCAGCTGTCCTCAGGACAACCTGTCTTAGGTAGGTAGGAAACTTCTCAAAACAGAAAATTGGTGAGATATTTTGTTGTATTCAGTACAGCAAATATAAAATTGATGAAAATGAATATGCTTTCAAACTACTCGTTTTTAGCAAAGAATCTACAAAATTTCAAAGAATTCTAGAATTTTTGATTCAGTAATGGCTTATATGCTGGGTACATCCTCAGTATTTTTCATAACTGTATGGCTAATATTAGTTTGTTTAGGCTACTTGGAGGTAACAGTCTGACTTGTATCCATGCTTTTGAAAAAGACATCTACTTGGAGCTGCCTCATGTAGTAAAATTTACAGAGACTAGGTAAATGTCTTAGTTCATTAAATGTAAAGAATAAAGTTATTGAAGTTTCTAAGGTTTACAATAATTACAAGATCAACTTCTGATAGTAATTGTTAGCTTATTTAAAAGAATACTGTATTTTGAGTTTGACAGTGAGGTGAAAGTCAAATTAAAAAATGTAGCCAGAATTTTTAATTTTCCAGATTCTCTGGAATTAAACTGGTGAAGTTAGTCCATTGTGTTTTGGGATTTTTGTTTATAAAAATGCTTCATATAATTGAGAATAAGTTGAAAACATTCTACTTTTTATGCAGCTTAGCTTGATTTCAAGTGTTCTATTGAAGTGTTTTATTTTACATCCTAAACTTGAGGAAGTGAGGTTTGTTAGAACTTTTATTTAGAGAGTATTTCAGAATTAAAAGTTCTCCTATGCAATTTCTGTAATTAGATTGAGAACAATTGTTTTTACCATTGTTAAAAGAGATCTAAAGACACAATTTGCTGCTCTTTAGATATTAGCACAATAAAAAAAAATGTGTTTTGGTTTTGTTCAGACAGCTTGGTAACTTGCTTTGGTAGCTTTATATTTTTGGATTCACAGGAAATATTTGTGTTGCCTGACATACTTATTTAGTACCTTTTTTTTACTTAGCACCTTAGCTAATGATGAGGAATTCTGTCTACTAAAAATATGGGAGATTGAGATCTAATTATATGATTTGTAATTCTAAGGGTTAAAAAGAGGTACTCCCCCCCCCCAGTATTAAATCTATCACAGTTATGGGTGATCCATAAAAGCCCTGTACTAAAAGGAACAAATACTGTATTAAAGTGATTAAGGTAGAATTAACTGACATAAATATTCTCTGTTCCTGCATTGACATACATTTTGGTAATGAACTTGAGCAAAAACAAAAATGTTGAAGTTGTAAGAAAAAAGAAAAGCAAAGTAATTACTTTCTCTAGAGACTGACTTTAAGTCTTTTAAAATGCATTAGGAAAATGTGTTACTTTTGTAAATGTTTTGGGGTTTTTTTAATGTGTATGATATAAATTAATGCACAGTATTAAATATTTTTAAATAAATAAATGTGAGCATTGGACACAATGCTTATTGTGCTATGAGAGGGAAGACAGAGAAAATTAATGGAGTAGAAAAGACTTCTTGAAGAAATAGGAGGATTTTTAGGAATTAGATATGGTCTGCATCCAGGCTAGAATTTTGTATACCCTTTGTTAAGTGGGCTTTACACTTTTGATCTGAAATCTCAAAGATGTTGCAAAGGGAAGAGGAGGGTGGCTGCATGGAGAGCATCAGTAAAAGCAGTCAGGCTGTAACATAGAGACTGAGGCAGCAGTGCTTGTTTTGGCTCAGAGACCCTTCAGAGAGTAGTGGGAACAAGCTTAAGATTTCTTGAAAAGAACTTTTTGCTCATTCTGTCCTTCAGTGCACAGTTTGGAGCAGAGAGGTAGAGAGATACAAACATCATACATACATATATTTGTATATATATATACGAATATATATATAAAATATAGCTACATGAGATTTTAAGGTTAACAGGTGTGTTTTATGAAGCCTACCCAGTCTCTTGATCTTAGATATTTAAAATCCAACCCAAAAACTGGGCAGACTTGACAACATCCCAGCAGAACTATCATTGTTGATTCCTGATGTAATGGAAGTTCACCAGATTAGTTTCTACACTGCATTATGTTCTCTGCTTCTTCCAACTGCCTCTGTCAACTCCTAGATGAGGTCTTCTGTCTGATGATTGGGAAGAATAAAATAAACTTCTCATTTTCTCTCAAAGATACTATAACTGAAAAGAAAGTGAATTTCTAAAAATGTACTACAGGTTATTTTATTTTTTAGCCTGCTAGATGATGGTGAGTTTGGGATCCTAGAAAAAACATCTGTGCCATTATTTTGTTGACAGGGTTTTTTTCCCTGTAGGTTCCATGCATGTGTTTCCCCCCGCTCCATTGAAGATGTGAAATGTAAGGTGTAATTAGCAGGAAAATTGGTGTTGCACTTTGAAGACTTGATTTGATTATGTTTTTATTCTTCCTCCAAAAATAAAACAGGTGGTAAAATAATTTCTGAAAGACCAGAATCAAAATAAATTGAATGGTAGCAAAATTACAAGGCATCCAGTAGAACTGGTAGCTGACTGTCAGAATAAATGTGTTTTAAGCATTAGTGGCAGTTCCATTAACAGTGTTATTTATTTTCACATTTTAGTCTTTTCCTTAGATTTTACTCAAGAGTGAATCTATATTAAATACTCTAAACCCTGGGTCTCTGCTCCTGACCAAAACAGATAGTGAAGTTTTGAAGATATGGTTGCTTATACAAATGAGCTAACTCTACTCTTTTTTTATTCATCCTCATCGTTATTACACACGTAATTTGAGAAGGAAATGAAAGGAAGCAGTTAGTGGAGGAAAGCATAATTGTAATCTCAGAATATTCAGGAATTCTATAAGGGAAAGTTAGGAGTGGTTAAAACAGCACTTTTACACATGTTCTACTAGTTTGCTTAATGCATGTCTGTGATGAGTACATGTGGAGTTTTGGTGACAAGCAATTAATCTTTGTTTTTGTCACAATATAAAAACTAATCTCTGAGACTTTGGAGGGGAAAGTACTAGAGCTGCCAGTATCAGCTGTCAAATGTATTGTTATTCAAGGTGTGAGGCCAGGTTGCAAGCCAATTCTAGCTTGCTGGTTCACATTAATGAGCAAGGAAAAAGAGGTCTGTCAAATAAAGTGTAAACTGGATAGAAATTAGAAGGGCTCAGAGACACAGTTTGTCTTATATTGTGAAAAAAATTTTAGGTTTCCTCATTTTTTCAGGAAACTATTACTCTGCTTAGATATGCTCTTTCATATAATGGCTGACTTCTGTGTAATATTTGCTGGTACAGTTGATTTTGATTCTCATTTGAATTACCACTGTATTCTGTATTGCTTTTTTTTTTATTTGAGTAACTGTCTTGTTCAGTGAACATTGGAATATACCTTTATTGATGAAGATGTAAAAATATTATATTAACAACTCTTCTGAAAAATCTGTACTTCTTTAGATCATCGAAGTTGGATTATGTGAAGTCTTTGAACTTATAAAGGAGACAAGATTTTCTCATCCATCCTTGTGTCTCAGGAGCCTACAAGCTCTACTTAATGTACTCCAAGGTCAACAACCAGAAGGCCTGCAATCAGAGCCTCCTGAAGTCCTAGGTAATATCTATCTATTACTGTATTTTTATTAACAAACATCAGTTACTGTCTTGGACAGAAGAAAATGGTTTCTATCAAGTATTTGTGAGATAGTAACATGCTTGTTCTTGATTGACTGACTTGATTCTGGAATGTAAACTCCCTATGGTGCATGTACCGAGTAGTTCTGCGGCATTAATCTTTTCTAGATTAGTGTGTAAAGGTGTATATGCAGAGTTGCACTGAATCATGTGATTCAGTTATCTTACTGAAGCATGAAATACTTGGTCTTATTAGACAGAATATAGTTCTAAAGTGGGCTTCTCTTGCAATCTGCTGTTGTAATCACAGAATCACAGAATATACTGAGCTGGAAGGGACCTACAAAATCATTGAGTCCCACTCCTGGCCCTGCACAGACTATCCCCAGAAGTCACACAATGTGCCTGAAAATATTGTCCAAACACTTCTCAAACTCTGTCATCTTGGTGCTGTGACCACTTCTTTGGGGAGCCTGTTCCAGTATCCAGCCACCCTTTGGGTGAACCTCTTCCTGATATCCAACCTGAACCTCCCCTGACACAATTTCAGGCCATTCCTTTGAGTCTTGTCACTCATCACCACAGAGAAGAGATCAGTGCCTGTCCCTCCTCTTCCCCTCACAAGGAAGTTGTAGACTGCAATGAAGTCTCCCCTTAGTCTCCTCTTCTCCAGGCTGAACAGACCAAGTGACCTCAGCCGCTCCTCATACGGCTTCCCCTCAAGACGCTTCACCATCTTGGTTGCCCTCCTTTGGACAATCTCTAATGACTTAATATCTTTCTTATGTTCAGGTGACCAAAACTGCACACAATATTCAGGGTGAGGCTGCACCAGTGTAGAGAGCTAATCTGTAGCTTAGATATTTAACGTTGTAATTTATGTGCTAAGCAGAGTGTAAGAATTTTTCTTCGTATTTCCTCTGGCCATCCAAAAACTTCACTGAAAATTAATTTTGTTTTTATTGATATTGAAAATACAAGTTGAACTCCTGATGCCTTTGCATGCATGATTGATTATGTCCTTTAAGTTAAAATCCAATTATCTTTTGTTGATTCATAGTTTTTACTGGTTTATAGAACCGTAGGGAAGGCTAGGCTGTAGCATGTGTTGTTTAAAAATAATTTTAAAAACATCTGCAGACTTTATGTATTTTTTCCATATTTTATGACTTAACAGTATTCCATTTCCAAAGACTGATCGTAATTTGCTACAGAAAGCTTTTATTTTTGTACTGATGCACAGAGTATTAAAAAGCTTCAAAGAACACTTTTTGATATCCGCCTTCATGATTATTTGTATCTGCTGTCAACAAAATTGAGGTGGATTTCTGTTCACACCTTGATTGCTACAGATGTTCAATCACTAAACATGTATGCTTGAAAAGAGGCATACAATCAAAATAATTTTCAAGCTTTGATTTGAAATGCTCGTTTCCGTGAAGGGGATTGTGCTTCAACATGGGTAATGGTCAGAAAGAGTAGAGAAGTTTGGTCAAGACCTACACATCATCTCAATGATGAGGTAGACTGAATAGGCAGGTCAGATAACTCCTTCTGTCTCTTTTCTTGTTAATGTGTTCTGTAACAGAGAACTTGTAGTTTTTCTTCTTTGGCTATGGTGATTATCAAGACTTGACATTTTCCGACTGAAAAAGAATGAAAAGTTAAAGATATTTTAGGTCTATTTGATTGTGATGCTTTATTTTCTGTCTGAAATTAGGGCTAAACATAATGACTGAAGAAAAATGTGTCATGTATTTTCTAAGTTTAATTGCCCATTGACTGTCAAATTGTTTTGTATGATTTTATGACTTGTCTGTTTAATGGTTGTGTTTTGTCTGCAGAATCCCTGTTCCAGCTGCTTCTGGAAATAACTGTCCGTAGCACGGGAATGAATGACAGTACAGGACAGTCCTTGACAGCACTTTCCTGCGCTTGCCTCTTCAGTTTGGTAGCTGCATGGGGAGAGACAGGAAGAACGTTGCAAGCAATCTCTGCAATCCTCACCAATAATGGCAGCCACGCTTGTCAGACTATTCAGGTATTGCACTAAAACTTCTTTCTTTCTGGGAATTTATATAAATGAGTACTTCCCATGAGTTCTGAGAAGATCTGTTGTTTAATTGTTAGCTTTTTCCCCCTCACTGTTTTTGAGATGAGTAGGTATTTCTTTGTCTCTCTTGAGTTGGAGATAGAACAGAAAATACAACATTCAAAAAATAGTAATGTTTTTCACTTACTATTTCTTTTACTCTTTAGGTGCCAACCATTTTAAACTCTCTTCAGAGGAGTGTACAGGCAGTTTTGGTGGGCAAAATCCAAATCCAGGACTGGTTCAGTAATGGGATAAAGAAGGCAGCCTTGATGCACAAGTGGCCGTTGAAAGAAATATCTGTAGATGATGACGACCAGTGCCTACTTCAGAGTGATGGTTTTTTCCTCTATCTCTTATGTAAAGATGGACTTTACAAAATTGGCTCTGGATATAGCGGGACAGTGAGGGTAATGTGATTACTTCTCATCTGATGAGTGACAATTAATATTTTAATTTAACTTTTATGGTTTCCTGTTTCCATGGAGAATCTTAAGTAGCTTACTAATGATCAGTTCTTTTACAGTTTGTGTGAAGTTTTCTGATGATTTCTTTGAGAATTTGACAGCATTTTGTTAGAATTTTCACAATATGTTGAAGACTGTTATTTAAATGGTAAATGATTATGTGTTAAGTTTTCAGTCTGATATTTGTTAAATGATTGGAGTTTTTTGCTTTTCAGGGCCATATATACAATTCTACATCCCGCATCAAAAACAGAAAAGAAAAAAAGTCTTGGTTAGGTTATGCTCAGGTAGGTGAATACTTAAAATATAAAACATGTGGCCCTCCCCATCCCTCATGAGTAATTTAGGTAGACTTTGGCTTAGAGTAAGGTTACATGGATATTTTTGTCATTCCTTTGGCTTTATTTATAAAAGACAAGATTTTTTTGAATGACTTTTAAACTGTGGAAGATGAACATCTGATTATAGTGGCATACAGAAAGGAGTAATGAAGTGTCCTTGTTTTGTGTTGTCATTGTAAAGACTCTCAAAATATGATGGTTTAACTCATCAGTTTATGAATTGTACAGTCACTTGATGTCTGCTTTTCGAGTGGGTGTCAGTAGATGTAAAAATGTGCTATTGCAAGAAACTAGTGTAAAAAATATTTGAAATACCTGTTAGGGAAATAAATTCACTTTAAAACATTTGTAGTAAAATAAGGAAATGCTGTTCTGGTTGGGGGAGGATTGAGCTTGTGTGAACAATGTCTGGAGATAATTGTTGACATTTCTGCTGCAGAGTTAACTATATTTGGATGGTTTATGTTTTTTAGAGTTAGTCAGTTTCCAGAATATCAGCCACCTTTTCTTATACCTTTGTTATTCGTTATAAAAAGTCATCAAAACGTTAAAAAAAATTACATTTTGGACACCAGTGAATTTCCTTAAGTTTTTATCTAGTGAGAAATTTTTCTTGTATATATTTACTATTAACTGAGTGATCTCATTGTCCCAGTGTGATTTTAAGTATACTCCTTGCCACATTTCTGAAGTGAAATTGTTAATTACAAATACATATTCTATCATTACACTTATCATATGTATATATATATGTATGTACACATACATGAAATCTGGTTTTATTTAGTGTTAAAACAGATCACCAAAAAGTATACTGACACAATACAAATGTGTGTGGATACATTCATTCTGGAGACTGTTTTATCGTTTGGAAAGGAATAGAATTCATGTGGTTTCACATGTTTGGACACTCTGTGCTTAGCTATAAATGTACGTGATGTTTTTTGAGTGCTTGTATGGGTGTATTAACCCACACAGTGACTGTACCCAAAAGATTATCAAAATGAAGCAAATATGATGTAAGAGGCTTCCAAAATTTTAAAACAATACCTAAAATAATGGTTGCAAATTTTTCCCTTTTAACAATACCTGTTGATGTATTTAAGAATATTTTCATACCAATATATATATTTTTACTCTTACCAGGGTTATTTATTATATAGAGATGCGAATAATCACAGTATGACAGCCATAAGAATAAACCCTGAAACTTTGGAACAAGACGGTACAGTTGCTTTGCCAGGTAAGACCTTGCAGATATGAGAAGTTGGTTATAGTTTACTGTTTACATGCTATGATTTTTCAGGCAAGCAGAAGAAAAAGTGAGAGATTTAGAGATGACAGAGATTTTGAGATCAGAGATTTGTTTATTTATTACTTTAGTGCATTGGACCAGCTGCAGTATTTCATTTAGAGGCCTTGCATCTTACTCCAACTATTGGAAAAATATTGCAGTATTTTAGAATGTGTGTTCATCTTAATTTAAAGATGAGCTTAAATTCCTTCTTAAAAATTTTTATTTCTTCCTCATTTGAACTTTGAGCGTTTGGCTCACATTTGTCTTTGTTTCCAGGATCTCTTACAGGTAGGTAGTTATAAACTGTGAACAAAACCACGTGGTTTTTAATATAAGTAAAAATGTATCCAAAAAGCCAAGGCAGTTAATGAAAGCTGATGGACCATACTTCTTATGTTTGTATTGGTGGTGGGTTTTGCTTTATTTATTTAGGGATTTCTTTTAGGTTTATTTTTGTTTGGGTGGGGTTTTTTGTTTTGTTATTATTGTATTGTTTTGTTTCATTTTGTTGGCTTTTTTCAGAGGAGCCTTATAACTTCAGTCTCTGTTTAGAAAATGAGAATGTTCCTGGAACATGCTTCAATGGCCTCCTAGTGAAACACATCTGTTCTTAGCCACTTGCATGAACAGTAGAAGGACACACAAAAATTTGATCAAACAATGACAGGCTTATTCTATAATCAGAAGAAAGATTTTGTGTTTCATCCTGACATAAATAAGAAACCGCTGACTGAAACCTCAGAAAAATTCTCTAGGATTTTTGTCTTTGAAATGCAAAGAGTAATTTTTGAAAAAAATTATGAACGTAGAATCTAGTCCAGGCAACTTTCTGCACATCCTTGAAGCATGAATGTCTGTTTAAGCTGTTCTTGCTCTTTGTGGGGCTGTATTAGAAATTTAGGTGAGAGCACATTCAAGGATCTGACAAAATGACTTTTAGGGTGGTTTTTCAACTTTCTTCACCTCAGGACAGCTTCTTCAACCAGTAGGGTCCTTTGAGGTCCTTAATAATGTTACCATTTGTAAACAAATCAGTGTTCTTCACACAAGTCTTGAGAGAGACTTGAACACATTTAAAGTCTACCCCTCTAAGCTGTTAGCTTGCTTTTGCAAATCTCAGTGACAAGCATCATTCTGCAAGGCTGCCTTGTATTTATACTAAAAAAAGGCACAAATTAAATGACTATGCCTTCTAAACAAAAATATATTAATTTTCCATTACAAAAGCAAATCTTATAACTGTGGGAATACCCATTTAGAAATCCCTCAAACTCTTTTGCACAGTTGTGTTTTGTATGGTTTGTGATGGCATCAAAGTGGGTGCTAGATGTTATTTGTAACCTCAGCCATTTTTATTTCGGTCCTTGAATTTTGCTGTTTTGCCTTCTGCATTTCTACACATTTATCTCAGTGTTATGTTGTGAGCAGATATGACCTTGTTCTTTTGGCTAGAACAAATTCCAAGGGGTCCATTTCTGGTTATTTTAGTTTCCTGTTAGAAGGAAAGAAATGAAGGTGAGGGGGAGGGGGTGTGACCTGAGGAAAACTGAGTAGGTACTTAACTCTGAAGTAGTAGCTGCCCCACTGAAATCTTACAGTGACTTGCAAGTTGTAGTTCTCAAGAGCCATGCTGAATAGAACTAGAGGGCAGTAACCTTGCTAACAGCTGAACAGAGCAAATACTTGCTCCTAGTTGGTATGGTATTCAGCTATGGCTCTGCCTGGAATTGGTGTCTTTCAAATGCCTTGGCTGATGACAGTGCATTTAAATAAAGTATTAGAATTTATTCATACAGGGGATGCATAGGAGATTAGGAGCTCGTTAGGAGATGTGATTAGGTGTTGATCCTAACAGCTAGGAGTAGCTAGAAGTCTTGTGACCCTAGAAGTCAGAGATCTATGGAACATTATCTTCTCCTTTCCCAGACAGTAGGATCGACCAGCTTCTTGAAACCATAAACTTCTATTTTTAAAGAGCAGTCTTTTCACTCTGATAGATGATCTAGCAAATCTAGCATTGTATCTGGAACTACCAGAATGTGTGTCAACATCTTGTATCTAATGCCTTTGCCAAGCTTCATATACTGTACCTGAGCTGTGCATCTGTTTTCTCAGTCCATATATCATTAAAAACTGAATTCTGTGAGGCTTTTCTAGATGATTGGACCTCAATTTCTGAATTTACAGAGGTTTTCATCTTGAACATTTCTTTTAGCAGTAATGCTTCCTGCATACCTTAGAGCCGTTACTGTATCAGGTGAAGAAGTTTAAGTCGTTGTTATTTGAAACTACAAATTAATATTTTGGAGCTCAGGACTATTCACTTAGTCTGAAAGGTACTGCTATCTGAGGGTAGCCTAAATGAGTTTAAGGCCTGCCTCATTAGCAGGCAGAGAATGCACTATATATGCACTATATAAATGTGGAAGGTGATGGTTGACAGTCATATTCTCTTGAAGCATCTAAGGAGGCTGTAATTAACAGATGTCTGTAGTTATGTACTATGAGTAAAACTTAAGTCCTTTCTCTTATAGCAGTCTCCAGACAGAAACCTTGGCTATCTTCATCCCTAGAGTAATTTCCAAAGTCAGGTTGAATAAGACTTAGTAATTATCATAAGAGTTCCATCTTAGCTGAGAACACTATATTGTCCTAGTTTTTGTGGATACTCCATTTGCCTTCCATTCTGTACTCTCTCCATTAATTTGATATTTAATGTTGGGCCTGGATGTTACGTAATAAAGTGCTAATTTTTAGGAAGTCTTCTGGAGAACATGTATTTAAAATAAAAAAGCATCCCTGTTCCAGATATCCTCTTTGAACACATCTAACAAACATATGACCAACCCCCAAAAGTGTTTACTGGGAGACTTGCCTCTTCTTGAAATGACTCAAGCAATAGGTTAAACAGTATAATATGGACCAACTGGTGTTCAGACTATTCTATTTCCTTGACTGTTCTGCTTGTGTGACCATGTAATTTTCAGTCATTCAAGGAATCTAAATACTTATGAACTTCCTGTAACTTTTTGAGAAATGTCATTTAGATTATTTTTGGGACTTCATGTCAAGTTATTGAAATTTCTTTTGTTTTATCACTGATAGAATTTTGCAGCATAGAGAATTAGTAATGTGAATTGGCTTTAGTTGTTCAATCTGAGATTGTTTTTGAGAGAGCGGTATTTCAAACTTCAGTGTATTTGCTGTTCTTCATCCTGCTTGCTGCATACCCTCTGTACCCTCTGTGATTCATACCTGGGTCTGCTCTAAGGGGAAGGTTGTCTACTTTAGGTACTTTGCTTAAAGATGTGAGAATCACAGAAGGCTATCTAATGCATATTCGATTCCTGGTAATACACTGTACTGGACAGGGCAGTATAGCAGGAAAAAGTAAACAAGTTTATGGATTTCTAAATACTGCGGGGGGTTTTCAGCTGTATTATTTTTAATGCTTATAGGTAGCAAAAAAATAGCAAACTTGCTAGTTATGCTAGAAAGATGTGCTTCATTTAACATTAAATTTAGTAGTTAAAATAACTGAGACTGGATGTTTGTTCAGGTTATGAAGCAAATACTTGGAGTGTGAAATAGCTGTCCTGTAGTATTTTTGGAAGAGGTCTCTTTCCTGTGTGTAATCAATGAGAGAAGCACCTTAGAAACCATGTAATATCAATCTCTTTGTTCATAGCTCCATCCACAGATCAGGAAGGGAAGAAGAAATGGTGTAGGGACATGTGTTTAAACTTACAGAGAAAGTGATCTTTTTTCTCTTACTTTGGGTAGAATTCTTTTCCTACCTTTTTTTCTAGGAATTGGCTGACCTATTTTCAATAAATGTGTGATGTATTCAAGTATATGCTTTATAGTTTTCAATGCCCCCCCTAGATTTTCAGTCCATTGTTTGGTGAAATTATTAAGTGATGAAAAAATGAGATGAATTATGGAAAGTTTTATTCATTTATTTCTATAGGTTTTATATGCTGGACCGAGGAAATGTTTCTTTAAAGATAATGGTCCTTATGTAAAAAAAGGTCTTTGGGAAAGGACTTAACAGTCTTGGAAAAGTAGAATTTAGTTCTGTTATAACTCACAAGTGAATAGTAAATTTTTTTTTTTGGCAGTTAAATATGAAAGTGTAACCACTTACATTTCATACAATGGAAAGTTCTGTAATAACTCTTATAGTAACTAAGGAGTACTATATGCTTTCGGTGAGACAGGAGATCCTAGTGTAAAATAATACATTACCAGAACAGTGTGATCTCGCTTTAGCAAACTAGAAATCTCATAATCTGATTGTAGTAAAACTGAATTAGACAAAAGCAGAGATGTGTGTATGCTAATATAAACTGATGCAGTGCGCTTCATCTTTCTCTCACAGATTGTCATACTGAAGGGCAGAATATCCTTTTCACTGATGGAGAATATATTAATCAAATAGCAGCATCTAGAGATGTAAGTTTTGCATATGATGGCTTGACTATTTTTCTCTCAGCTGAATTGTTTTACAGTATTTATAGCTTCCTTTTTGCTTAATATTTGACTTTTTCTTCACTAACACAACTAAGGAAGAAATCCATGTAACTAGAAATAATGAGAAACCGCCATATTTGTGCATAAAAAACCAGTATTTTGGTATTTATTCACACAATTTTGATTTGTGATGGATTTTTCAGATAAGTTTTAAGAAAAACGTCAGTGCTCTTTCAGGAAAAAAATGTTATCGATGGAATAATATCTTTTTAACATGTTAGAGGATCTCTGTGGGATAAGCTTCGTAGAGCTTAATTATAATTTTTTTCCTAATTTAATTTTATGTAATTGCTTTGGAACTTGTTGGGGAATTTCAGCTAGTTTTAACAGAAGAAATATACTACATTCCAATAGAGTTTTGTATGAAAATTACCTGTTGGCCAAAGCTGTGGAAGCCCTAAGAAGTGCTTCTACTAGGGTCAAAACTGTTGTGGTTGTTGTGTGTTTTTTCAGCAGATAGTTACCACGTTCTTAGTTCTGAATTGGTTTTTGATACTGAGAAAGCTGTAAAACAGGGATGGGATATGATCAGGTTGTCAAAAGATGCCAGACATATAACTAAGAGAAAAGTGGGATTAATGTGTTTCCCTCCCAATGGAACAACTCCATCTGCATTTTTAAACAGAAAACTGTTTTAGCTACTTTCTACAGGAGTCACTCAGCATGCAGAATTTTGGGTTCCAAATCAGGAGTGGTTAAGGGCTTAAAATATAGATGTAAATATTTATGAAAATACGATTACTGTAGTGAATTTCAGAGTTAATTATTTCTATAGAATTTTACTATTTTCGTAGTGTTCATAGCATTTTCATAGAACTCAATATGTGCTTAAGGTATGTCAGGTACTTATTTCACCTTGTCCTGTTTGCTGTTTTCTTCTTTTCTCCTCTGTAATGTTGTTTTATAATAAATGTTATTTTATCAATGTGTCCTCTGACAGTTTACTCTGAAATAGTATTATACTGGTGCACTTATGATTTGAAAAGTAAATTAATGTGTTTATTATATAGTATAAAGTAGATTTTTATATTTATTGCAGGATGGCTTTGTAGTGCGAATATTTGCCACAAGTACTGAGCCGGTACTGCAACAAGAACTGCAGCTGAAGCTTGCAAGAAAATGCTTACATGCCTGTGGCATCTCATTGTTTGATCTGGAGAAAGATTTGCACATTATCAGTAAGTCCTCTTCTTTGAAGGTTAATAACAAGCCTGGTAATTCAAACAATAGAGCTGAAAGGCTGCTCTTCTCTTTGTCTCTTATTACATACAGGAAGGTATTATAAACACATGGAGAGGTACAAGGGGTGTGAAACTGCTTAAGTGTTATTTGACTCATAGTCAAATCCATACATGCATTTTGAACCACCTTTCTCTCTGTAGCACTATCCACAGTTTTCCAGTGTTTTCCTTTAGTTGTATAATAAATATGTAGTTGTTTGAAGCTTGGACTTTATAATAGTGCTTGTATAACACGCAGTTAAGCTGGGAAACTCCTTGCTGTGTGTCAAAGTCAACAAGTTAAAAAGATCACTGACTGGGTTACTGGAAATGGATTGAAAAACACTTGTATCAGAATTTGAGATGAAGAACTGTTAGTATCTGTGAAAGTATTTTGAATATCACTTGGCCTTTGCTTTGGGGTATTTTTGCTCTGTTAGGTGTCTGCTTCTGGCTCTATCAGAACCAAAGTATAATTGACTACATGGACCTTTCAACTGACCAACTGCAGTTGCTCTTGTGTGTTCTTTTTTCCTCTTTGAGCAACTCTACGAAGTCTAGTTCAGTAAGCCTTCTTGTGACAGCAAAATTTGGTTTCACTTGTAGCTTTCTTAGATCACTTGTTATGACAAACTCTCCCTAGCAGAGTTGGGTAGGTAACTGGTCTGAGAAACTGCCTGTTAAACTGTCCAGTTAATGCAATCTTACTTGCCCAGGTACAGGGTTTGATGAGGAATCAGCTGTCCTTGGTGCTGGAAGAGAGTTTGCACTGATGAAAACTGCTAGTGGAAAGGTACTGAAAATGTTCTGTAGTAAATAGCAAATTGCACCGGTAGATTTTTATGTGGTTTTTGCTTATTATTTTCCATAATTTATTTTTACCTTTTTAGTATGTTAGAATGAAAGTCTATGACTGTATTTAAATACTTTTTTAAGAGCCCACTTTAAAGGCTAAAAGGCAAATAGTTATTTGAAAACATAAACAGATGGTTGGAACCATTAAGAAATCCATGGCTTGAATTTACAGAAATTTCTACTGTCAATCTTAGAGTGAAGGGCTTTGTTTTAGACTTGGGGGTGAAAATTACCCTTCGTCTAGAAATGATGTATTAGCACCTTTGTAAATTTTGCCTTCTCTTAACTTCCCACAAACAGTGTTCGACTCATCTAGCCAAACAATTATATATGAAAACTGACTCTGTGGCTCAGTAGAAAGCACATTTCAAAACAAGCAAATTCTAATCAGAATGTTTTCCCCATTAAGTAAAAATTGATGGGTTTAGGATAAAGCTATTGAAATGGTGTAAACAAAGTCAGGAAAAGTTCTGTATGGTTGGAAATGACAGGATTTAAAAAAAATGCAACTTTAAAAATTATATGAGCTTGAAGTGCTGTGGCATAACTAAAAATGATAAACTGTTTTCTCCTAGATTTATTATACTGGCAAATATCAGAGCCTTGGAATCAAACAAGGTGGCCCTTCAGCTGGCAAATGGGTTGAACTCCCAATCACAAAATCTCCAAAGATTATTCAGTTTTCTGTTGGACATGATGGCTCACATGCCTTACTTGTTGCTGAGGATGGAAGCATATTCTTCACAGGTTCTGCTAGTAAAGGAGAGGATGGTGAATCGAGTATGTATCATTGCTTACTTGACCAATGGTTGATAAAAGCCTCTTAACCACTTTTTAATTTGAAGAGTTTTAACATTTTCCAAGAATATGTAAACATGCCACTTGGGCTGAGTTTTATGCCAGCCACAGCTCCTGACAACCAGTGCCACTGCCTCTCCCAACTACAGAAGTTAATCTCTGTTTTACCACAGTTTGGATTGTGTGGTGGCAGTACTATTTTACAGTTGTTCTGAGCAAAGGCAGTCATAAGTTTGGTCAAGAGGCCATTGTTGTTTTATTGAACTTTGGAATTATTTTTTTTTTGCCAACTAATGGAGAGGTACATGGATTAGAAATTGTAGAAGCATGATCTTCTGTGCCTTGATCAAGGAGAATTCTTTAGACATAAAAGAAGACTTAAATTTGATCTTCAGACTAACAAATACCTCTTCAATATAAAATTAACAAATTTCCTAGTTCTGGTCTCTGAAGTTGTATGTTCAGGTTCAATTTTAAGACAAAGATAGCTTTAAGTGCCTCAAAGCTGTGAACTGCTGTGATATTAAATTAAATACTTCTTTTTAGGAAACAGGCTGTTCTGTTATGTTGTGGTAGATTAATTAATAATAATAAGTGTTTTGAAATACTTGGAGAATCATTCCTGAAAGATATTGATCTAATCATGACTTTGCTTGCCATTGAATTTTTTAGAGGAACCCATATAATCCAATAAAAATTAAACCAAGAGATGGTACATATAGTTGGGGGGGGGGTGTTTGTTTCTGGGTTTTTATTTGGTTGGTTTTGTTTGTTTTTTTTTTTCTTTTTCAGTAGCAGCCTGAAAACTAACTCCTGATTATATGAACGATGTTATTGTGCCTTGGATGTTTTTGTTGTTGGGGTTGGTTTTTTTGGTAGAATGACTTGTAACTTATTTATTTATTTATTTAAAGCTAAAAGCAGACGGCAGTCAAAACCATATAAGCCTAAAAAAATTATTAAAATGGAAGGAAAGATTGTCATATCTACAGCGTGCAATAATGGAAGCAGTTCTGTAATTTCAAAAGATGGAGAACTCTACATGTTTGGAAAAGATGCTATTTACTCTGATAGTACAAGTAAGTTAATATTTGTCTTTAAATTATTTCCCAACTAGACTAGTTGAAATTAGCTTGATAGTTTTTAGCCTGTTTGTTGTTTGTTTCTTACTGTTCTGATAGATTTCTGACATTCTGCTGATTGAGGTAAATATGAGAGAAGGGTAGAAAGAGAAGACAAGTTTCCATAAGTTCTGTAAAAATACTTAGCAGCAGTGGTGACAAATACCCAAATTAATGCTTCCACTATGGAGAAAAAGAAATAAAATCTCTTGTTGTAAATATCTGACACTAGAAGGCCACACAGGGAAAGTCATAGAAATGAGACATGTTTTGCTACAAAGTCTGCCAGAAACCAGGCTTTATATGTTTCTATGCTTGTAAGGCAGCAGGTGATCAAGTACATGTCAGTTTAAATAAAATAGTAATGAAATAAATTCCAGTGGCCTTATGGCTCCTCTAAAATTGTTTTTCAGAACAAGTGATTTGCAGCAGGATTAGGTTTGCTTTTTTGGCTTTTCTTCCTTTGCAGCACAAGTGGCCTAGGCCTAATTCTCCTTCTAATTCTAGCACTTGGTTTTTTAAATCTGTTGTTTTTCTCCTTTGCCATTAATTTTAAAATTGTCTGTATCCAGTAGCAGTTTTGTTATATCATTGAGTTTCCATCTCAGCTGGAAAGTTCAATTTGCCACTCAAGTATTTTATGTCTTCCAGGTTTAGTAACAGATTTGAAAGGCCATTTTGTGACTCAAGTAGCCATGGGCAAAGCTCACACCTGTGTGTTAATGAAGAACGGGGAAGTTTGGACATTCGGTGTAAATAATAAAGGACAGTGTGGACGAGACACAGGCTCCATGAGCCAGGGAGGAAAAGGTGTGGGACCTAGATTTTTCCTTTTGTTTTGTGTGCTGCAAAATATCCCACGTGAAACCAAAGCTAAACATTTTATTATAAAATGTAATTCCAGTACTAATTAAGTAAATACAACGTGCTTAAAAAAACAAACAGGCATGAATGCTTTCACTTCAACTCTCAGGTATTTGGTGTTGTGCACGTACTAATAAACATAGTAATGTTTAAAAAAAAATAAAAAAAAAAAACACGGAGAACAGAACTTAATTACTTTCTGTCAGTAGAAAAGCTTTTCTGTAAAACAAATGAGTAAAACCAAACCACATCCTCTTTGTCTTGCTATGTGCTATTGTCTTAGTAAGAAAACATTTTCTACCTTTCCTTGTTTGCATTCAGTCTTGAGGTTGTCATTTACTTAAACAGGATGTGAATGCAAGTCTACATCTTTCTCCACAGAACTGAATGTTTGAGTTACTCCTAAATAGAGGTATGAAAAAGTCATACCTATTCACCTTTGCCTAATAGAATATTCTACGTGACAAGTAAATGACCTGTTACTTCTATACCGAATAGAAGTAATTCATTTCCCTTTTAGTTTTGAACCTACCTATATACCCCAGCCCAGGTGCAGGGAGGTTTCAAAATTGTCATTGTGCTGGCTGAGCATGCAAATCAGGCATACCTAGTCATTCCTTTTAAAACCTGATTTGAGAGTGTTCTTCAGAGCTTCCACAGGAGCCACTGTTCATAGAAACATTTAAAAGTTTGGGTTGGAAGGGACCTTTTAAAGGTTATGTAGTCCAACCCCCCTGCAATGAGCAGGGACACCTTCAAACAGATCACATTGCTCAGAGCCCTGTCCAACCTGACTTCACCTCTCTGGGTAACCAGAACACTCTTTGTTGGCCTTGGAAAACAACTATTTCTTGTTTCAATATCCTAATTAGGTTTTGGAGTTGAGAACATGGCTACAGCAATGGATGAAGACCTGGAAGAGGAACTGGATGAAAAAGATGAGAAGTCCATGATGTGTCCTCCAGGCATGCATAAATGGAAGCTGGAGCAGTGTATGGTGTGCACTGTATGTGGAGATTGCACAGGCTATGGAGCTAGCTGTGTTAGTAGTGGGCGTCCTGATAGAGTACCTGGAGGGTAAGCAAATGTGTGGAAATGTGCGTGATGCAGTGTGTTGAGTGGCTAAAGCATGTATTGAGTGTAAACTGAGCTGATGTATTTTAAACTTAAATCTAAAGTAACATTATAGCTAAAAGAGTACGCTCTTTTAAAATCAGAAATAGATTCAGTTTTTTTGTAAATAGCTTGTGATGGCTGTAGGTGATTTAGTTTTAAATACGTTTTTTTACTTTAGCATAGAGTTCTCTACTAGGAGCTGTTGGATATGAGCACCAGTATAAATCTGTCTCTTGACAGAGTTACTGGCTCAGGATAACCTTTCTTTGTCCTTTGATGGAACTTTTTTATCTTGCTGTTCCAGTTGCTTTTATCTGTTACTTCTGAGCTGAGCTGCATAAAGGGCCACTGCTTTACATAACACCATTGCTACTTCTCCAGCATTTCATGTGCTCCTTGTTTCCTTGTTCATGTTTTCACGTGATATACATTAAATTAAATGAAGAAAAGTTAATGCTGAGAAGTCAATTCAGTGTGTGGTCAGCATATGGTCCTAGCATCATGCCAGGACATGCCAACAGCAGTCCATTCTGTTTATCTCAGGAAAACTTACATGTCCACAGATAGAGCAAACTAATAATGTATGTTTTAATTACCAAGGCATCAGTGATGCATGAAAATAAAAGACAATAATAAAACAACTCTGTTTGCTGCAGAATCTGTGGTTGTGGCTCAGGTGAGTCAGGCTGTGCCGTATGTGGGTGCTGCAAGGCATGTGCTAGAGAACTGGATGGCCAGGAAGCAAGGCAAAGAGGAATCCTTGATGCTGTAAAAGAGATGATACCTTTAGATCTCTTGCTGGGTAAGTGATACGAAATTAGCAAGATGGCTTTTAATTCTGTTTCTTACTGCACCTTTTTTCTCCTCAGTACATTTGTTTACATACTTTATTATTACAGGACAGTTTCAGTATAATATTGTTAAAATGGATAAAATGGAGTTTATCGGTCAGATTTATTTGTTGGTTATGTAGCAAAGTGGGATCATTCTGTTACATGAAATGTTTTAAGCTTACCCTTACTATAGATATCTGTGCCACTTTGTGACCTGTGCTCTTATGATACTAATATTGATACTACAAAGTTGTTCTTGTCCTTTTTGGTATGTGAAAATTTTTCTATAATGCTTATATCAGGACTTGAGCATTCTTAAACCAAAAAAGGGCTAGTTCATATGAAACGTTTTAAGAATATAAACAATTTTGGGCTTGGTTTAATAATAACACTTTCTGAAACTTTTTAGGGGAGAATTGAGATAACCATGACAACACATAACTTAATATAGATATGTGTATGCCTAAGTACTGAGTACTGCTCAGTGACGTTGGAATTGCCAGATTCATGAAAACCAGGAAATTAGGAAATAAAGCTTAAAACTTCTCCAAATTTTCTTAAGTCCTTTCATTATTGTCAGAGCCATGTAAAGAGCAGCCAGTAAGTAGGTTTCAGTTTTCATTTACTTAACAACTTACAGGGGTTTTTGCCATCATAACAATCTTAAACATAATTTTACATATTTTATTTTTTTAATCTATTTAGCTGTCCCTGTTCCTGGAGTTAATATTGAAGAACACCTTCAGTTACGACAAGAAGAAAAGCGGCAACGCGTCAATAGGAGACACAGATTGGAAGAGGGAAGAGGTAAGTGACTTCTTGAGAAGAGGCTTGAGTAGCTTAAGAAACTACTTAGTCTGTTTTCTAGGAATGAAAATAGTCTTCCTTCAGTGAGGCAGTACAGTAATCAAACTAAAATCAGATTGTAAATAGCTAGCTTATGTTACTTAGCATGCTTTTAGAAAATTGGGAAAAATCTGTATATTTAACAAAGTCTGTGCATAAGAACCAGAATTTTAGTCGTGAAGAGGATTTTATATCGCTTTCACAAGTCAATTTATATTTTTTTGCTGTTTCCTAGTTGAATAATAGTTTTTTAATATGTAGATGCTAAAACATTTTTATATGAAGAGATGAAAAGACTGCAAGCCTGTTCAGTGCAATTTACCTATAATATGAATTATTTAATTACTATAATAAATTATTCAATTTCTGTTGTATTATAGTAAGCAAAATTTCTTGTTATAAAATTACCTTTTCTGTATTTGCATAGCATGAGAAATTTGACACAAACTGAATCAAAAAACAAAATGCTGCCACTTTTCAAAATTTTCTTATGTATTATCTACCTTGATGTTGATTTTCCACACAAACAGTATGTACCTTAACAGGTTTTCAGTACTCTTCTTGTTTTAAAATAGATCACTGTCTTTATCTGGCAAAAGTTGGGAGATCTAGACTGATAAAACCTATATTTTTGTGAAGAATGATGATGTGGTTGGTAAAATTATTGTGTATTGAGAAGAAGAACAACTTATTGGGACATTATGATCTTCAAGTTCCTGCTGTGTTAGTAAATACCGTTTTGATTCTTGTTTAATGAATTAGATACTGGTTTGATTCAAACACAAAACGCCCCTTGTGATCCAGCTTAGACTCTATGCCACTGAATCTTTTGGTGCAAATCATGTCTTTGTTTCACTTGCATTAAGAAATTACTGGTTTCACCACAAATCAACAAAGAAGAGAAAGCTTGTAGTTGTCTATGCATATGGAAAAGGATGGAATATTTATTTTTCTTTGAATCTTAATGGCTAACTTTAGCTATGAGGGGGAGAGGGAAGGCCTTTGTTTAGGTCATGTTGGAGCTCCATTGCATGCTGCTGGCAAATATTAGGTGCAGCTAACAATAATTTTTTCTTAATTCGTCATTGAATGCCTGGACATTATTGAAAGGTGCTGCTGTTCAGCCCATCAGTGATGACAGATCTGGGAGGTAAATTTCAGTTAAAAGAAAAAGAAGAGTAGCAGAGAAACATTTAAGTTTGCTTCTATTTCTGTGGTTAGAAGTAGAACTAGAGCAGCTGATCCCTTCTGTATGCCATCTGTCTCAAACAAAATTACAAGTCAGGTTAACAGTATCAGGGATGTATTTTTATTGTTGGTTTGATGAGTGTATAGGGACTGTAGATAAAAAGATATTGCTGGCCAGCTTGTTGCACATGTTCATATTATATTCTCTATCAAAAGAGCATGGAAATTCTATACCTGTGTGGCTGCAGGAGGTAGTGGGTATGCCTAGCTGGAAGACTTGGAGATTAGTCTCCTGTTTTGCTTCAGAATTACTGATGTGATAAAACTGGGACTAGTGTTTCACAAATAGTTAGACATCTTTATTTATGAGTATTTGATTTGATAATTAATCTTGATTTGCATCACCAGGTTAACAAGCTGGCGGTTTTTTTGCTTCTCCATCCAAATGTTGCAGTTTTCCATGAACTGGTGCAAAGAATAGCACCATTCTTTACAACTGTTATGGTGCTGCTCTTTTCATAAGAGAAAACAAGAACATTTAAATAGCATACTAGATTTTGTGTGCAAAAAGTTTTGCGGTCTGAAAAAACTTGGTTATACTAATGTTAAAAGAATAGGCAGGCTGCTTAGTTCTTCCAAGAAGTTCTAGTATTTGTGCATATGTAAAGGAAGAAATCCTTGCTAAAGAAGTAGCTGTTTAGAGATCCAAAGAAAGTTCTAACCTTTCAGTTTTCTGAAAACATTGCTTAGTCAGTTAAAGACCAGATTAGCTCTGTTAGGGCTTTTCCTTAATGTACACAGCATTTAGTTTGTCAGGATTCTGATTTCTGGGTTGTAGTGTGTTAATACAGGTCTTTTGTTCTTTTTATTAGAAACAAAGTTTGTGTAGTGTATCATAGTCAAGAATAGGAACCATCACTGAATGTTGCTGCTCACTCTTGAGTTACAGGCGATGACCTTCATTCAGTACAAATATTTTCATTAGATATTGAATGTTTTGTAAGCATTTCAACATAGGAAAACTTTTCAAGTCAATAGGAATATTTCATTCCTAAAACAGTCATGCAAATAAAACAGTCAAAAAATCACAAAGAAACCTCTTGCACATTTGCAACTGTAATAGGAGTAAAGTTTAGGACAGAGGTGTAAGAGCACAAGTGCTGGAAGTCTACTGGTTTCCACACTGCAGATTTTTTAAATGATCTAATTGTTTGTGCTTCTTTACCAAAGCTCCATATTTACTCCTGTTATGGTGACCTCTGGTTTAAAAATATGTTCTAGCAATCCACTTGAATTAGGGAGAAAGTGATGGTTATGTCTACAGGTATGACATTCATTTAACTCCTTCCTGAAGTCGGTTATGGTCTCTTGTATGGAAGATGAGAATGCTCATCTTTATTTGCATTTGTCTGAAAATATGAACTATGAATTTAGATATTCTGGGTAGAAGTAGTTGTCATTAACAGCTGCAGTGTCAATGACCTAGTTCAATGCTACTATTACAACCAATTGACTTACTTCTCAAATATCGTTCAGGTAGCCTGGCACTTTTGTAAGGAACCTGTATATATGCTGTTCAGCAGCACCACAATGAGTGGTAAATAACTTCGGAAATTTTAGGTACTTACCCTGAAGATTTCTCTGGTTTTTATCTTGAAATGAGTCACAGCAGATTAGATTAGACTTGCTATCATAGAATTGTAACCAGTAAATAATTTTTATGTTTAGAATCAGCTATTCATGTTGCTTCACTCAAGAAAGAAGTTTTGTTTAGTGAAAAAAGAGATCCTTAAAATTAACAGTGGAAAAGAAGTGTTTCAATGTGGGATAATAAATTAATTATTTAAAAAAATTTGAAAGTTGCTTAATATGGATTATATTTCTTTGCTCTTTTCAGTGCAACAAGTATGTACAGTGTGTTCAGGTGACCAGTTTTGCTCTTTTCTGCTACAGTGGTAACAAGCTACTTCATTCACTACTTTTCTGCTTCTGACTTAATGGCTGTGACAGGAGCAGGGAAGAGGGTTCAAAATCAATTCCCACATTTTTGAGTTGGGTGTATCACCTTTTCAGAAATAAAGCCAGCTGTATTCAGCACAGCTTCTATACTAAAATGTAATATCTCAACATAGTTATTCATGGAATTATCTCAGCTTTTCACTGTCATTTTGATAATTAGTCAAGGAGCTGATATACCACATGATGAAATTTTTTGTTTTTCAGGCTGGTTTGGAGCATAATGTGAGAGATGAGTATGGAAGTAGTTGCACTAGTAGTTGCACTTCATTGTTTTCTGTGGTAATGAGGAATTTTTGTATGTTAGAATGTTCAGAATATGGTTAGATTATGTTTCCTTTCCTATGAAACATCAATGTTTTTACCCATGGGGGCATTAAATTAAACCTTAATGGATTATAGAAATCTGTGGGCCTCACTGTACAATTAATGTAATGAACCTAAGATTAGCATTTACTGGGGGAGGTAATCTTGAAAGCTGTTCCTGCGACTTTTTCAGATTCGTATTTGAAGTAACAGAATTTAGAAATAGTCAAAGATTTCAATTTATCACTTGAAGATAACTCCAGGGGTTTTCTTCAGAAGGCTGTGAGAACAGCTTTTTAAACTGTATTTAACTAATAAGCTAAAAAATACAGGAAGGGTTCTTAGTATGGTGATAATAAGTGGTCTCATGTTTCACTGGTACTTCACTACTACTCTTTCTCAGCCTATGATGTAAAAACCTTTAGGTGATCATTACTGAGATGCAGATTTGGTGTGTAATTAATCAAGATTTGGCTTTTGATGCCCTAATAGAAAAAGAAAAATTATTTTTCATCAGTCTTATTCTACTTGCAACAACAAAAGAACCCACAGGAAATTTATTAATTTTAGTCAAAGCTGCTGTGTTTTGAGACAAAGTTATCTGAGACTGCCTATATATGGGCATTTTTTCATTTTTCTGAAGTGTAACTGATTCAGTTAATTCAGTAATTAGTTTTACCATGGTAGGCCAAATATCCTGTGAACCTGTTTAAGATGTGCACAAGCCACTCAGAGCTTGGAATCATTTTGTCAGTAACACTATTCTCTGTTCATTGCTGAACATGTACCTAAATACACAGCAGAAATATCTATTCAAATGCAATATTCTGTATTAAATAATGGTGTAGCTTCTTTCTGTAGTTTTAGTTAAATATTTATTTTGATGCTTTCAACACCTGAAGGTTACATTTGTTTCAGAGTTCTCTAAACAAACAAAAACCAGTCAAAAAATCCCCTGCCTTTTTACATACATGACTTTCTTTCTAAGAATGCTTTCAAGACAAAGCTGTAGGTTTTTGTCCCTAATAACCAGCAGGTATGATTCTATGAAATTACGTTGTTGTGTTTGAGTCTGTGACTCCTTTCTGCAAGAGCTGATTATTGTTGGTAAAACTGATGTTTAAAGTAGAAATGTTTGTATTTCTATTATAGTTTTAGAACTCGGATTTTCAGTAGACTCAATGAGAACAGTTCTGGTTAATATTTGCTGGTTTAATTTACTTTATGTATTTATACACAGAGATACATCTTTCACATTTATTTAACAATATATACAAAGTCAAGTATTCCGAATGGAGAAAGTGCAAAAATTAAGATTATCATGTATTCTACTTCCATCTCATTCTTTATTACTCCCATATTTCCTTTCATGCTTGTTTTGGCTAACGTGCACCTCTTCTTTGGCTTTGAAAGGCCTTAATAATTTTTCTTCCACATCTGATTTGTACAATTTAATCATCAGTAGAAAAGAACTTTCAGACTACAGGAAGAGACATGTATCCTGTCTTTATTTTCAATTTTTTGAGCAAAAGTAGCAAACTGCAATCAACTTTAGTGCTTACACAGCACAATGATATTCTCCATGCATATTTCTGATAAATTGCTACTCATAGTCTGAAAAATACAGTTTTAAAGAACATGCTTCGTAACTATTATCTGTGCCTCATAGGAATATTAAATTTTGTTTCCTTTAAGGCTGTAGAGGTGGGACATTATCTCAGTATAATGTTTTCCACTTCTAGTGGAACTGAAACCAAGCATTTGTCTCCAGTTCTATTTTCTGAAATATTTTTCTTTAAAATTTGTCACCTGTTGACATATTAGATAACTATTTTTCTATATTAAGGTTTTGCTTCCCTATTTTATTATTGAAAAAAACCAAACCTCACCACCACAAAAAAGAAATATGCTTTGTCTCTTACAAGGATTCAAGAAGCCAAAAATTTTTTACAACAGAAGATTGTACACCTAGGACTTTGCTCTGCAACCTTGATTTATACTGCTTGTCTTTGTACCTCATGACACATGTGATCGTGCACTATCTTTTAGGTAGCCTGTTATGTTCTGTGCGCTGATGTGGAAGTCAGCATTTGAGATAATTAATTTCAGTCTTCTGTAATCACAGCTTACCAAATAGCATTTGTTTAGGGTAAGGTAGTAGAAGAAATCAAAATATGTGTAATATAAAATCAAACATTAATCTCTTTGATAGTAGTGCATAAGTGCTTAGATGACCAAAACTGCAAAAGCATGCCAAGTGCATGTAGGATGAAACCAATTGTGTACATTTTCCTGTAGTCCACTGTATAATTTAATAAATGCATTCTGTTTGCTAGAAAATGAAATTACTTCTGTGGTTAAGTATTTTTCTCCTTTACTCTTTCAATTCACTGCCAAACAATGTCTTTTTTGAAAGGCCTGAATCTTGTAGGACCAAGAAAGAAAAGCTAATCTTGACATTTCCTTGGCTGGGGCTATTTAACCTTGCAGCTTAACTATGATAAAACAGTCTATGACAAAACCAAGGGAGAGCGTGAATGTTATTTTCCATCATATAGCAACTGATTTAAAACAGCAGGTCTGTAGTCTACCAGTGACTCCCCTTTGCTGATCTGTCACTTGAGCTTCTAAAATAATTGAGAATAGCGATAGATCATTTTTCCCCGTGCAGATCTATGTTAGAAGCTTCTAGAATAGTTTTCCAAATAATACTCTGCAGGCATTTTCTAACAAAATAAACAAAGTGTCTAATGCATGGCTGGATAATTCATAGTACGTGAACTCTGCTCCCATTGTACAGACAACTTCAGATGTAAGCAGAGGGCAGATATGCTCTGTATGAATTATTCTAGTGTTCTGTTTCCTGCGTTGTTATTTTGGACGGACAAGGAGGTACTTTACATTTTGCCAGCACGTGACCAAGGAGGCAGGCATCACAAAGTGATCAAAATGTAGATGTTTCCTGTTATATTATGATGGTGCTATGGATTTGGCATGCACAAAAAGCCAAGGAGGATGACAGATTTGCGTTACATGGATTTGGGTACAAATTATTATGAGATGAAGATACATTGCATTGAACTTTATTTTGGATTCAAGTTCATTTCTAATAATGGTAAATGTAGAGTACATAGGAATATTCAGAAACACAGATAAATCTTGCCCAGTCAGGTTTTATTGGTACAGAATTGTCATCTTGGCTAGGGATATGCAATTCAGATGAGTGACTTGGAAACTAATGACAGCTGTGTGCTAGCACCATGCTGAAGCTGACAGTCTCTTATGCTTCCTAAACATTTTCTGTCTCCCCCAAATCTCCTGTAGTTCTTTTACTCATCCTAATGTACTTCACTTCTTTTCTGCTCTTTGCTCTTAGCACTAAAATGCCAAAGGCTGCCTTCAGGGCTGTGTCTTGTTCCCTTCATTGTTTCTTGTGCAGGCCTTTTCTGGAACTTCAGAATCTTTGCCTAAGTCATCTAGAGATCACTTCTTCTGTTCAGTCACCCACAAATATCTTGGATCCACACACTTAAAGCCACACTCCTTGTAATCCCTGCATCTCTTTTTGCAACTTTTTTCATACAAGTTTTACTTTTGTCATATTGTCCTGTCTGTTCTATATTTCTTGGGCTTTTAATTTCATTAGGAACTTCTCAGTAAGTCCCATTACTTTTTTCTTATTTTCTTCTGTTCATTCACCTTTCCTCTGTGTCATTTGTCCTTCAAACATTTTTATCTTTTATAATCTGCTTGCCAGTTGTCTCTTTCCCCTTTTTTGCCTTTTTCTAGTGTGCCTCAGTGAACTTCTCAGTATTTCTCCTCCAGCTTGGTAAGAAGCAAAGTGTAATTTATTGTCTAAGTCTAAACTGTGGAAAGTAGATTATTAAACACTGGTGGCCTGGTAGAAAGTAATTTTTGCCAAAAAAAAATATATATATATATAAAATGGAAGCTCCAACTGAGAGGGGACTAAAAAGAGGGAGCAATAGCAAGAGAACTGAAGGAAGAATCTGCAAGATGAAGGTAAAGCAAATTATGATCTTGATTTATCAGAAGGAGTTCTTAAATAACAAGGGTACTTATTCTGGGATAAAGAGTCCGGATAAATACAGTAGAACCAAAATAAAAAATCTATGTTGTGTGTAGAAACAAACACGATTAAAGAGGTTTTAGGCCATTATATTATCTAACACTTGTATGAATCTCAGAGCTAGGGGGGCAAGACAGTACTGTGTATTTAAAACATTTTTCATTTTGGTTTTGAAGTTAATGCTAAAATTTGGGAACTTCGCTGTGTGAAGACAAGTTTCTTCATTTGAAGGTTCTAAAGCTACAAAGATCTGGCCTAACTTAAAATTTTTGTCCATACTGTCTAGCATGAAGGAACTGGTGGTCTAGAGGTGATAGCAGGAAACCTGACACAGTGGGCGTTTGTGAAAAGACCTACATGGTCTTGTTAATATAGGTCAGTTGAGGAATGAGAATATCAGTGAATTTGTAGCAGGAGGAGGAATACTTGTTTTTGAAGTTTCACGTAATCTGTTTATAGCATGACTTAAAGCCCAATATGGGGGGCTTTTGTTTACAGTCCATATAGTGACTGGATTTGGGAACCCATGGAATGGAGTGTTACTTGGCAGAATTGGTTGCACCTGATTCATGGTTTTGATTAAATGTGAGACTTCTGAAAGAAGGAGAAGCCTCCGAAGAATTCTTGGTTTTGTATTTAACCTATAAAACAGAGGAGAAATACAGATTAAACAAACAAACCACTTTTTCATGATCTACATATACTCAGCCTCAGTTAAACATAGTACATCACTACCTAAGTCTAGATTTTTAAAAAGAAAAAGTGGTTTGGAAAAAATTTTAAATACAGGTACCATTGCTTTCTTCAAATCAGATCTTCTCTTTAAGACCTTTACATAGATGGAAAAATATTTTAAAAATAAATACATTTCAAAATTAGTAAATAGATAAGAAAAAAGTCATATGATTTGAAAAATTTTCCTAATGGAAAAGTTGGTTTTGGGTAGTTGTTTTCTTTATAATTGATTCCTCTGCATTTTAGATATAGTAATTGTGAACAGTTTTATGATTACGTTTTTTAAATGTAACATTGATCTGATGGTATTATTTCAAATCAGTATTTTGAATGTAATATTGTATGATGTAAGGCGTAATAATATTCTTTTTATCTAATAAAGACAATAATGGATATTTGCTATCAAATTTTACTCTAGTGTGAGTCTGTTGTATTTCCGTTGCTTGGAGTACAGTTGCATACTTAGAGGTTCAGGTAAAGCTGTCACTGTGGGATATTTATTATTTCTTTGTGTAATATTTGGTCCTATTATCAAGAAATGGCAACTTTCTTTTAAGGCATTTTGAATTTAAGAAAAGAAGATTACTATATAATAATTATTCTTTATGTTTTTTTCATTGCTTTTAATTTGAATTTTGTTTAACACACTGTTTCCATTTTGTGAGCTTTCCTATGCATGTGCAAAATGTTTCTCCTCAGGCCCCCTTGTATTTCCTGGTCCTATTTTTATGAACCATCGAGAGCAGGCTCTAGCCAGAATCAGACCCCATCCAGCACAGCTAAAGCATAAACGGGACAAGCACAAAGGTATTTGGTCTTCCTTATTGGCTAGGGTGGAAATAAGCCCATCCTCCCAGTCACTCCTACCATGCGCTGCATCTGTCTTTTCAAAGAACTGCACAAAATGAGTTCTGCCTTTCTTTCTGTTAGTATCTTGTTACCTGAGGAGAAAGAAAATGCATTTAAATGTTGACCTTTTTTTAAAAGGTGTGCATGTTCGTTAGTCTGTATTATCTTTGTTTTTCTTCCTTTTTTTTTTAATGAAATATGCATTGTCTTTCTGTGTGTCTTTTCTCATTTTAATGCTGTCTCATTCCTAACATTCTTTAATTTTACTGTAGGGACTTTAGTGCCTTAGTGTGACTCAGACTGCTGCACTGCATTTGTGTTGGGTTTTTTTGAGCCTTCGTGTTGTATATACAGGGCGATTACTTCAGCATTTCAATTCCAGACTTGTGAATTCTGGCATAAATTTTTTTCATAGGTAGGTTGTCTTTCAACAAGCGTTTTGCAGAAATAAAATATTTAAAATAATGTAAACACTACTTTTTGCTAGTTTTGAGTGGGGAGAATACAAGTCAAAGTACAGGTTTTACCCTGAAATATTCCTGAGTGAAGAGGCTTTTGCAGAGTGTAAGTAAGAAGGTGTCTGATATGTCAGACATTTTAGTATGTCTGCCAAGCCAGTTCATTATATCTTGAATTTGTAAATGTGTAATTTGTTCAGATATAAATTATTTATATATATTTTTAGAAATATGTGATTACTTAAATTATGTGTATTACTAAAAATTTCAACTGAATTTATTAAAGTTGAGCTGAATAAATATGTAAAATGGAGATTAAAGTCCTGATAAGTTGAAAGCTCCTAAAATGGCCAGAGCCCATCACGCTTCAGCTATTTTCTAGAGACTAGCTAAATATTAAAGGAATTGTTAGTATGGCATTTCAGTTGAATTAATGGAAGTTGCTGATAGTATTTGGCATGTATGCAAACAAATTGTATGACAGTTTGAAGCCTTTTGGGATACATTTTCAATGTGGGTGGGTGATAGGCCTGCCTAGTTATGAACATACTGGATCATGAAATCATCTTAAGTTTATTTTATGGACATGAAAGCAAGATCTGGTCCTTTGTATCTGTATAACACATATTCCATTTATTTGGAAAGCATATAGTGTGAGCTTTAAGTCTTGATGGATTAAGTAGAATAACCTACCATGATCTCACTGAGAGAGACTGGGTACTGAAAGACAAAACATACTGAACCTGAGTGCTGCATTTGAGTAACAGTTTGCTGATGACCAGTGTTCTTGAACTGGGTATTACTGCTAGTTGTACTGCTTGCAAACCCTTGACTCCACAGGCAGGTGTATAAGGAGTATGCTCATCCTGCCTACATCTGTATTTTTTCAGCTCGTGTTAGTTGTTGGAGTTCACTTCAACTCACTTATTTCCTTACGGGGGAAGTGTGTTCATTGGTGTCAGTTTGAGGTTTATGTTGCTTCTTGGAGTTGTATGAGCAGTGCAAAGGTCTGTATTGTGCAAAGATTTTTTTCAGATGTGCTCTATAGAACTGAGCATTTATTTTTCCTTGAGGAAGGCTATATGCTTCAGAAGATATCCTCTCAAAAGACAGCCATAAATTCCACTAGAAACTAGAAGTGCCCCTTCACTTCGGGAAGAGGTTTCAAGGGAAAAAGAAAAACTGGTGAAGTGAGTTTTTATCAAAGTAATGGGCAAGGTGAGAATTGTGCAAAAGATGATTTATATCTTTTATCTTAGAAGGCATGCCTCTTTTTTAGACACAGAGTGTAAAATCAATAATAGAGTAATGAGGCAGAGATGTTGACTTCAGTAAAAGAACACTTTAACATTGAAATCAGCAAGTTCTTTGTTTATTTTTAAATGTGATGCTTTCCAAACCATCATCCTTACTTCAGATATTTCTGCTATAGTAGTCTTGTTAGTCTTTACACCAACCAGACCTTCAAGATCTTTGGGCAATGAAATTTAGTTCAACTGGTAGTACTGATGAGACCAGTACCAAACATGCTGGTACTGACCTGTTCCCACTTCTACACTTGCAGCTGCAGAACTTCTCTTGATAATGACATTTTAACTTGAATGTGGACAGCTTCTTTAGGACTGACAGTTATGGTCTAATATAAAAAGTATATTTGATATATATTTGTACATATTATCAAATCATAGAATAGATTGGGTTGGAGGGGACCTTAAAGATCGTCTAGTTCCAAGCCCCCTGCTGTGGACAGGAACACCTTCTGCCAGACCAGGTTGCTCAGAGCTCCACCCAGCCTGGCCTTGAACACTTTAAGGGATGGGACATCCACAATTTCTCTGGGCAGCCTGTTCCAGTGTCTCACCACCCTCACGGTAAAGAATTTTTTCCTAAGAATCTACATGTCTATCACTTGTCAAATTCTTTTCTTGGATTGTCCAGTTGAAAACTCCTTCAACTTCATTAAAACAACCATTTTCTAGAAATCTTGCCATTGTCATTTTCTCTTTGTACATTTATAGGGTCTGCACATCAAGATCCCTGTTATTACAAAAAAATGCATATTAAGTATAATCATAGTCTTTCTGATCTGTGTCTGTGTCAGCATCACAAGAATAAATAGAAGGGATTAGGTACCACCTTCTTGGTATTCATGGAGTGCTTTGACACTAGAAAGAAAAATGAGCTTGTGCTTCATCCTCATTCTTTAATGAGGTGATGAGTTGTCAGTCTACATCTCCAGTCCCCATGGACTTCATCACTGGAGATCTGAGTAAAACAGAATAATGAGAGTCTGTAAAATTTTTGAACTGCAGAAATTAACTGAGTGACAATTAAAAAGTAAGTAAGTTCATTCTGTCAGTAAAGATTCTGCAAATGAATGCCACCTTTTTTCTGTATTTTAAAGTAGTGGCAAATGTTCTAAAAAATGTGAAACAAATACCCTCAAAAGGACAAAGAATAGATGAAGCTGAACCTGCACGGATGGAACAAGATATATGTCAACCGTTTTGCAAATGCTAATACAAAATTATCAGATGTTCAAGAAAAATTACTTGTAATTTACGTTTTAACTTTTTTACTGTGTGAAGCACTCATTGGAGTGAGAGAGCTGACAATGAAAACCTACATCTAAGACTGAGTTTATAATTAGAATGCAAGTTTATTATCACTTTATAGCACTGTAGCTATAAAGTTGGTTACAGATATTTCAGCTGAAGCCTGTGGTGGACAACCAGGAATCTGCAGGCACAGGCTGATTTGTTCAAAATACTTGAACATCTATAAACATGTATATGAAGTGTGTAAATTATATTAAGACATTCAAAACATTCTGTGAAGGTGAAACACCGCAGTCTTGACCAATATGTTTTAGCTGTGTAAACAGAACAAAGATTTTTTGGCAAATGGTCTGAAGAGAGACAGTTATTATAAAAATTTTTTATGTACAGTCGTATTAAAGCTTTTCATCTGTGGAGTGAAGACATGTATTTAACATCTTTAGAAGTGCTTTTTCCCTCCTCCAAAGATGGGTGGTCAGTGAGAAATGAAATGCGACCTTTACTGCTGCTGAGGAACCCTAATAAAATGGTTTTCCTCTAATCTGGACCAAGAGTCCAAAATGGCATTCTGTAATGATGTTGGGGTTGTTTTGGGGTTTTTGTTTGTAGAAGAACTCTCATTTATAGCTTGTTACTTCCCTTGCTGTTGGGGCTGTATAAGTTTTTTCCTTTGTTCCTGGAAAGCAGTGGGTTTTTTTGTGGCAGCCATGTTGGCCAAGGGGACTTTTAAAGTGTGTTTCACATAGGGGAAAAATTGCCTTCAGGAGTTAAGAATTTTCTAAGGAAAATGGAGTGGTAGTGGGTATTGGTTGGTTGTATTTCCTGTTATCTTGCTTTCCTTCCCCACCTGTATGAGATATCAAAGATGGAAACCCATCATTGTGAAGTTGTTCATGGAGCCTACCCCTTGGTGCTGACAGCAGGAAGCACCTCAGAGCTTTTCCTTGGTGCTTGCCTCTCTCTGAGATGTGGAGTCATCCAAGTTTCTGTTCAGTGGTAGCCCAGTTGGATAACACTGGATATACTAACTTGCTCTGTTTAACAGCTTCAGTTGTTCAACAAGAAGAGTCTCTGCTTCGGTAGTCTTTTTATGCTTCCATTTCAGAAACAGTGGTTTTGATATTACTTTTTATGAAATGAATATGAGCACAGTTGTTTGAAGAAAAGCAAGTGTGTATCTCCATAGTTAAGAGCTGTTCCTTGAGACACATAAAGTGCTTATCAAGTTTTGAAGATCCAAACAATTCAAAACTCGAGACAGTTACTAACCACACAAAGAAGGCTGAGAGGAGTTCCCTCTTCAGTTTGCAGATTTCACGCTTAAGCAAAGTAAAATATGTGTCGAAGACAGTTGCTTCCATTCCTGTGTTCTTGAAGGGTTTGAGAAGTTAGCTTTGAAATTTGAAAATGCCAACTTTGAAAAACTTTATCCTCTAAAATAAATTTATTTTTCAGATAAGGAATTGAAAAACTTGTTTCATGTGAAGGTGCTTGTCTCTACGTCTTGCACATTGACATTTAGTGTTTCCTCAAGGGCGGTATTGTGTTATACTTTCATTTACAAGTTTGGAGAAAATGGGAATATATTTAGAATCATGTTTTATTTAAAGGTAGTATCACGTATTTATCAACTGAGAAAACAGCAATCCTCAACTTCTTATTAGTAGTTGTTGAAGCTCTTTAGAGCGGTATGTTTTTCTTATAGCAAGGCAGAAAATGCATATGTAACTGTTTAAATGGCTGTGAAACACTTGATGTGCCACTGTTTTGTGACCAGAGTACAACTGCTGCTAAATTTTGTTAATATGACTTTGCATGGGTGACATGGTTACTGTGTCCAGTTTGTTTCATTGTAGGAAGTACATGCAGCCATGACACATTTTTACTGGACATGTGCATTCCTGGCAGATGGTTATTGAAGTGCATTTACACAATGGGAGAGCTTTTTCATTAGTCATCAGTGTCTGAGGGAGGAGAGGAGACAGGGGCCACACGTAGACTTTCAGAATAATTAGCTTTTTTCTGCTCCTGTCCAAAAATCTTGTGTGAAATAGGGAAGCAGTAAGTAGGCTGCTTACTGACTAAATAATTCTGGTGGTAGTATAGCAGCTAGAAGCATCTCTTGATTACTTTGGCATGTAGAGTTTAATGCAAAAGTAGGCATAAAAAGTTCAAAGGTGCTGTATTTGAGAAGTAGTCAAGTTGTTAAATAAAATAATGTGAGCTTGTTACGACAGAATTACAGGACTAGGAGGAAAACTGTATTTTTGGGGAGTGGGGGGGATGGTTTCCTGTTAAATAATAGTTCTGTCTCTGTATTTGCTTTTGTTGTTAATACACAAAAAGCTGCAGGCAGACCTTCAAAAATACTGAGATAAACCTCAAAAATCCCATGGCAGTTCTGAGAGACTGACAGTTCTTTTACAAGTCCATTTCACACATAGCCAGCATGAAGTGCAAGTATAAATCTTTTTGATGAAGAGCACCCACATTTTCAAAGGGATACTTTACCTATGCTATTAAACCTAATTCTTCAAAAGCATTAATACTTACATGCACTGTTCCTTTACAGATGTGAACTACATGGAGATTCATGTAATTTCTGTACTCAACCATCACTAGAAAATAGCTTTATTTCTAAAACAGTAAGATTTTTTAAAACTGGTTTGTAAAAAAAAATGGTGAAATTACTGTATCAACAGTTTCCTTGCAATAAGAAGAAAAGTTTGAGCAATATGTATAAAAGCAGAATTATATTTTAAAAATATTTTTAAGTCTGTAATTGCAGTGCTTCACACAGGGAATAATGAAGTCTTGGAGTGCAGACTTCCACTGATGATTATTCAGGAAAACATGTAGAAATTCTAAGTATAGATCTAAATTAACAATACCTTGAATGTTTTGTTAATAAAGCAGTACACAGTCAGAATTGTGTATTTTTCTCTCTTTCTCTATGCTAGACACGGTGTAACTAAAGTCTAGTAGATGATGTAAACGTTCTGATTTCTGGAGAAGATGTTGGCTTGCGAGAAGTTTAGGAATAATACACTTCACTTCAGTGCTTTTGTCTAATGTGGGAGGAGTTTGACTTTAGGAACCAATAATGCACTTCATACTTATTAAAAGAAATCACAGAAACAATGTCTAAAAATGTACTGAAACAGACAGGAAGCAGACACACTCTCATAGTGAGTATGACTGCGTTGTTGGAAATGAGCTGTGTCAGTAGTTGTTAGTTACTTAAAATAATGCCTCTGTGGCCAAGTTGGAGTCAAGTAAAATCCTTCACAAGTAGTAATTGAAAAAAAGTAGACTAGGCTATGCCTGTTGAGTTTAACTGCAGTGCTGTCTACTTAATAATGCTATTTTATTGAAGAATGAAAGTGATGGTTATCAAGCAAAGCTTCTGAAGTTTGGATTTTCTGTTTTGCTGATTCCTTTTGTCTTCTCTTTGGGAAGTTTCTGCTTTAGAGGATGAGATATTTTCCTATCTGTACCTTTGTAGTACATTGTTTCAAAGTAGAGTTTCTGTCATCTTCCACATCTACTTTGATGCTACATTTTGAGCTGTCTCTCTTACCACTGTGTGAGTTCTCTCTCCTACCTTACAAGTGGAGGGGTGGGGAGTTATTTACTATTCTTGTTCTATTCATTATTCTAGAATAACTTTTTTAAAATACATGGGGATATAATTATAAGTTTTGTTTATAGATGGAAGTGGAGAAAGAGGTGAGAAGGATGCCAGCAAAATCACAACCTATCCACCAGGGGCTGTCCGCTTTGACTGTGAACTGCGAGCTGTACAAGTCAGTTGTGGATTTCACCATTCAGGTAAAAACAAACAATTCTATGTTAATTATAGCATAGATTTTTTTTTCAATGTCGTCATACATGTTTTCACTGTTTTTTGTTTAATTTTCAATAAGTATGTACGCAGGAGTGTTAAAAATTGAAAATGTTGACAGTATCATTTTGTAGCCTACTACACTGTCATAGAATTGTAGAACATTCTGAGTTGGAAGGGAGCCACAAGGATCAAGTCCAACTCCCGGCCCTGCGCAACACATCCCAAGAGTCACACCACGTGCCTGAGAGCATTGTCCAAATGCTTCTTGAACTCTGTCAGGCTTGATGCTATGACTACTTACCCGGGGAGCCTGTTCCAGTGCCCAACCACCCTCTGAGTGAAGAACTTTTTCCTGATATCTAGCCTGAACCTCCCCTGACACAACTTCATGCTGTTTAATCACATTTAGGCTAAAGTAAGATCACCATATCACCTCCAGCCATGAAAGGCAACTCACTGTCCTTCAACAGTGAAAAAGACTATAAGTATCATATATTGAGTTACATCAGAGCTTGTAAGCGATTTTTGAGTCAGTTCAAAACATCTGCATAGCAGAGCTCTAGTCCTGCATAGAGGTGCTAGCTGTAATGGGTTGTGGAATCTCTGACTGTTTAGTAGGGATCATTAACTGTGCTACTCAGAAAGGCTAATCAGCTCTGGTGCAGTGCCATGTCATGTGCATATGTCAGAAAAATATTTTGTTGTTTTCCAGTGGTTTTGATGGAGAATGGTGATGTTTACACATTTGGATATGGGCAGCATGGGCAACTTGGACACGGTGATGTTAATTCCAGGTGAGCTGGTAATTAAAGGACAAGATTGTGTATTCTGTACTGCTGCATAAGAAATGGCTAAATTTCTGGTTCTCTGTAGCTGGCAAGTGTGAAAATTCAAATATAGATCAAATAAAGTTGATAAACTCTCGTTCTGAATTTACTCCCCATAGTGCCCTGAATATAAATACAATAACAGTACTTTTGTACTATATAAGTAATTTGTTCAATACATGAAGGCTTCTGTGCCTAAGTATTAGCATAGGTGTGATAATTGAGTTTGAAATGCTTCTCTCTTCAATTCTCCCTACCTATATGAGAATGACATTGAAGTCTCATTGAGATTTCATTATTTTTGTAAAATAGTATATATGCAATAATGCAAATAGTATGATATCGTAAACCTAGATTACCCTGTTTCTGTTAAATCGTTGATAACAGTTCAGTTATGATAAAGTCTAATTTTGTTCATCATTTAATATCCGAAATTAAGTCATGAAACTTTGTCTCAGCTGCATTTTGTAGTCGCTTATTTTGGGTGTTGCAGGAGAGTGATGTGTGTTATCTTTGTAGTCAATGGAAATAGAGAAGTCAACAGAGCATGGAGAGCTGTTTGACTAACTACCCAACTATTATCTGCCTTAGGTATGCTCAGTAGCTCTGTAGACTTTATGGGCTTGATTTCCATTGACTACAGTGAGAACATAGATAATTAAATATAGATGTCTTTAATGTGCAGCTCAATTTCACCCTTGGTATCTCATCATTAGAATCTCATCTGTTCATTAAAGTAAAAAAAATCAGCGTCCTTCACTAAAAGGAAAAGTGATTAAGGTCTTTGGACATGTACATATACCATATAATGCATACGATGGTGGTTTTGTGTAGTAGGAATCTTTGAGACTTTGTGTATGTCCAGTAATGCTCCGTATCCTTATGTAAGAGGCATACGGAGTGGAGCATCCATGACCTGTCTTCAGTTCTGTCGTTTCTCTTGTAGCAGCGAGGTAAAAATTACTGAACATCTGTCCTCCTAATCTCTTTGGAGACTTCCAAACCATTTCTTTTGTCGAGTTTCTAAAGAAATCTTCATCATCTTAAAACTTTCATTGGATTCACTAAGCCAAAGGGGGAGAGGAAAGGAATTATACTGGAAATGTTACCTTGTATTGACTGCTGTGCCTGATAATAGTCTCTAAACTGTTTACCCCTACACAGTTTGCGTTAGACTGGTGAATGCAGTCTGTGTTTCTTTCTGTGGTAGGGTTATATCACAGACAAATACTCTGATTTTCCTTCTTGGAAGTTCTTGGATACTTGTTCCAAGCAACAACGTCTTTAGCTGGCAATTCAAGGTGCTGTTAGAATAAGGCCATTTTCTGTCTTAAAGGCTGAAGATATAAACAGCAGTGGCATTTGTACTGGTAGCTTACTGTCACCTGTTTCCAACTTTGATGAAATCACTTGGCTTTTTGGAAGGCTTCAGAGCTCTTTTCTGTATTTTTCAGTATTTCAGGTAGTAAACCCCACATTGCTTATTTAGACAGAAACTGGATGAAGACCAAATGTAGTTTTAAGTGAGATCCTAGAAGAGAATATGACAAATCTTGTGCTGAAGGATAGTGCTTGACCAGAACTAGAAGCTGAGGAGGTACAGCTGACTTGGCACTGACCTTCGTATCATTCTACATCAGACCCTAAAGAGTGTCTGAAAAAAAGCCTTGGAGAAATTTGGAGTATGTCCTATGCATGAGAACGGGCTATAGTACTATATTGCTGTTTAGCACCATCATTCAAATTATAATTTCTTCATTGATGTACTTCTTTTTCCAGCTTTAAGTAGAGATCTCTCCTCTGTCCTCACAGTAAGGGATTCAGAGAAGGAAACAGGGAATCCTTATGCAGAGTTCCACCTCAGTTGGGACGCAGTGGTGCTCAGATGGCCAGCTCCTGCCAGGTCAGTGGTATGTCAGTCATGCAGTGTGTCACATTGCCTGTATTGACCTCAGGAAGAGCATCATCTTCTGAATCCAGGAACTAATACTCTACTGTGTTTCTGGGAGAGAGAGAGAGGGGAGGAAAAAAGGGGAAGTAATGTTTAGGCAGCCTAGCTCATATATCTAAATAAGGGGGTCCTGAAAACAAGAACTCTTAGGGAAAATACAGGAACTCTTATTTTCATCTAAAGGAGCCGTCTTCATTGCCAGATAAAGCAATGATGTAAGTTTCTGGGCAGCCATTCATGACTCATTCTTTCAGAGACTTTTGTCTTGCAGTGTAAAGACTTAGTAGTAAGACTATATTTTTAAAAGCCTTGAAAATGCTTAAGTATTTTGAATTCTGAACAGCTGTCCAGACATGCCTTTCTGTTAATTAAGGGCTAGACTGCTCTATTAGAGTATGGTAAACACCACAAGTTCTTCCTCCTACTTCAGTAGGAATGAGGTAGATTACATGCCATATCAGTATGCTGGAACCCTTTAATTAGTCTGTGTAGACTCTTTATTGTGAAATCCACAGTGGCAGATGTTGATGAGCTATTCACTAAATGAAAGATTTGTCAGTCTGTGCTTATATTCTCCTCAAATTAGCTGCTGGTGAATAGAAACTCAGTGGAATCAAGAAATGCTTTGCAGTATCTAGTCTTGGTGAAAAATAGCATGTCTTGTATTCAGGTAAGCAAAGGCCTGTTTTTTGCTGATGCTTCCCTTTTATTATTGTTCAAAATTTGCCTGCATTTTTGGTACAAACTCTTTACTTCAGCACTACAGTAGCAAGCACATGACCTGACAGTCAAGCTCCAGAAATGAGATGGCTGAAATAAGATGATCTTGGTATAGAGTTTTGCTTCTGAAAGTTCAACAATAACATAAAAGAAAACTGATCAGACCTTCCATAGATGGTCAGCCTATCTTCCACTTGAAGACAAAGAATAGAGACTATATCCTATTAATAACTCTAGGAGAAAAAAAGTGTTCCATCATCTGTGTTTGTTAGGACCATGTTTCTAGGTGCAGTTTCTGATTATTTTATTCCAGTGGTGCAGTGCAGGTCCTGTTTACATATTTTCACCACATTTTCAGTTCCATCTAAAATATAAAAATCTCCATTTTCTTTGTAACTCTATACTGTCCAACTCTGCTTGTTACTACTGGTTTCCTTTTACCCACTACCTCCTAACAGCCCACAGTGAACCTGTATTTACAGCACCACGGTCAGCTGCCCCAAGTGACACTTTATGGGACCTGGCAGCCAGCTGTTGGCTGCATAAGTACCACAAACAGCGCTTGTTTGTGCAGGATGAATTTTCAAAGACTGCATCTGCTCCCAGAAATGTTTACCCTTTGGGATGGGAGAGGGTTTTCGTGTACACAGCCAAAATGTATCTGGACCGTCTTCAGGATTCTGAGTTACCTGATGTTGCATCTGCTGCTAATCATTCAGCAATGTTACGTTTTCCCAAGAGATCTCTGGTTCCTTTCTGTAACGCTGAGGTTGGTGTTTTGTGATTGACCTGTGTCATATCCAGAAGTCAAGGATTCTGTGACTTTGATGTGTCCTTTCACTCCATCCCAGAGGAATGCTCCTTGCTTTCTTTCATTCAAATGCAGAAACCTTAGGTATTAAAACTTTGTCCGAAGAGTTTCTCAGACTCTTCAGTGTCTATTCTGAGCTTTCCTGTGTTGAATTTCAGAGGGATAGGGAAATAATAATATCACAGGTTTTAAATTCCATATGCATCACTCAAACTGGCTTACTGTATTTTTCCAAATTTCTTCTCCTTTTATGAAGTGAAAATTAGTTTTCTGTAATTCAAGTTTATTTTATTGTATAGTTAAGTATCTTAAGCTTTTTTTTCTCCTTTTCCTTTCTTAAGTTAATACACTGAAGTTGGCCATTCCAGAAGCTGGGTGGTCTTAATGAAAGAGCTATTTAAGAGGATAATGTATTTTATCTCTCTACATTAGTTGCTTATTTGATTTTGCTCTGCTGCTGCCAAGGGGCTATCATACACAGCATTCAGATAACATTACTGTTAGATTTGATTGGAAAAACAGGTAAATAGTTTTGGTGATAATAGCTTAGTTTTTAAGCATCAATGAGATGAAACGTTGACTACTTTTCTTTCTTTTTTTTTTTTCACAAACATAAGATTGATAATTCCATGCCTGTAGTTACCATAATTTTGAGAGAGGGGGAAAAAAAAACTTTAATAAAAATATTTCCTTTTAGCAGGATTGCTTTTGGATAAGTTGCTAGTTATGTTTTGTTTCTGTTTTGGTGCCTTTTTGAGCTTCTTTAAAGTTAATGAGAGACAAATATAAATTTTCTTTTGTTTTTAAAATGTTTCATCACTGATGTTGCTAAACTTTGCTCTGTCTGTCTGTGTATAATTAAACTGATGTCCAAATCAGTGTGTCTGTAGACCAACAAAGGCTTCTAAATTTATGAATGTCATGCTGTGTATCCTCTACCTAATTTTATTCTGTCCTTCAGTCTCTCCATCTCCCCTAGTCATGCACAGAAAGCTACATTCACTGCCAAGGAATAATTTCTTCCTGTATACCTGTGTTCCTCCTGCAGGTCATCAACCTGTCTTCATGCTACATTCCACCTTTCCATATGTTCACATTTTCCCATCTACCCTTTTCCTGCTGAACTCATGATGCTTCCTCATACTTTTTTGACTTCTGTTTTACCTGCAATTCAGCCAAAATTAGAGCATTCAGATGACCCATCTTTTTGCACATCAGCTGCTAAACAATTGCTAGGTAACTCTGAGCTGACACTTTTTTGTTCCAGCACAAGACAACCTGTTCTTAATTTAGACTAGCCTACTTTTGAAAGGCTGTGTTTGAAAGTAAGTTTAAATAGTGTTGTTATTCTCTGAGGTCAGAGTTTCCAAACATGGAATTATTTGGGAATAACTTGTTCTTCAAATTCAGTCTTTCTAACTCCACAGTAAATTTGAAGTCTATGTAGACATTCATCATGGGATTCTAAGGCTTGTAGTCTCCTGTTCATTTTGTTGAGATTGAGATAAAAATTTTATTTTAATATCTCATATTTCTTTTTATCTTTTGTGCTCTTTCTCTTCTGTCATCAGTTCAAGTTTTCTTTCTTTGCTTCTTGAACTTCCTATTGTTTTTTTCCCTTCATTTTTACTGGAATGGAAAATTTATTTTCTTATGGCTATCCATATTTGGGAGACAAATGGATTAGACTTTTTCATATTTCTCTGGAAAATAGTTTGAAGTGGTTTGTTCTTTATTGAGTCTGACTTGGATGGGAGAGGGGCTGATGGAGGGGGTAGACCTTTATTTCTTCTATAATTGCCAACAGAGTGATCCTGGGAGGCCTGCATCAATATTGTTTCTGGTAATTGTAGTAGTGTACCAACCACATAAGGCTTTGGTTGCTTCATAATGTGAAAAGGGGTTTTTTAAGTGCTTAACTGATGTTGTCACAACATGATTTTTTCACTGCTATGTTTTGTTCCAATGTATTTTTGTATACATACAAAAATACACACTCACATGTAATCCTACAATTATATATTAAATTAATAATTTTTGTTCTGTGGTAATTTCTGAGTTTAACTGAAGAGGTTGTCGTCAGTCTTCCTTCTATCAGAAGAACATAAACGTAACTATTTGGCACAGCCTTTCAAATCTCTGTTCATTTAAAATGTAAGATGTCTCTTGACTCTAATTTGCTATGGTATGTGAATTTGGTGAATATATTTCAGAGTGATTGAAATACTTATAATACTAATGTACATTTTAAATGTTGCATAAGCATGTATTGATACAGAATTAATTTATTTTTATATAGGGGATGTCCCACTTTGGTGCAAGCATTACCAGGTCCTAGTACACAAGTTACTGCTGGGAGCAACCATACAGCTATTCTCTTAATGGATGGCCAAGTTTTCACGTTTGGAAGTTTCTCAGTAAGGAAATATTATTATTTACTTATGAGAATAAGCTAATAGTTAATATATTGTTCAAAGACCTTTCAAGACTGCTTATACTTGCTCTTACAGAACTATGCATGACTTCTGCATGTCTTTTGTGCCTGTTATGTAATGAAATGTAGCCTCTAATGTTATTGTAGTTGGAAAAGCATGATGCCAGGAATTCTTTGTGGTTTTTATACATTTTAATGAAGACGGTGATTTAAAACCTAGATTGTTTTATAAGGTGCACCAGTTTTCTCAAACTCTTATTGTTGCAAACTTACTTGTGTTGCCTATTCTGTTGCCTGTCTCCATTTGGTAGAAAAAATTGCCCTTGTTTCTTTCACAGAAACAGCAGTGAGTTGCAGAAGTTACACTAACACTTGAGGGGAGGGATTATTGTTCAGTATAACGCTTCTTAACTCTAGTATTCTTATTTCCACATGGTGTATTATTTTCCCATGTCCCTGTGGAATCCATTCTTATATTCACTAAATACGCACTTAAACGTTTACTTCCCTTTGTGCCTCCTTGTCTTTGTAAATATGCCCCTCATTGCAATCTCTACAGAGTCATCTGTTGTTTGTACTTTCCTGCTAATGTTTTTGCTGTTTTGGGGGTTTTTTTGCAAAAGCTAGAATATACATATTGAGTTATTTTTATATGTTTTTAAAACTAGGTATTGCCAAACACAAGAGAAATTTTACCTTCTGAAATCTCTCTTTTTACAAAAAAAAAAAAAAACAATTAAAAAAAGGTGAGGACTGAAATTTCAGAAACAGAAGGTCATGTTTTGAATTAAAGTGAACCATAAGACAGCTCTGCAATTAGGCAGTATTTTGTTGTTTTGCAGACTTTAAGCAACAGTTGTGGTGTCAAAATTGACATGTTTATGTCAAAACTGACATGGGCTCGTAAAAGTTTCAGGTGAAGCTTGGCCTCTGAAAAACCAAATTCACTCTCAGAAACAGGATATAAAAGTCTGTTTGTTGACTGTGGGTCTTTTTCCTTTCTCTAAAATAAAAATAAATTTAGGCCATATTTAGACCACTTGTACTTTGTGTCTGGTTTTAAGATTGTAATGCTTGAAAGTTTGCTGAAAGCTTCATAAAGTCAAGACAAAATTAAAAGTGAATATATTATTGAAAATGTCTTTGCTAAGTTTACTTATTACAGTGTTATGAAGAAAGAGAGATGAATAACATGCTGGACAGGATATTTGCTGTATATACATGTTTCTTTTCCCTAACCATTTTAACTTTAGCATGCAATGCATTGCCTGTGGCTGAATGGGGTAAATGGAGTCTGAGCAGGTTTATTGTAGCAATTCTTTCTATGTACTTAGGTACAGTATAAGAACTGTTGATCCATCTCAATAACTAGTTGTACATGGAGATAAGGCCCCAGATGTCCAGATCAGGTTGTTAATGAACATGTGCAGAGGTGCTTGCTGAGGCATTTTATGCTTTTTTTAGCTTAAGTTTGACATGCTAATCGATTTTTAGGTACTTGTAAGAGATATTTGCTCTATGAAACTTACAGTCCATATAAGTTCAGAATTGAGTGGAACTTAGACTGTCTATATCTGAATATAATTTTTTTTCTTTTTAAACCATTCCTTTTTTAACCTTGAAGTTATTCAGATACTGAACATTGTAGGAGAACAAGGCATTTATATTTGACTCTGAAGATGGAAAGGAGGATTATCCATCATGGAGAGTTTGAGTTGCATTTAAAAAAAGTTTACTCAAAAACCTAACTGAATTAAGGAGGAGTATATCTGTCAGTAACTTGTTTCTTGTATTTAAATGTGTAATGCTTTACTTAAATTAGCCATTGCTTTTTGAAGGTAGTTTTGTGGTAAACTTTCTTCCAGATGACCAATTTTGTCTGATGAAACTATCGAAGTAACTTAGTCATCTTTGAGACTTATTGTTACTGTCTCTTACTAATTCTTGCATTCTTTCTATAGAAAGGTCAGCTTGGTAGACCAATTTTGGATATGCCCTACTGGAATGCAAAGCCAGCACCTATGCCTAATATAGGCTCCAAATACGGACGCAAAGCTACATGGATTGGAGCGAGTGGAGACCAGACTTTTCTCCGGATCGATGAAGCTCTTATTAATTCTCATGTGCTTGCTACATCAGAGATATTTGCAAGCAGGCATATAATAGGCAAGAACTCTTCTGTAACATTTTAAATACTTATAGAAGTGTTGGAGAATAATAGAGGAGCAACAAGTCAAAAATGTGAATGGAGGGAATGAAAATATTTTGGCTTTCTAGTTTTACTGCACATGATGATCCTAGCTTCTTTAGAAATCAGTTTTATTAGAAATAATAATGTAAAAGCCTAAAATTTGCTTGCATTTAAATCTTACTACCTTTTTTTCTTTTGCTGTAGCAGCATATCTGTTCTTTCCTGTTACATTACATGCATTTTATATGTAAAAAGCATTAATGACTTGAGTCTTCATGTTTGTTTGCTCTTTTTGCTCCATGATCTAGGTTTGGTACCAGCTTCAATATCAGAACCTCCTCCTTTTAAATGTCTTCTGATAAACAAAGTAGATGGCAGTTGCAAAACATTCAATGATTCTGAGCAGGAAGACCTTCAAGGTTCTGGTGTGTGTCTGGATCCTGTCTATGATGTTATTTGGAGGCAAGTGTGGATTATAGCTATTAAAGTAGCAGTATAGAAATCCTTTTTAAAATACTTTGGGAGGCTGACGACTTAATTATACTAGTCGTGTTTATGCTTATTTCCTTAGTAAATGAAAAACAATTTTTAATCTTCCATATATATTTTTCACACTTTTTGGATAATTTGCTTAAGTAAGCCCAAAACAAACATCTTCACTTGCCCAAATTTTTAAAATTTCTTTTATTTTCTTTTTTGCATCATTCTCATGCCAGTCTCATAGTATTTACAGAATCCCAATCTGTTCTCTTTATTTACTCCTTTTATTCCCTTTTCTCCATCTACTTAACACTTGACTGAAAAATTTTCTTGCCACACTCAGCTGACACATGTCTATATCTTAAATTGTCATCATTTTCTCAGGCATTAGTGGTTAAAACTTGAATAGGAGAAAGGGTGGAGCAATGGTGTTCTTTTCAGTTCTGACATTTTGTGAGGTCAAAAAAAGTACTTATTTAGATGACACAGACAGACAGATTAATTGTATTTATTTTACAGTCATTGGGGTTAGAGTCTTTGAGCAGGTGTAGGTTGTAAGCACTTGTTCCAAAACAGAATCATAAGATCCAATTCTTCTATAATGATTTAAAAGCTATGTTAGCTAGGATTTAGGAGAGAAATTTGAACTGTCATCTGAGTTCCAGTAATGGATGATATTTAAATTTTTTGTAGACAAAACAAGAATGATCAGTTAGAATAAAGCAGGAAACCAGCTAGTCTGCATTCAGCTGGAAAAGGTAGTATCACAGCTGTCTTCGTCCAAAATATTGAGATTCAAGAATGTAATAGCCAATTAACATTGAAACATGCATATTTTCTAGGCATGTTTCTTTATGATGTGTGAAGTTTCTTGGATGGTTGTAGTTCTGCATTATGCACCTCCCAGAATTGTTTGAATCTCATTGGCTAGGTACCAATTCCTATTGAAATTATGCTGAGATTAGAAATAGAGTAGCACTCACATCCCTTAAAGCTCTATATTTTCAGCAAGTTTAGCTCTCACTGAAAGACTCAAAAAGAGTCACCAAAAGACTCAGTTTGTGAAAAATTCAGTTATCAATGGCCATGGGAATGCAGCAAGTTTCAGAGGAGAAAAGGTGGTGATACTCAACTTGATCTAGCCCAAGAAATGGTAATTCAGTTTAAAAAAATTCAAAGTCACATGTTAATATGGGTGAACATGAATTGAGATGTTTTATTGTCTTGCAGTATTTTGGAGACTGTAGAACTAAATCTAGAGCTTAAAAACTGAAGAGTGGATTGTGGGAGACTGCAGATTTATTTCTCTCTTATCCCATTCTTGTTCAATAGAAAATATTAAAATAGTCTAAAAAGAAGGGACATGTTAATGAATATGCCTATTAGTAGTTAAATATTTGGTATATTATTATACCTGGACATTTTTATTCATGCCTGTTTAAGTGAGGGTTCAGTTTCTCGTACAGAGAAAGCATTCTGATGACAGAGATTTTAAAGATTTTCTTCACAGCTTTGTGACTTATTCTTCCAGTGAAATTCAAGTGGTTACATGATTTTGTGTCTGTGTCTAAGCATTGCTAACTTGTTGATATCCTGAATACCTATGATGTACTTTAATGCTTTTAGTTAAAACTATTTGTTTCTCCATTAGATTTTTTAGAACCATGTACCAAGTGAAAATTCCTTTTCTGCTTATTCACAACACTCACATAGGCCTATGTCTTTTAACTGTTTCTTCCTTTTACGTAATGGTTTCAAAGATTTCATTTTCTTAATTTTCTTTTTCTCCGTGTTAATTTATAGTATAGAAAGTCTTTGTATTCCCTTGTTTATGCTGCCCTTTTCTATAATCCCTTAAAAACTCATGAGGCGATGTTACCCATTTAAAAAAAGCCCAAACAAAATATGTTGGATTTGTCAAGATTTTTTTACTCTTATTTGAAGGTAAGCCTTTTACTTTCACTTGGCATCTTTATAATTTTTTTGCACATCTGCCATTACATTTAGTACTTTTCTAGTTACTTGATATTTTTTACTAGATAATACTGTTTTAACGTTTATTAGATTTGAGAAGTGTCTGACATTTTCTGAAATTTGTAAACCCATAATATGACTGTTTGACTTGAAGTAGAGTAAGAATGTTTTTGTGTCTTTCCATTTGCTGGAGTGTTAAACTCTTAAACTTTATATATTTAGTGTAATGATGTTCAATTTCAAGAGATTGTACCAGCAGATCTATGTTTTACATTAAATAGCTTATAAAATTTAATTATCGGTTAGGCTTTGTATTTTTTTCAGTAGATGAAAGGTTTTTTTCATTCTGTTTTTTCTTGCTCTAGGTTTCGACCAAATGCTAGGGAACTCTGGAGTTACAATGCAGTAGTTGCTGATTCCAGACTTCCATCAGCTCCAGACATTCAATCCCGGTGTAGTATTTTGAGTCCAGAACTTGCTCTACCAACAGGTTCCAAAGCTCTAACAACCAGATCTCATGCAGCTTTGCACATTCTAGGTATACATTTACAGTTGATGAGTCAGAAGCTTAGATGAAATAAAGTAATGTAACTTAATGTTATAAATGTAATAAATGAATTGTAGTCTTAACAACTTTCTGACTTTTTTTCAGTTAAAATTTTACTTTGTAATTAAAAATATACTTTGTAGTTCTCACCGTTGCTCTTAACTCTTATGAGCTGGCTGATAAGCATTAATTTCATCAAAATAGTTATCTTCTACCATCTTAATGATGTTAGAGGGTTTTAGAGTTCTGGTGGAACCTGCTATTAGAGGTCAACATAAAAAAAGTAAGAAACCTTCCTAGGTGGTCTCTTTGGAAAGTCTGCAGAATGAAGTTGGTACTCTTAACTTGGAGTCTCAAAAAACCCCCCAAACAACCCCAGCATAAAAAAGTGCTCTTCAATAAGTTACTTTTATTTTAAAGTAAATACATTATCTAATATTAAAATATACTCTTTGCATTTTTGTATAATGAGTCCCTAAGAGTAATATGACTTCCTTTTGTAGTCTAAAAAGCCTACCAAAATAAAAATAATTCCACTGTGTTAGTGTATAAACTGGCCATATGCAGCATATGCAGTGCTTCAAAGCACAGCTTTAGAAGTGATTTTAGCTCACTTGTTCCCTGATTGTGATGAGTCATCAGTTTGTTGACCTGCTCCCTTCATTATGTGTTAGAGATGTGATTACTTTTAACTTGAACAGTACTTTTTTGTGTCTGAGTCAGAGTAAGGCATGTTAGGTACCCCTGTGTATGAAACAAATTTTATGAAGACTTTAAAATCTGTCCATAATTCAGTTACTACTTCAACTCTTTTTGGGTAATACAATAAGTGTAAAAAGGAAAAAAAAATGTTGCTGGCAACTTATCTGCCATTGTAAAAGTTGCAAAGTAGGTTTAATCATATTTTTTTGTTATTCTGGAGAATAAATAAATTAAATAAAATTTATCTTCAGTACCAAACCTTGAGGTTCGGCAACAATGACCCTTGGCCTAATCAAAACTATAAAGATATTCAGTAGCCTTGTGTGATTTAGAGACAAAACAGCTTTCTTTGATCTTCTTAATTAATATTCATTTCCATTTCACTGATTATAATCAACAGGGAGAATTTTTGAGTTCTTTTTTTCTCTTGCCTTCTTATAGGTTGTCTTGATACTTTGGCTGCTATGCAGGACTTAAAAATGGGTGTAGCAAATACAGAAGAAGAAACTCAAGCAGTAATGAAGGTTTATTCTAAAGAAGACTATAGTGTTGTTAACAGATTTGAAAGTATGTACACACTAAAATTTTATAGCACAAGCCAATCAGGCTTGCAGAATGAAAGACCAAGATTAACTATATTTTTGGGGGGATTTTTTTCTGCAGGTCATGGAGGAGGCTGGGGTTATTCAGCCCACTCAGTAGAAGCTATCCGTTTCTGTGCTGATACGGATATTCTGTTAGGTGGTCTTGGTCTTTTTGGTGGTAGAGGTGAATACACTGCTAAAATAAAGGTAGGTTTTTTGATCATTTTGAACAATGTTATATCTCAAAATCGGAACTTTAAGAAATGTCATCGAAAACAGGATTAATTTTATTTCTTGATGAATGAGTGGTTTACTGTTTATGAAAAGCATTATGCAGATACAGTGGGTGAGGTAGAGATCTGAGAATTACCATTATTAATTGTCAAGAATTGGCCCTTTCTCACCTTCACTAAATGCTGTGCCATCTTAGAGGTGTCTTGAGTGGGTATGTTAGTGAGACCGATGTTCTGTAATCTGTTTACACAAAGCTCAGAGGTCCACCTGCAGAAAATCGGTGTTACAGGCTTCAGGTTAAAATCACATCCTATGTGACTGACAAGGAACTGTTTCTCAAAAGCAGAAAAATAGTCCTTATCAGTAGCCATTGCTTCCCATTGTCCCTACCACTTCTTTCTCAGACTGGAAGAAGCTATCTCTCAGCTTCAGCTGAGTGTGAATGGCACCAAATGCAGTTGACTCTGCTTTGTGTCAAATGTAAGGATGATTACAGGTGGAGCGTGTGTGCTGATTTAAAATAAATAGACATGGCTTTGGATTAGAAAACTTACATAAACACACAATGTGATAACAGAGCTCTGGTTTCTAATAAGTGTCTTCTGGTCCTGTATTTAATAAGGGTTTTGGTAACTGCAAAAACAATTGTAAAGGAAGATCTGGTATCTGTCTGAGATTTGTATTAGATGTGTATGTTCAGAATATGTTATCATTACTTGTTATTTAGTGGGTTACTGAATTTTCTTTCTTTTTTTTTGGATAAATAGGTTTGTATTAGGGAAATGGATGGCATATGCTTAGCAATAACACTTGCATAAGACAACAGGAAATCCAGAATAAGTAGTTGTACTTTGTTCTAGTTTAACATAATGACTGAGAATTGCAAATGATTAAGGGCAGCCAAGAAACTTAATGTTAGTCCTCCCCTTTTTGTTTTTAATACTAAAAGCAATAACTGTATGAAAGCACTCTTAATATTATCTGTTCGGTTTGTTTCTGATTGTTTAGGATTAGCTTATTGCCAAGATAAGATTTGCCAGTCCTGCCACAAACTGTGTATTAAATAGGTATTTGCAAGAGAAGTCATAGACATATATTGTGGTCCCTTTTCAAACTCATCAAACTGTAGAAAATATTTTTGAGAAAGAAAACCAAGTTCATCTTTTGTCCTGGTCACCAACTGGTTACAATACTATTGACTAGCTCTGCTAAACCATCAAGTGGTCCCTTTCCAGAGAAGCTGAGTATATCTTATATCTATATAAGATATGTAAGTGCATTTCAGTCTGTGATGGAAAGCCTGCACTTTCTGCACCACTTTGCCTTTTTTGGATGCTCTGCATTTTACTTGCTTGCAAGATTTAGGGAGTTTCTCCACTTAAAAATATATTTGGACATAAGGCTGGGAGGTCAGTGTCAACTGCGATTTCTTAACAGTTAATGCCTGACTTCCAAATGGGAATTTGCCTGTCAGTGATTTTTGGGAAGGGGAAAGAAGAGCAGTATACAGTTTCCAGAATGCCAGACAGGAAAAAGTGACATTAGGAGGTTTCTAACACCTAAGACATAATTTGACTGTTTTCTCTTACTTCGCCAGTTGTTTGAATTGGGTCCAGATGGGGGAGACCATGAGACTGATGGAGACCTTCTTGCTGAGACAGATGTCTTAGCATATGATTGTGCTGCTAGGTAAGATGTTTAGCTTACCTACTCTACCTATTTCTTGATCTTTATTTTTACTTTCTTCATACACATTTTAGTATCACTTTAATATCATGAGATGATCTACATCATTAGAATTTTGTAGCAAGAGACATAAAACTTACACTCAAAAGTGTGTTGGGGAAAGTGGTAAAACCAAATACTCACCCAACCATTATGTTATTTAAATTAAAAGAAGAAAAATAATCTAATACTTGCTCTTGTATAAATATGAGTCAAATCCCATATTCCTTTGATGAGATGATAAGACAAAATGTTGCAGCAGCTCTTTTGCATAGTTCTATCAACAGGATGCTTTCAAGTACAAATGGGTATTTGCATTAAACAACTTATGATTAAGCTTACTTAGTAAGGAATTATCATAAGTAAAAGAAGGGTTACTGTGCTTCAGCTCATTAGAATACAAGCAGCTATTGCTTGAAAGATTTTGTGCATATGGATGTGGTTAGCTATATTGCTTTTTCATTCCCTGTTATAAAATAATTTAAAATTCAAACAATATGTGATTATATTTGTCAGGTTTAATCTTATATATCAATCCCCTAACTATATGTTCTATTACTTTCCATAATATTCATTGTAATTACTAAGAATTTTTGTATAAGGTCTTGTAATTTGCAGAAATTTTCTGAAATTGAATTAATACTATGTAATTAATACCTTATAAGTAATACTTTACTTGCAGTATTTTATAACACACAAATTGGTTTTGTGTGTTAGTTTAACTTAATTTCTCCTTACTCTATTTGATATCTGATTATTTAATTGTGGAAGATCAAGCTAGACTTAGGCATTTGTAGGTCCTTCTGAATTACTGGTTTTTAATTTCTACAATATTTTTCAATGAAATATTTTTAAGTTTTGAATATAAACAGATGTGATATTAATAACCTAATTCCATTACTTTCCAATTTTCTTTTATGAACAGAGTGTAACTTTTAAAAATTAATCTAGAAACTAGTTCAAATATATTTTTTTTCAAAATTTACTTCTCCCAGAGAGAAATATGCAATGATGTTTGATGAACCAGTACTTCTACAAGCTGGCTGGTGGTATGTAGCCTGGGCAAGAGTGTCAGGACCTAGCAGTGATTGTGGATCTCATGGACAGGCCTCTATAACTACAGATGATGGGTATATTTTTTTCTATATTTTTTAATGCAAAGGAAGAGCTCTAATATGACTTGAATAATAATTGGATTATTTCTCTTTCAGTGTTGTATTTCAGTTTAAAAGTTCCAAGAAATCAAATAATGGTACAGATGTTAATGCAGGGCAGATTCCGCAGTTACTATACAGGTAATAATTTGGCTTCTATTTGGAACAATTTATTCACGTGTTTTTTAAATGGAAACATAGAAGTTGTTGAAGTAACCATGTTTCATGAAAACATTATTGTATTAAGCTAAGGAAATCAGTGTCTGAAAAAATTAGGCAAAAACTTAGTGTCTTTAAGAATAACAAATCCATTATGCCAACATTTACTTCTTTGGTATTTTTGCAGTCATTTTGCATGAGTTACAAGACTTGTAATTTACATCTATAAAACCTTGTGATTTCATACAACATGATTAGTATTTTTGGCTAGTTGGAAAGTACTCTATTCAGTAGGCCTTAGTTAAGGAACAGTGTACTATCAACAAATGATTTTAATGAAAAAGAGGCCAAACACAACAATCAACTCTGCTTTACTACAGACTTATGATTCGCATGATAAATGTTATTTAACTCTTTTTTAGAAAGAAAGAACTCTTTCACTGGATTGATAGTATATTTTATAGATTTCCGCTGATAAATACAAGACCTAATTCTTATATTTTATGAGTGTGTGTATATTTTTCCTCTCCTCCTCTTGCCCCCACCTTGACTCTGAAACTTGGAATTTCTTCACACCAGTTCTCTTGCTGTGTCCTTTTCAGGGTCCCTTCTCAGAACAGCTCACTTTTGCCTGTAAGCTTTCTGTCCATAGACCCCTATCTCTCCAGGTGAAGGTTTCATTTTGACTGATGCACATGAAGTCCTGGGATGACATATTAATCATTTGGGTGATATCTATGGAGAGATGGCTGTAGGCTTGAGGCCTCTGAAGGAAGGATATGGCTTAAGAGCAATGAGTGGCACAGAAGGGAAGGTGCTGCAGTAATAGATGCTGCCTGTATTTTTAACCTCCTGCCTGTATTTTACTTCCACAAAACTAGTGTTCTTTAAGGAGTAACATTTCTAGTTTTGATTTCATATGAAGAAATACAGTAAATACTTGTAATAATTTCATGTAATTAAATCTCAACCTTTTTTCAGTTGTCACAGTACTTCCAGTTGAACAGAATTCACAATATTTAGTTATTGGTCTAGGATAATTAGGAACTGGAGGAAGTTATGCTGAAATTGAACATTTTTGGATAGTTATGTTAAACTTGTTTTGTCATTTGTTTTTGTTTCACTTGAACAATACAAACAGTAAAAACTAGAAAAAGTAAAAAAACAAACAAAACCAAACCCAAACCAAAAGTCTACTAAAAGAGAAAACTGGAGATTTCAAGTCAGTTCTAAAATTGTTCTTCCAGATTGCCAACAAGTGATGGCAGTGCATCCAAAGGAAAACAGCAAACCAGTGAACCTGTACATATTTTAAAGAGATCTTTTGCCAGAACTGTCTCAGTGGTGAGTACTATTAAGAATCTTCTGTGATTCTGGCAAGTTCAGTCATGCTTAGAAAACTGAAAGATGTACATGTGGAAATAATGATTTTTTTTCTCTTTGGTTTATCACGCAGAAGGTAGGTACACTGATATATAAAATATTTAATTATTTTACTTTTTCTGAAGATTTCTGATGTAAACCTAAATCTAAGCTAAGCTTGGTATTGACCTGAGGGTGAAAGTCTAGAAATGTATTTATTTACAAGGTTGAACTACTTAATTTTGTGTTTTTCTGGTGGGGGGGAATTCAGATGGAGTTCATTCTTACTGGTTGTATTCAAGGTACAAGCCTTACTTCCTGCTAAAAGTCAATATTATCAGGCTTTTTAGAATTTGAGTTTGCTTTACTGCTCTCTTAAACGGCTTTTAGACTACTAGCATTAATTAGTCACTGGTTAGATTTATCTCCATCTTGGATTCATTCCGTTATACATTGAGGATCAGATAGCATTTAATTGAACTTTGATAAACTGAGGTAAGGAGTATTCATAGGCACAGTGAACTGCAACTATTAATAGAAGGTAGTCTGCAGCTCTTCTCATACAGGGAGGTTAGTCTAACTTTGAGAAATACTGTATTAAGTTGAGATACAATATTATTCAGGGTAAGGCCAATTCTGTCTCTGTATTTTTGCAATACAGTCCCTTCCTTATCTGTTACAAGCAATGATTATTTTATTTTCATTTTCATCCTGGTTTATATTCTATACTGTTTTACACATACTGTCAGTATTCTCCATGGTACACTGAAGTTATTGCCTTTATGTGTCTGTCCAGGTTTGCTTCACCTTGTATTAAAGTTATTGGACAGTCACAGTCCAATTTTCTAAATCAGGCTGCTTTCTTTCATTTATGTATTCTCCATCTGTTCAGTATTCTCTATTGATCAGGATGATCTTCTCCTGTTCAGGTTTCTTCTGGAAATGTATTACCTACATAATTTGCATTTTTAGTAATCATGTTATCAACATGTTAATAGCAACTCTTAATATATGTTTGCTTAAAAATATTTGCATTGAGCTATGAACTCCTGTGGCTTTTAATACTTCACATTGTGTCCTCTCTCTTCATTATCTTGCTGCTGTTATCCCTCACCATAGATACAAACTAGTATAAGAGGAGAGTTTTGACTTTCTGGAGCACTAGGTGTTTTATATCTAACTTTGAACAATCAGTTTGATTGTTGCAACTTGAAGGTGTTCAATACCAAATACTTGTATTTTGCTTTCTGAGGTGCAAATTCATGAAATTACCAGCCACATCTAACGGTAGAAACAAAACTTCTTAAATCCTCAAATTTCTTGTGGACTATCATGTATTTCTGTTTAGCTTTCAAGTACTGTAAATGTTATATAGTTGCCATGATCCTGCAGATCATAATTGTTTAAAGTGAAGACAGCCCTGATAAGTCTTCACTTTATAACAAGAATGTATCATGTCAAAAGTAGGTATTACACTATTATGCAGATGAAGCAAGTAAAATTTACTGAAAAATCTCTATTGCAGATGAATACAAACCGTTGTTAGTTCTTAAATAAGTGAGAGACTTCCACACATATTATAGCATATGTCATAAATAGCTTTTATCATGGTATTACAGTGAAGCGTCCCCTACATTCTCAGTGCTTTTTTTTTTCTCAAGCAAAATAGGATTTGTGTGTTGCATGGTAGATATATATAGATATAAATATGTTTTCATAATAAACATGCGTATAGGTGCTATTTGCTTTTCATCTGAAACTGATACTGAAAGGTCATTTCTTGTTTTTTAACACAAAATCTGTCTTTGGTCTCCTTCATACTCTGAAATAGGAATGCTTTGAGTCTTTACTGAGCATTCTTCACTGGAGTTGGACAACACTGGTGCTGGGAGTTGAGGAACTTCGTGGACTTAAGGGTTTCCAATACACTGCTACTCTTTTGGATTTAGAAAGGTTGCGTTTTGTGGGCACATGCTGCCTGAGATTGCTGAGGGTCTACACCTGTGAAATATATCCAATATCAGGTATTTTTCTTGGTTAATTTGATTCATATTTATCAGCAATCATTATTTTACGGGACACCTAAAATTTGATCGAAGTATTAATGTAGGATTAATATAGTATTAATGTAATATAGTAATATAGTATTAATTATTATTAATATATATTAATTATTATATATTATTATATATTATTATATATTGTTATATATTGTTATATATTATTGATTATTAATTATTATAGTAATATAGTATTACTATATTAATGTAATATAGTATTAATGTAGTATTAATGTAGGATTCTTCGTTCGCGAAGCCTCGCCATGATGATTAATGTAGGATATACTATAAGATGAAATACAGATGGTTTTATTGGATCAATTAAGAGACTTGTTGTCAGACATGGGATATTTTCAATTATCTGCATAAGCAAATGTCCAATACCACTTTTACACTATAACTTATATGTATTTTAAAGTTAATTTCTTGTTTGACTTGTCAGCTGAGTTCTTTTGGACTACTTGTACCTTCCTTTTTTTCTCATCTCTTTACATAGTGTCTGCTTTGGTGGTGAGCTCAATTTAAATTTGAAAGATGTATCTGTTTTTCGTGCCTGTAGTTTGATAATGCTCTTATTAAAACACAGCATATATTATGACAGACCAGAAAAGTAGGAGTTTCTGATGTTCAGGGTTTTTTATATGGTTTAACACCCTTCACTGTGTCACTTTGGAAATTAACTTCTCTGAATATAGATACATTATTGTTCCTAAATTCCAATTGTTTCATTTGCATGTAAAATGTACATTTTAATATGAAAATGTTTCGGTTACTCTGAACTTAATTCTTTTCTTTGTGTAACCTTCTAGCTTCAGCTAAGGCAGTTGTAGAAGAAACGAGCAAACTAGCAGATTGCATTGGAAAAACTAGGACCTTGTTGAGAAAAATTTTATCTGAAGGAGTTGATCATTGCATGGTGAAGTTGGACAATGATCCACAAGGATATCTCAGTCAACCGCTCAGTCTTTTAGAAGCTGTTCTTCAGGAATGCCATAATACATTCACAGCTTGCTTTCATTCATTTTATCCAACACCAGCTCTCCAGTGGGCATGTCTTTGTGACTTGCTGAACTGTTTGGACCAGGTACATTAAAATGACTCAAGTAAATATTACAGCTTAGCTTGACCTTTGCTGAAATTGAAGCTAAGCAGTATTTAAAACTTTTATTCAATTTTTTCTTTTATTCTCATTTGCAACTTGAGTTCTGCTGTGGTTTGCTGTTTTTTGGTGGTTTGTTTTTTTTTAATAATCAGTTATTAGTTTTCTTTGTTGTTTGGTGGTTTTTGAGTGTCCAAGTTCAACAAGAGCCTAGGAACTTTGTCTCCCTTGGCTTTAAGATTCTCTCTGGGACAGCGAAGAAAATTTTTAGTGCTGGTAACTGTCAGTATCTGCTTTTTCAGTGTTGAGGCCATGCCTTATATGTGCTTATTCTTGGTGCATGTTACTTAAAAGCATAAGTGTAGCGTTTTTTTCACAAATACTTGAGTAATTCCTCGTTATTAAATATTACAACAGTGCTCTGACCTAGCCAAGTACATGAGAAGCAGCTGACAATATTATTCTGTAATCAACAACTTTCCAAGTATCTTGCTTAATGTGAATGAGCATTCCACATCTAAATGGTGTAGTTGCTTGCTTGGATTGCTTGTAGTAAGATGCAAACAGTTTGCTGCTTTGCATGAAAATTCATTTATCATATACAATTTCAAGGAAGAATCTTTAATGTATTAGTCTAATTAAATTGTTTGGTTAATTGTAAGAAATGCTTTGTCTTCAAAGGATACCATAATTTGAAAAGTAATATTAAATGGTTTATTATTTTAAAATATACCAACCAAAAATATTAATTAGTCAAATTTTGAAAATCTAAATACAAACTTATGAGAGAAGATAATGTAAAATTCATAGGAAAGCTTTCTCTAAATTATTTCTATAATTACGATAAAGCTGAAAAGATTCTTTCAAAAGTAGTTTCTCTCTTGTTTACTTTCAGTGCCTTTTTGGCACTTTTCAGTGCCTTTTTGGGGACCCCTGGTGGTCTAGTGGTTAGGATGCAGCACTCTCACCGCTGCGACCCAGGTTCACATCCCGGTCAGGGAAACTCCCCCGGGCAGATGGAGCTCGTCAGCCCTGTAAGGCAATCCATCTAAGAGAAGGTCACTGTAAACAAACCTGCGTTCTGAGGACCTCACTGCCACTGTCCAAGCTTGCTTGGCCCCGGCAGATGAACCTTAGGATTAAAGGGTGGGCTCAGTTCAGCGCACACTGGGTCTCACCTAAAAAATCCACTGTGCAGGCTTGAAGGGTAAAGACCTTTCCCAAATCTTCGTCCGTGAAGACTGGCCATACTATACTTTCAGTGCAATGGTGCCATTCTGTTCCTATCTGTTTATGTTTTTAGGACATTCAGGAAGCAAACTTCAAAACCTCCAGCAGTCGCCTTCTTGCTGCAGTTATGTCTGCTCTCTGCCATACTTCAGTAAAGCTGACCTCTATCTTTCCCATTGCTTATGATGGAGAGGCGTTGCTGCGATCAATGGTTAAACAAGTCAGCACTGAGAATGACTCTGCTCTGGCCCATCGTTTTCCTCTTTTGGTTGCACACATGGAAAAACTCAGTCAGGTCAGGATGTATTCTAAAAATTTAATGGCAACTTCTACTTTGCAACAAAAAGCAGTTATACAAGTTGAAGATAAATTTGCCCGTTTTCTATCTAAAAGGCTTATTTCAGAAACTTATTTTTTCCAATTTTCATCTTTTTATCTGAAATATTCCAATTCTTTTTTTGAAGAATGTCTGTTGTTATTTTGGAATATTAAATTGGAAGAAATATACTTTGGAGTTGTATCCTGTTGCATAGTGTTTTGTGCAACAGTTTTTCAACTTTTTCACATTATCACAAGGAGGAACATGTTGATAGATTTGGTGTGTTGAGGAAGAGTTAACACAGCTTTGGTAATAAAAAATCACGTCTCAAACCGGAGTTTCTAAAGAAGTCAACAAAGGAAGCCTAGTTCATATAGTTCTAGCAAAGGTTATTAAACAGTTTCTTAATCAAGGCTCTTGAATACTGTATTTTTGCAGTTCTTTTATTCTAGAATTGATTTACAGGAATGGAAAGGGTTGTGATGATAATCAAGGATATTGGACTACTAAATAATATTATTCACTTGAGAAGACAAAAGGGGTAAGATTGTATGAAATGATGAATGATGCAGGAAAGGTAAATAAATGATAGTTGTTGAGCCTACCGATACCAAAAGTTTTGAGCAGAGACCTTAGCAAAAGGGAAGTTCAGAAGTTTGCTGCTCTTTTATAAAATATGTGGTTTAGCTGGAGAACAATCTCCTGTAGGCCATTATTATGCTAAAAGCTTTCATAGATTTGGAAAGCATCTGCATAAATTAATGAAGAAAAAATCACCAAAGGCTGTTAAATGCAAGTATAATATTTATGTCTTGGATACAGCTGCCTCTTAACTGCTAAAGATGGGAAGTGTTCTGTGCAGGTGTCTGTGCAGGTTTGCTTTACCTAATTGTCTTCCATATCTGTACACTACTTGGATAATTTTGAGAGACAAAATGGTGAGGAAAACAGACCTTAAATTTTCATCAGTAGAGCTGCTTTTATCTTTCCTCATCAGAAATTATTTTCAGTATGGATAGCTGTTATGGAAAACAGTGGATGTCACTGCTAGTTAGGAGGCACAGTAGATTCCTAAGCTTAGATTTGTTTCATATAAAGAACAACTGTTTTTGTAAGCATCCTGCCACTGGTTTTCACTTACCTGCTTGCATAGAAGATTCTTTTTGCTAACACCAAAACTAAAAAGCTTTTGAGATTCTTTTTTAGAAAACGTAGAAGAAAATTATATTAATAGTTTCATAGATAGCTATATATCTACTGTGTTCCTATGTATGCTTATAAAGCATAGGCTATAAAGCAAAACTCTCTCTCCTGAGAAGGATACCTATATAGGATATCTTTCTAATTCAGTAAACAAAGTGGTCACTACCTCATTCAGGAAATTAAAAATATCAGTTCTTTTGACAAGGAATACATACTATCATAGCTTTGAGAATTTTTAATTTTGTTTTTTCACCCTCTAGACATTTCTTATTGTCATGAAGTCACAGATTTTTCAATTACCTGATGCTTATAATATGTGAAAGTCTGTGTCTTGGGTTTTTCTTTTTTAATAACAATGTCATTTGTCGTTGGTTTTTTTCATACTGCAGAGTGAAGAAAATGTTTCAGGGATGACAAGCTTTCGCGAAGTGCTGGAAAAGATGTTAGTCATTGTTGTTCTACCAGTACGGAACAGCCTTAGAAGAGAAAATGAACTTTTCTCTTCACATCTGGTTTCTAATACCTGTGGGTTGCTTGCTAGTATTGTGAGTGAGCTTACAGCATCAGCATTAGGATCTGAGGTAAAACTGCTGTAAAATCATTGCTAGAAATCTTTCAGGACAGATATATTATGAATGTGATATAGGCTGTTACAGGTATTTTGTAGGTATGCAGATCTTTCAAAGATGCTGGAATTCTCAGTTCTCAGTAGCTCAGCTATTTTGTGTAAATTAAAAGCATGTATTCACTGTATTAGGCAAGTATTGTTGGTAAATAGCTATTTAATTATGGCTACAGAATACTGCAGATTGTTTACAAAGTGGCAAATTTTTTTGAGTGCTTATCTTTTTGCCTGAGTATCTGTGCATGTATCCAATCAAATATCCTTTCGTGAGGCTGTAACTTAGTTATATGATGAAAAATTATTTGATTTTCTTAAAGGGGTATCACTGCCTCTGGACTATCAACAGGTTTTTCTCACAGAAAGAACGAAACTTTTGATAACATCTTGACTGAAATTGTTTTTACCATTATGTTATTATCTTTATCTGTCCTCTTCTTGACTGCACCTAAGACAGAAATCCCTAACTCTTCTTTTAGTACAGTTAATCTATATTTTGTGCTAATTTATCTTGTAAAATATGTATTTAAATACTTTAAAAAATTAATCAGATTCCTAATTATTCCTATTTAATTTCTAATTACCAGAAATATTTTCTTTTTTTCTTTTTAGTCAGTATTGACTAGAAGGCTCAGTAGTGGCATATTCTAATGTTTATGAATTGAGTTTTAAAATTTACCCAGTTGAAAATCTGGTAATTTAATTCACTTAACTTTGCTTTATTAAAGTTTTCTAACATGTAGCAGTTAATATTTTCTTACAACTCTATTTACCTTTCTACAGGTTGATGGGCTGAACTCTCTCCATTCGGTCAAATCCACTCCAAACCGATTCACTAAAACAAGTCAGGGAAGAAGCTGGAATACTGGGAATGGATCCCCTGATGCAATATGTTTCTCTGTTGACAAAGCTGGTATAGTTGTTGTAGGATTTTCTGTTTATGGTGGAGGAGGAATTCATGAATATGAGTTGGAGGTTTTAGTTGATGATGTAAGTACTGCATTTGAGAAATTATTTGAAGAAAAGTAACCTCAGAGTTATTTATAATATGTTTTATAATGTAATATTGTAATATTCTTGTACAATCTAGACTACCAGTAAAATGGTGCACTGGTAGTACAGTTTTTTGATTTGGTCGTGGTGGAGATTTCTGTTTTATTGCAAGCTACATACTATATCTAGTAGGGTCCTTATCTTGGTTATTGTCGTGAACTCTTTATTATAAATAATATTTAAAGTATAGTGGGCTTTTCACTTTCTGCAGATAACTGTAAATTAGTAGCAGTTAGCTCTCTGCAAACTGTGAATGAAAATAAGTGAAGGAGACCAAGTTAAAACCAAAAATTGAAAAAAAAGGATAATAGCCTACTGGCATGGTCAGGCTGTACCTGCAGACGTTTCCTGTACTGTTGATGTACTCTCTTAGAAGCAGCACAAAACTGTACTGTGGGTTCTTGTAATGAAGACAAACCTCTGGTTTTTTACACTATAACTGACGGTTCTAATGTCTTCTAAAGGGCAAGCATAGGTTGCTGTGGGAAATTAACCTCTTTCTTAGGAGAAAGGCTTTACTATTGAAAAACCTGTTCGTTTTGTTTGTAATGCCATGTGTAAAAATTTATTCAGCGAAACATAACTTGCACTATTGCTTGCGTGTGTCATGTATTTACATTATAAATGTATTAATGACTGGATTTCTTTGAATCAGAGCGATCATACTGGAGATGCAACTCATTCTCATAGATGGACGTCTTTAGAATTGGTTAAAGGAACTTACACCACAGATGATTCTCCTAGTGACATAGCTGAAATCAGACTTGACAAAGTCGTGCCACTGAAGGTAAATAAAATAAGCACGCATCTGTAGGTTTCATACAACTTCTTTAGATAACAAAAATCAGAATGTTGATGTGAATTGTTTGGGGTTTTGTGTACACATTCACAAGTTGATCTTAACGTGTTTGCTTTGTAAAGTCTCAGTTTCACCGTGTAACTGAAAAGTTCAAATCCTGTCAACTAAAAGAAATTAAATCCCAATTTTTATAATAGCATAAGGTAGATCATAGTTGTTTAATAATTTTAGAATATTTTTGAATATGTAACTTTTTTTTTGTGCAACTTGGTAGCTAACTTTCTTGGGTACTTGTTTACTCTTATAGTAGTTAGTATTAATTTAAGTTATGGCCCATAGTTTGGGAACATGGGACAGCTTTGATATTTGTTAAATGCTAGATCTTTTTTGGTTAATTTATTTGTAAAGTGCTTTGAAAAACTTTTCGGACTCTCCACTATTAATGTAAAATAGTAGATTTCCTAGTACCGTGAAGCCATAGATATTTGTTTTATATTGCATATTATTTTTGGTTCTCCTTTTTAAGGAAAATGTGAAATACGCAGTTCGTTTGAGGAACTATGGAAGCCGGACTGCCAATGGAGATGGCGGAATGACCACAGTTCAGTGTCCAGACGGTGTAACATTTACATTTAGTACATGCAGTCTGAGCAGTAATGGCACTAACCAGACGCGAGGACAAATTCCACAGATTCTATATTACAGGTTTGTGTGTTGTCATGATCCATTTCTAAGAAAAGTGAATAAAACCATCATAGTTCTATTATGCCACAGCTGTTTTTAAGAAGTAACAGAAATAAATGTATCTGAGTGTGTTTGTGGTGCCGCTTCCAGCCTTGTTTTAGGTTCTTTGTTTTTTCGATTTGGCAAATTATTTGATGTTTGACCTCTCTTAGAAGATTCATTGTTTGCTGCTTTAAAGCTGTAATACAGGGAACTGGTAAGATACACTACTTCAATTTCTGTTTTTTCTATATCCTAAGAGATTTTTGAGAGACTACTCACCAGAATGTTTGTCTGTCTGATTTACTCAGCTATTTCCTCCGTTTCCAAAAACAATTGTATCATGTAGTGAAGCAAGCTCTATTTATATGGGAACTGCCTCCTCTCTGACTTAAGAGCTTAAAGGTATAAAAAAAGGAATTGTAGCTGCCTGAAGAAAATCAACTGAAACATCTGACTGTCCTGAAGGGAAGCTTTACTTCAGCCTTTCAGGATGGCAATAGGAATTCACTTCTGGTAATGCTTTTACAGAAAACATTGCTTTCATGTTTGAGGTGCTTGCCCTGATATAAAGACACAGTTTTCAAACTGTCAGTACAAGGCTGATCAATAGAAGATGCAAGGAATAATAATTTACTTTTATGTTTGATTATGTGTGAGATGTACCTACCTAATAAAAGATGAAGAGGAAAAATAAGTAGTGCTACAACGAGTGACGTATTTTGGACTAACAGGCACAAGAACATGTTGCTCTTCAGAAAATTTTAAAGAACTAAAGTATGAAGAAAAGTGGCCAGCAAAATTATAGTAACGGTATATTCGAAGATACAGGATAGCCCTAATCTATGTCAAAACATGAGATTGTCTGTGCTTAAAGAATCAACAGACCTCCCTCTAATTAAATTATGATTTATCAAGAAAGCAAAACATAAATCAACAGCCAGTGTTTCTATGGGAAAATTGTGCAACATATTGGGAGGAAGGTGCACAAAGATGCAGTTTTTCAGTAAAAACAGTAATTGCTTATTAAAGAATGGAGTTGCAGTGGTGCATGATACTTTCATTGATTTGTTCTCCTGGAATCTTGGACATCTGTGTTTAGGGTATTCCTCCAGCATTTAGAGGAATTTAATGGGAAGTATCATAATTAGAAAGTATCGTTATGTAAGAAGGAGGAAAGAAGGCAAGGAAAACTTTTATTTTCACTCCTAGATTGTCTGCTTTTATACAAACAAAAGAGGAAATTAAAGAGAAATAACGATATCTTTGATTTCAGAAAAGTGAAGGACATAATTTCAGTAATGGAAGCTTCAAGGCATTCTAACTTAATAATAAAATAATATATGGAAAAAAAACACACCGAAGTCTTGTCTTCAGATCAGAACAGTGTCAGGTTTTTGTGTTTCAACTGATAAAATTCTAAAAAGCTTTTGAAATTTTGTAGTGGCACAACTCAGAACTGTTACAGAATAAATTAAGTATATTGGAAAAATTTGCAGCTGCTGCCTGTAATCACTGTCTTTTGAAGATTGCGTGGACAACAGAAATTAGTGTTACCTGATTCATGACTATAGTTACGGACCTAATTTGAGTATTCACAGTTTGATGTATATAAGACTTGAGGTTTTGATTTAACTACAGCAAAGGAACAAATGTTCAGTCAACTATTATAGAACAGAGATTGTAAGAGTCAGACTGTTTTGTTTGAAGGATACTCAAATACAAATCAAATTGTTACTTACGCATATGCGAAGAAAGGCCATATGGAAAGAAGTGTGTTTGTGTTAACACACTTCTCATAAGGGCAGAAAAGTTTTGGACGGTTTTGTTGGAAAAGTGCTCAGTTGAATTTCACCTGCTGTCATTCATTAATAAATCTAAATGAAAAAGGCTTGAGGCTGACAGCAAAATTACAGTTCTAGGACACATTGACAAAACAAAATAATCTTTTTTAAAATAATGAATAATTTAGGTCAGAGAGAAGGACGGGTATCCTTGTTATTCACTAAACTGCTCAGAGTAAAATTTTTGAGCATTCTGAGGTGCGAGTTCTGAATTATTAATATTCTGGAATGACGTTTTGAAAGATCAGATCTTTCCGGACAAACATAAGGTACCCAAAAGACAATAGGAAATTTTGCTTTACGTGTTGACTAGGTGATTTTGTTTCTTTATGCCAAGGCTTTATCACTATCATATTGAGGGCTTTAATTAGTTTATAATTGTCATTTGACTGCTTTGAAAAAGCAAATCCAACCAGAACTGTTATATACCTTTTTTAAATGTATATTTAAATATTTTGTGCATAGTGTTGTTTAGGAGAGCCTAACTTTACAGCGTGGATTTAAAAGAAAAAACTATTTGTTAACTGTTTGTTAAGCCCAGGACTGTATTTCAAAACCAAAATTAATCTTTGAAATAGGGAGGGAGAATCTTTTTCCCTGTTATACTAATGCAGAAATATCTATTGGAACAGTTTTACTTGTTCTTGTGATGCATTTAATATTGCTCTGTTTTTATCAAGATATGTGGTTGGCCTTGGAAGAACATAGCAATTATTACCTTTCTGTTGTTTAAAAGGCATCTAGTCAAAAGAAACATTCCAGAAAAATGCTTTTAATACTTTTTGCCAAATAAAAATATTCTAAAGGGCTAACACTGAGGTATTGCCTCCAAAATATCCTCGATGGTTTCTTTGATTGCTTTATCTTAATAGCAAAAGTAATGTTTCCTTTATTGCTTTATCATAAACTGTTATGCTTATTCTATACCAAAAATCAGTCAGTCATTTGTTTTAATGTCATTTTGTATTTTGTGAACTTACTTTAACTTAATGTACCATCTAGGAGTGAGTATGATGGAGATCTGCAGTCACAGCTGTTGAACAAAGCTAATGAAGAAGACAAAAATTGTAGCAGGGCTCTTTCTGTCGTGAGTGCTGTTGTACGAGCAGCCAAAGACTTGTTACACAGGGCTCTTGCTGTAGATGGTAAGGCTTGAGAAAATTTACCTTTCAAAACTTTTCAGTTTGCTAGCAACCAGTAATAGTAGAATACAACTGCATCCCGGAGTTGTGATGTTTATCTTTTTCTTTCCAAAGAATATTTCTTTCCAAATATTTTTCTAACCTTTCATTCCTATAGGTATCAGACTGTGTAACTTTATGTCATTGAGTTGCACTTGAGATATCATAGACAGATACCTCATATAAATTTGCTCATCAATTTAGCAAGTATTGTATTAAAGCTGGTAAGATTCTTTGTTTTCAAAAGGTCTTCCATGCTGGGTTATTTGCAAATTTTATGCATGTTTTGCACAGTGGTGGTAGTCAGCAGGACTGGTGAATGTAAAGAATTTGTAAGCACTTAAATATCCGTTTTTGAAAAATGTAGACATTAGTCATTGTAGTAAAAATGTCCAGAATATTACATAGTGCTATAAAAATTGATTTGAAGAGCTAGGAGGACTTTGTTGTGCTAACTTTTATACCATAGAAAATACGAACACGGCTTCACAAAACGTCAGAGAATGCAATAAAATAATGCTCTAATAGGAGGAAATTTTTGAACACAGAACTGTATATAATGATATGTTTATCTTGGGTTAACTTGGCAGATTCAGAATTTGACAATGCCTAGATAAGGAAAACAATTCAAAGTGAAAATAAAAGTTTTATCTTGCAAGAAGCAAACCAGAAAAATAAGATGTGTTTTGAACAATGCTACATTTATTCATAATACCTGTGTTTTAATTATCTTTATTTAGCTGAAGACATTCCAGAATTGCTCAGCTCTTCCAGTCTGTTTTCAATGCTGCTTCCCCTCATAATAGCCTACATAGGACCAGTAGCAGCAGCTATTCCCAAGGTATGCCCCTCAACAGACATTGCTGAAGAAATGTGTGAATGCTATGCAGCGAAAAGGTTTACTCTGAGATTCCAAACGTCTTGATGTCTTACGATTTTATGAATTAATGGTTTATATTTGACCACATTGACTCATTATGAATTTTCTGAGAGTCAAGAATTTTAAAAACATGTAATGACTTTTTTTAACTTGAATTGAAAATATTACAAAAAAATATTAAGGAGACAGAAAGAAATATGACAGGCTTTACCAGTAGTGAAAGACAAGGCATTAGAAGGATGTCATTTACAGGTCATTGATGAACACAGATGGTATAAAATGTTCTTTTATGTTATATAAATTCTATTTTTATAGTAAAGAGCAAAAGCATTTGCTCATAAATTAATATTATTTCTACCAAATTTAGAGATGGGAAGATGTCGGCTCTAAGTAAAAGGATCTTATTTTCCAGTGGCAAGTGTTTTGCTTTAGAAGTGTTCCATTCCTTTGAAAATGTCTTAAAGATTACAGGGGACAATGCGAAGCATAACATTACATGTATTAAAATAACTATGTCATTACAAAGTATAACTGAACTATGACTTCAGTATGGTATTTGCTTTCCATCAACTCATGCTTACTTGTTGTTACTGTCCAGGTTTTTTAGTAGAAGCTATTTTAGTGAAAATATCCCTCAGCTGTATACACATTCTTGTGTCAGCTTTGGTGAGTCTCCGTGAGGAGTATTTGAGATTAATGTAGCGGTGTTTCTTCTGTCGAGATTGTATAGATGCAGAATTGAAAAATGAATAAATGAATTGTAGCTAATGATATTCTGAGAATATCCAAACAACTGTTGTAGAGAAATGGAAGTTTGAGGGAATTGTTTTCACCAAGTTATAATACCTTATTGCATGCGGTCTTATGTTACAGGTTGCTGTTGAGGTCTTTGGCCTAGTACAACAGCTACTTCCTTCTGTGGCAGTTCTGAATCAGAAATATGCCCCTCCGGCTTTTAACCCAAATCAGTCTACAGACAGCACCACTGGAAACCAACCAGAGCAAGGGCTTTCAGCTTGTACTACCTCCAATCACTATGCTGTTGTAGAAAGTGAGCACCCCTATAAACCTGCCTCTGTTACACACTATAAGGTGAGCACAGTTTCTAAGTGCATGGCCAGTTTCTTAAAAACTTGATATGTAGGTTTTCTTGAGTCAGCATTTACTATCTGAAAAATTGTTGCCATGGATGATAATTCATATTTCTAATATAGGAGACAGTTTCCTATGTTATTGCAGTACTACTTCCTGGACAAAACTCTTTCTCCATTAAGTATAGTGGAAACTAGTGAAGTTTTAACTCCCTAACTCAGGTATATACTTTAAGTCCCTAAATTTGGTTAGTCTTAGATTTTCCTACTGTCATGCACAGTTTTTTTTCCTCTAACTGTACAGATTGTAGAAGTTCCAAGTCTTTATGTGTACGTTGTATAATCAAATATCAGACTTTCTTACCTAATGCTAAAACAGTGTTTTGTAAAAATATTTTATGTCAATTCTAGTTGAATTAATATTAATAAACATCAATATAGAAGGGATGGTTTTTTCTAGGTGAGTAAAGCTCTCAGGCATAAATTACATGTCTGAGAGGTAAATCCCTTATTTCTGTTATTGAAATAATGAGCTCTGCAGTCACATTGATACCACAACTCTAAGTCCAGAGGTAGCAAACTTGTAATACTTGCTTGTACTGTGAGATAGCAAGACATCCACTGCAGAAAATATAGTTTCCATCTGATCATCCTGATGTAATAGTGCTTATTGTTGTCCTGAAAGTTTATGGAGCTCATCAGAAGCCTTGGGTTTAGTGGTTACTGTGTTTGAATTTCTGTGGCTATATGCTATTGTACTGCAGGCCATATTCCCAAATGTGATTCAGCTGCTCTGTACTTTTCTAGGATTGCAGATATTCAGTATGTTTATTGAAGTTTGAGTTTAAAAAGGTATATGAGAGTTCAATGTTCATAGTAGTCTGTGTTGTTTTGTTTAATGAACCTGTGCAGAGTTCTTAATCACTAGTGGTGTTGGCACAAATACTTGATCCGCATATTAAGTTATAATACAGGATTATAATTGAGTAAGGTGGTAAAGCATTTCAGGTGTATATGAAGTTCAGGTGTATATGAAGTTCAAAGAATAGGTTAGGTTAATGTTATTTAAAGCATATCAAAACAGTTGTAACAGAATTACTTGATTAAATCACTTTGTAGACTAAAGAGTTAAAACTAAAAGGAAACTAAATAAATATTACAAAAACCTCCAACAACACCCAAAACTTGGACATAATTAAACTATTTCTTTGTTTTAGGTGACTTTTCCTGAATGTGTCAGGTGGATAACAATAGAGTTTGACACTCAGTGTGGCACTGCTCAGTCAGAGGATGTTCTTCGTTTACTAATTCCTGTCAGAATTGCACAGAGCCTGGGATTTGGACCAAAGCATGCTTCTGTTCATGAAAACCTTAATTCATGGATAGAACTGAAAAAATTCTCTGGATCTTCAGGATGGCCTACCATGGTATTAGTATTGCCAGGTAATAAATAGATATTGCAATAATTAGTAGTAATGTGAGTTACTGAAATAATGAAGAAAAAAAAAATTGTCTGCTAAGATAATTTTGCAGAAAAATCAAAGTTGAAGTGTCTTTATCCAAGCTGGCAATCTGATTATGTTTATGGTAGTTTTCTTGCTTGAAGTGTTAGTCTGCTGTTTTTCCCATGGTTTTAATTCACATGTTACATATAAAGCCTAGGTTTCATATATATGCACGTAGAAGAAACATGCTAAAAGAGGAGGAATACTTTATTTATTTATTTATTTATTTTGTTTATGCTTTTACTTTTTTAAGGAAATGAAGCTCTTTTTTCCCTGGAGACTGCGTCAGACTATGTAAAAGATGAAAAAGCTTGTTTTTATGGTTTCAAATGTTACGCAATTGGATATGAATTTAGTCCAGGATCTGATGAGGTGAGGAAAAAGTGAGGTGGTTACAATTGCTACACCTAATTAATTTCTGCTATAAGGCTATTTTTTGAGGGTAAAAATATTTGTATTTCCACTTCTGACTAAATAACATTAGCAAAGTGGTTTTAGATTAATTTTAAAAAGGTTTTAACATTTTTTGTTACAGATATTATTGATTTGGAATTCTTCAATCAGGATATTATTGGAATGACTTTTTCTTTGGTTTGTGGCAGTCTGCAAATAGCTAGTGTGGTTTTATCTTGTATGTCAGTGGGATGTAAGATTTCCTGAAATTCCCACCTACTGTTGCATCAGAAATCCAAAGTTTTGGGGCTTTCAGATACAAAGTGATCAGTATTTTACTGTCACTGCCAATTCAATGCCAAATTTGCATTGTTTTTCCAGTGCTTGGTTATATTAGAACTCTCAGACTCCCTAGAAATACTGTGTACATTTAGACTACCTGAGATTTTAACCGGTGGTCTCCTCATCTTGCCTTTAAGGACAAATTGTTTCCACCACTGTTTTTTGCAAAGGGAAGATGAAATTTCTTCATGTCCTTGACCCAGTGCTTTCTTTTGACTTACTTTAAGAGACTAGTGAAAATGCTTAATATGTTCTATAATAAATCCAGAAAAATAACTCTTCTCTTATCTTGGGAGTCACTGGGCCTGTTGCTTCACATGAACTTCACAAGGTCTGCATCTTGCTTACACTACAACCCTCACAGAAGATTTATATCATCTTACTCCTGGATTTTGTTCAAGCTAAATCATGTCTTCAGGTTTTCAAAACGTGAAGTTCTTTGGAATTTCGTAACTTATCCGATAAGAAAACATACTATAAGATTATTAGCTATGGTGGTCTCATTTGCTTTCAGCAAAATCAGATCTATAAATTCTACAGATTATCTAACTATTGTGTGTTTGAATAATAATAATTTTTGCTTAAGCAGAAAAAAACATGCAGATGTTTGTATCATTCATTTTCTTTAAAGCATTTATGAACAAAGCTGCTGGCATGTTTTGACCTCTCAGTGCTAAAACATGCTAGCCAATATATTATCTCTATCCCCTAAAGAAAAGCCTTAAGTAATTATTTTCAAACATACCTTTTTATAGCGCTAACACTCTAAAGTTTTATAAATAGAAAAGCAACTTTTATAGTGTAAAAACTACCTTGCATCTCAGGACTAAAAACACCATAAGTAACTTAAAGTGATTGGACAGACAGTGCAAGGTTCTCATTCTTTTCGCAACTTTGTGGTGAAATTTTCTGAACATTTTCCTGAAATGTTACCAATTGTCATATTCAGATATTCTTACTAGGCTACCAGAAGCATGGTAACCCATTTATTAATGGTTTTACCAAGTGGAAATTATTCTAAAAATTTTGATACACTGTCATATGTCACAGCAAAACATGACAGTATCTGTTTGACAAGAAATTTATTGCTGAGAAACTTCAAGCTGGGACAAAAATATTTCTAAACATAAAGCATAGTTAGGGAAATGTATTCATTGTCCTATTTTCTGGGACACTAATTTTGAGAATTGTTTTAATTTAAAGGGTATTATTCAGCTGGAGAAAGAACTGGCAAATTTAGGAGGATCATGTGCAGCAGCTTTGATGAAGAAAGATCTAGCACTTCCTATTGGTAAGTCCTACTCAGAAGACATACTTCCTTACTTCATCATTGTCCATGTCAATGTTTTCTGAATTTATACTACATTTAAATAATATTGTTGCTTTTAGTTAGAGATAATAATACAAAATTGGTTCTTAAAACTAAATTAATCAAAAAAGATAATAAAGTGAGGGTGTTTTCTGCTTACACCTTTCCCTTCATGTGCATATGGGGAGGAGGGGAAACCTGGTCATTTAAATCTGAATGATTTAAATCCACAGGTAGTGTATCAGTGTATGAAATGTGTCTCACAGTTTCCTCGTGGTACTTCACAAATGTGCAGGTATCATCTTTGTGTTTCTTTTTCACCGTCTTTTCTCCCCACACTCCATACCTTTCTGAATGAAAAAAATACCTGCAGCATTGAATTGCAAAAGTTAAAATTACAGCTTAAAACTGGAAGTGACCCTTGCATCTATAAACATTATAGCTAAAAATATTTCTAAATTATAGCTTTTTTTTACAATTAAAAAAGAAATTACATACTTTTACAGCAGATGCAGCAAATAAAGGTTCACAGTAACCCAAATGCAATTTAAAATGTAAGGAAAAGTAAGAGTTTATGAACAGTATTGAAGATTGAATTAGAACTTCTAATGATGCAGCCGTAGTCGGTGTAATATAATTTCTCCTAAATAGCATCCATATATAGGAAAAACAGGTTCATAATATATAATAGGATATCTTTTCGTTAATTTTAATTTAGGAGTGCAAACAAGAGCTCAGGCACAATTAATGAGACTGGAAGTGTATTAATGAGCCAGGAGAGCATTGATCAGTGTACAGTTATAATCACTAAACCTGCTTTGAATTTTTTTATCCCAATATTTTGCTTGTGTATTTGAATGCACAAATTTCTTACTTTATGTTGCAAGTAGGCACTTCAATTGCACTGGTAGATCTGTATTTCACTCTCAAAAGTACAGGCAATTCTATAGTTGAAATAGTGCCCTCATCTCAGCCTCCAAACTCCTTAGTTTTGTTGACTTCCCAGCACCCTTTTGCTGCAATTGAAATGGTTCTCAAATATACTGTATTACTGACATTCCTAATCTGCAGAGCCCTGTCATCTTTTTTGTGGAATAATGTCCTTTAAGAAAAGCCTATTTAGAGTCATACAATCAATAATCACATAAAAGACTTTCTTGTAATGCATACACACAGGAAGGCCCTTTTTAGTAGACTTTTCATAGTTTATTTTGTAATTTCTACAGCTTTACCTTTTTTTTCTGTGTGTGGATGTATGCAGGCTAAAGAAAGTAACCTAAGAAAAAGGCTCACTCCATGAAATAAGTAGCAACTTAGCTTGCATTGCCTCAACTTCAGCATTTGGAACTTAGGTATCTGTAGCTAAGCTAGTAGCTCTAACCTTCTTTTAATTTAGACATCTTCAGAGGACGGTTCATCTTGTCCTAAGATGAAGATGTAAGAAAAATGAAAGTCATCACCCAAAGGATGCACCTGTTTTCCTTCATTTGCTGTAAAGCTATCTTGTAATACCTAAGTCAGAGCTCATTGTCTCATTCTTCTTTGCCCAAGAGCAGGTGAGGTAAATCCTGCTCCATTTCCCAGCTCCTCTTTAGACCTCTGGGTCCAATTAAGTACTCATAAAACCTGGCAATTTTAATGAAGACAATAAGAAACTTCATGAACCTTCTGTCAAGGCAAATAGGATGATTGAACTGATTTTTATGGCTTGTTACTGGCATCCTTGTAGGATCCTTCTATCTTCAGCTTTATTTGCGTGATTTATCTTGGTGTATTGACTTTTGAGAGCTTGTCCTTTACAAAGAGGTACCTTACTTTTTCGTAATTGTTGTAGTGGGTATATTCAGTGTGCAAGTAGTCAAATATTTGTCTCAGTATTACTCTAGAACCATTAGGAAAAAAAGTGTTTTGAAGAAGACCAAGAAGCTTTTAACCTTTTTTTCTCCAAAGGAAGATAGACCAGAGAAGTGATTCCTTCATATATTAGGAAAGCTATCTCTGAGAGTACACTCAAATACTGTTTGAGTTACCATGTTCAAAAGGTCACTCTTTCTCCTTGCCAGTTGTCCAAGACTTAAATTTAAGATACTTCTTAAATTTAAGAGACAGATCTGGTCTATGATCAAGCTCTAACTTAAACAGCAGTGTGGAATTGATTGGTGTATTTAACATTATTTCTTAATTGTTTCAAATTTAGTAGAAATTGTTTCTGAGGGCAGAATTTTTATACATCCTTATTTCTTTGAATTTTAAAAATACCTTGGGACTTGATTCCTTCTTATTTCTCTTTCTGTCTTCTGACTAGTAGAATTGCCTGACACGTTTTTGAGAAAGAGTAGAAATATGGTAACCTTATCTGTTTTACTATTCTGTTAAAAGGCTGTGTTTGGCAATTCTGGTCAACGTGGAATCAGACTTTCAAGTTGTATTTGTGAGAAAGAAATATGGTGTAATAGTATGTATTTGGGTTTTATCTTATAGGAGAAATCATAATTTACAAAATTGTATGAAGTTTATCAAGTTTTTAAATAATTTTACTTGGGTAAGCTCCTAAAAGGGAGCAGTTGGTCCTCCTTGGTACCGCTTCCTGGAAACTATTTTTACTTTCCAAAATCTTTTTCTGAATGTATCTATTTGCATCCAAAGATTTGCCATACATACTGTCTTGGAGATAAGAAGACAAGCACCAAATTTTTGTTGTACGTAATGTCTACTGCTCATTTGTGTGTGCACTGAACTACACAGTACTGCATGTTTACTATGTTACTTGAAAACATTAATATTTCAGCTACTGATTGAACATTGTGACATAGCATTATGCAAACCTAAATTTTATCATGTAAAAAGCTTCACAAACCAGAACTGAATTTCATATTTTATTATATGTAGATAACTTTCAATATTACTGTTATGTTTTTACAGCAGGTAATGAATTTGAAGAGGATCTTGAGATAGTTGAAGAGGCCGCCTTACAGGTAAACTGTGGCTTTTTATCTGTTGCTGCATGCTTGATCACATAGTTGCACTGAAACTCTTTGACTGCTGTAGAAGAAAATAATTTATAAGGTTTTTACGATAGAATAGAATCTAGCTTGTAATGAAACAGTTTATGAAAGTTTTACAGAAGTTTAGTGTTTCCATTAAATCTTTTTTTATAATAAATCTATGTAGGAAAAAAAATGGATAAAATATCATATAGAAAGTTAGATGACAAAATATTTCAAAATATCTAAGTGTTTGGCATAAGTTGCACTATTTAGCAAATTTTAAATGTTACCAAAATTTATCTGTCACGTATCTTTGTAATTAGAGAAATAAAATAACTTTTTCAGTTGAGTGGTAACGTTAATCAAGTCCCAAATAATGTGATTGCAGTTGTTCTGTTTTGTTGATGGCATTTTGTTGGTTTTGATGGTAGCTAATGCTGGTCAGTAGCTCCCCATGTATAGCCTCAGCAGATGATGAACTACGAAAAAAGGAGTTTTCGCGTTCTCTCTCCTTCCTAGTTATTTTCACAGCAACTGTTTTGAAATTCGGTTATCACAGTACTTGGTGGAAAAAAGTATCAGTGCTACAGTCTGACACCGTTGCATAGGCCTCAGATAACGGACTAGAAATAGAAATTGACTAGGAGGAATCAGATGTTCCTTGGAAGAAATATTTTTGTCATCAGTCTGTTCTTGGGCACACCATATTCTAGTTCAAAATTTGAGCTAGGAGTGTGCATGCAGTAAGAGATCTGCCTTTCTCTATGCTATATTCCTAGCCTTTTATTTTCTTTTGAAACATGCTCATTAGTCACATTTTCAGAACAGCTTTCTTCAGTCTTCTGCTCACAAATCAGCAGTTAAGGATATTTTTAACGTTACTTTATTCTGTTCTCCAGAAATTCTCCCTCAACTCAAGGTCATTTAATCTCTTTTGGCGTAAATTATTGGTTAATGAACTGGGCTATGATTTTTTTTTAAACTTTATCAGAGTAAAGTTTATTCTTCTCCTCCTTGAATGGTTTTCAATTCCCAAAATGTCTGTACCAATGTCAGTGTTGTGTTATGGGAAAGTGTCAACATGTAAGTTACTGAAAAGCTGACTTATGTCTCCATCCTTTCACCCCCAACCTCTACCAAAAAAAACAGGTGTGCAAATCTCACTCGGGCATTCTTGGGAAAGGCTTGGCACTATCTCACTCACCAACCATTCTGGAAGCTCTTGAAGGAAGTCTTCCACTGCAGGTGCAAAGCAATGAACAGTCATTTCTGGAGGATTTCATTGCTTGTGTACCAGGATCAAGTGGTGGGCGACTTGCAAGGTAAAACTACACTGTTGCTTGTGTATATGACTAGCTATAGAACTGTAATAGCTATTTTAAAATTTGTTAAATAAAACTGTATGGCTGTATTGTTTCCATAAAACATGTATGTATTCGGACTTTCTGCATCCTGTCTTAGCTGGAAGTCGTATTTGTACAGAGTAAGAATTTCTTTTCGGGGGGCTATAAGAGATTTTAATCTTAGGTGGTTTTATTTGCCGTAGGTGGCTTCAGCCAGATTCATATGCTGATCCTCAAAAGACATCATTGATTTTGAATAAGGATGACATTCGATGTGGTTGGCCAACTGTGATTACAGTACAAACAAAAGACCAGTATGGGGATGTTGTTCATGTTCCCAATATGAAGGTAATTATTGTAATATTGGCTGTTCATCTGCTTGATTGTGCTGTCTTTTAGTTTTTGTTGTAGGTATTCCACAGAACACCTCGTGTATAGAGCAGAAAGTGGCATTTGTAAATTCAGTGTAGTCAGACTTTTTTACCACTAAATCCACAAAATTATCGTATTCTGTTTTATGCCAACACCATTTCATGTGATTTATACCTTGTCTGTAAAGAGCTACACATATGTAATTGGGAAATAATCAGTCATAAGTGATGTTTGCTGGTGATGACATGTTAAGGTGACAAGAATCCATAGACTTTGTGATGAAAAAAAAGGAACCAGAAGCACATTGATGGACCATCTTATTTTATTTTAGATTAGAACAGTACTTTTCCCTTTTCTGTTTCTAATATTTGGAAGTTCCTGTAGTGTTTGCAATTAGTAAAAATAACTAGCAAAAAGTAGGGTTCTTGGATTTGCCTTCATGCTCTTCAGTTAATCACTGAATACCGGAAAGAAAGTGTTCTTGACAGCCTTAGGTAGAGTTAGAAGAACTTTGGACATTTTGGAGTAAAACCTGTGTATAGGCTGCTTGATTTAAAGTAGCAAAGCAATGCAAACAAAACAAATTAAGCACAAAATGGGTTTTTTGTAGTTCTAATAAATTAGGCTATTTCTGTGTTTTAAAGCTGATTGTTACTGTGAGGTAGTTCAAGCCCTAAAGTAGATGAGGTACCATTTACAAAAGCATGATTCTTTTGATAAAAGCTCTCAAATTTATTCTTTGCATATGATGTTGTAATTGAGTTATCTTACAGTGAGCTGTAAACTTAATAATAAAACAGGGGTTCTACAACAGTAGCACAAGAATCATCTTAGTCACAAAAACAGTTTGAGTGAAACTTGTATGTGTGGTTACTGAGTTAAATTTGTGACAGAGGAAGTGGAAAACTCTTTAAGTAGTGATTTTATCATATCGATCAGGAAAAGGATGTGTCAAAATGTTAGCAAATGTAGGATGAGTAACACATAAACTTACAAACTTATTTTCCAGGTAGTCTACCTGTTTTTCCTCAGAAAGCTGTGTAAAGTACTACATTACCTTCAGTAGTGGAGGTCTGTGGTACCTCTGGGGAAAAAAATCAGTTAAAATATGCATTGAAGAGCACAGTGTAAATGTACAGTGCTGATGTAGTAAGACAGCAGAGCAAGGCAAAATCCATTCTGACCACTGGTGATCCCGATCTGTCAGTCCCTGATGATTCCCTCTGAAACCTGTGCACTCATTCGGAAGGCTCTCTTTCTGCTTTGTAGCATTTTCTGTTGTGAGAAGACTTCACCATGCATACCAGGCTATGTACTACTTCCCAGGGAGTGCTGTGGGACTGGCAGAACTCCAGCCCTTACTGATGGTGTACCAAATCAGTTGGGTGCTTCTCCCCTGTACACTGACATTTTTCAGAGATGCTGTGCTTGGCTTTGCAGATTGTTAAGAATAGATACATTGGGTTTTGACACAGCTGGATTTACAGCGAGTGCTATAAGAACTGTACTGTATCAACTGTAAAATAATGTGTTTTCTCTCTAAATCATGTTCTCTGTTCCACATCATATTGCAGGTAGAAGTCAAAGCTATTCCCGTTTCGCAGAAAAAAACATCCTTGCAACAAGAGCAAGTTAAAAAGGTACAACGGATACCAGGGAGTCCTGCAACAGCTGCTTCCCCTAGCAGTGATATGACCTTTGGAGGACTTCCTTCACCAAAGCTTGATTCTTCCTACGAGCCAATGATAGTAAAAGAAGCTCGATATATTGCTATTACAATGATGAAGGTAAATTACTGTCATTTTAGCAATATAACTATAAAATTCAGCAGTCAAAGTGTGTAAAGGTATGTGACATAGGAGGAAAGAATTATATTTAATTTTGGTCACAATCTGAAAATACATTGGTTACAAATTATTCTGATTATATTTAAGTTCAACATAAAATTAGGTACATCAAAAGAACCAGTTGCCTAAACTCTAATGCAGTTAGGCTGAATTAGCATTCAAAATAGAAGTTGTCTTTGATTTTGATTCGACTGATTAACAAATTAGACTGAGTCACTCAGGAGAAATAAATTAACTGTTGAACTGGTGGAGAGGAAGTCAAGCCCGTGTGTCCGTATAGAGTTGGAGTGTTGCAGTGAATCCATATTAAAAACTAGAACTGGTAAACATAGGAAAATATCAGAGCTCAGCATAGTAAAAAGGTCATAGAAATGATTTGTGTATCAATACATAACTATTAAGCAGCGTCTGATGAAATGAGCCAGTGTCAAACAGATCAGCTCAGAGATGTTTCCAGAACAGTTTTTAAAGAGATGACAGCTAGTGTTGGTTTGAGTATATTATAGCACATGCAATAAATTTACATATATGTAACATGTATTGACCCAGTTAAGAGATGTGACATAATGTGTACAACTAGTAGTTGGACAGCTTAATGAGACATGATTAATCAGGAGTTAGAGAAGAAAAATACTTAGTATAATCAGTATGGGTTTATGGGGGGGCGGAACCACCAAAGTAACATCTTTTAGAGAGTACAGGGTCGTTTTTTGGCAAAGGATAGTGCTGCAGTACCTCTTTGTAAGCAGTGCAGCTTGTCCTAATGGATCAGTGAAAGAACTACTGAATCAACGTAGTGCGCAACAGATGGTTTAAAAACTCGTTAAATCACATGTCTGAAAATATATTTATAACCAGGGAGTGTATATAAAGGATATAAGGGTGACTTTGTTGGTTTGGTTTTTTTATTTGGACTATTGCAAAGATCACTTCTTGCCTTGATGCTACTTGCCACTTTAAAAAGTAACTTGAGGCAGGGCAGAAATACATTATTTATTCTAAGTTATGACTGAGATTTCTGACAACCATTGTCCACAGGAACCTTCTGCTTCTTTTCCAGTAAGAGTAGTCAAATCTGTTCATGCAACTCTGAGGATGGTGTATCTTGTAATGCAATTGGATACTGTGGAATAAATGATGGTGGTGTGAGTGCAGGGTGTTCAAAAATTCTTTTTTAGATTTGACAGATCCTTTGAGTGATGAATGCTTCATATTAGGTCATTAGTGTGTAATGTTTTTTAATTGATTTGGGCCAAGTTAAAATGAAAATGCAAGTATTCCTTTAAAGTCCTCTTAGTAGATAATAACAGTATGCATCCTCATAAAGCTAAAAGTAAAAAGTAAAGGACTACACCAAGGTAAAATACAAAAAGTGTCTCTTCTTGTTGAGACATGCTTGATTTCCATGTTAAATACCTTTTCAGGGAATCTCCCCAAGGTTCCTTTCAGATTAGGTCCTTTCTATTAAAAATTTCAACTTTATGAATTCAAGACAGGGTCAATATTCTCTTCTACTCCCCCCCCCTCTTTACTAAGCACACTCATTTGAGTGTAAAATGCAGATGTCCCCGATCTTTATACCAGCCTTCATGTTGTATCAGTACTTGATACATCTAAATATGATTATAAACTGTAGTTTTTCACTTCATGACAATAAATTATGACATGTTTGGGGGACTGATACCCAAAACTATGTCCTTGTATAGACACTCAAAGTGGCTCATCTGCATGTATGTTCAAATGTTCTTATCGCACCTTTTGTTGGTTTTGATTTAACATGGGAATCTGGTAGCTCAGCAACTTTTGCACCCTGGAGAGATTCTTGCTGAGGGACTTTTTGCACTTCTAGGACTGCTATTATTTACTTATGGGGCTTTTCGGAACAGTGCTTTCACAAGAAGCTGTGGAAGTGAACCATGTCTTTTTTGTAGTGGAAATCGATGGAAGGATCACCTCAATATAGAGGGGGTTTCTTGTTCACTTGAAAGAAAGAGTATCTGAAATTCCACTGATAAATCCACTGGGCTGTTTTGCAGTTTTTGACCCGCAGCATGTTTGCTTTCTTACCTTCACATGGTCTTCAATGTACTACCTGGATTCAAAAGCTTTTTGTACAAGTGAGATTAGAAGAGATTCAAAGACGTGACTGTGAGCAGAGGCATTTTGTTAGCAGTAACTGTCTTTAGTATCTAGATAATGGCTCTTTAAAGAGAAAGTATACTCTTTTCATGTATGTGTATATATTTCTGTGTTTCGAAATTTGTTTCTGATTCCCTTATAAATGCTTCTGGTGACTGTAAAGTTAGATTAATGTATTCTTTGAGAAAATGCTCGGCTTTTTTTTTATTCAAGACAGCAGTATAACTGATTTTATGTTTGAATTCAATCTGTTTATAGGCATATGAAAATTATTCCTTTGAAGAACTACGCTTTGCTTCACCAACACCAAAGAGGTAAAAATTAAAGAATTTCTTTTTGATGAGGACTTAAATTAACATGTCCTGTCACTTCTGTTTACACCCCCCCCACAAGATGTGACTGACAGGTAGAAACAAAAAAGTCAAGTATTATTATATTTTTTCTTACATTTAGTGATTTATTATTTCTTAATTGTTCTAATGTTGATTTCTTATTTGTATTATTTACTCTCTGGATGTGTTCTTTACTGGAAATAAATGTGGCATGGAGAGTTATATTTTCATACCAAATAATAGGAAGTTAGTACATTGAAAAGGAAAAAATTGTATTTGGATGATCTGATAGGAAAAAAAAAGTTAATTTTCCCAACTCGACATTACAGATGGTCTCCAAGAAAACAGTAACTGTTTAATGATTTTAATTGTTTTGTTTGTGCCTAGACCCAGTGAAAACATGTTGATCAGAGTCAATAATGATGGTACATACTGTGCGAACTGGACTCCTGGAGCTGTTGGTCTCTATACCATTCATGTTACTATAGATGGCATTGAAATAGGTACTTGATTTTCACTATATTTGAGGATAGATTTATATAATATCCACTTTGTATACTGATAAATTTATGTCCTGGTCCTCATAAGGTTTAATATTATAGTTCATAGCAAAACTTAGCAACCAGGTTTTGGTTCAGAAGGCTTCTATGTAAATCCCTCTTCTTTGTCAAAAGGTAAAAAAGACCACAGTTATTCTCACAAATCATGTATTTATAATGTGGTTAGACTACCAGATTGACAGATTCTCTTATTCTCAACCCTCAGTGTTGAAAAAAAAAATGTCTTGCTTCAGCTGAAAGTGACAGAGATGTATAGTTAAAGGGGAAAAAAAACTAGCCCAACCTTGAAGAACCTGAGGAGAGGGGAAACTGTTCATGACAATGCAGGAATAAATATTTTCATTTCTTCTGTGGAAAACTGAGAAAATGTGGTCTTAACTGAGACTCTACTTGAAGTCCTAATTATTTGTACTAATTTTAAAATTATTTTGGTTCCTTCCTTGCTGAAAATTTTTTAGTTATCTTGCTAGTCCTAGACTACACTAGAGTACACTGTGAGATATTATGTGGAAAGAGTGTACCTCCAAAAAACACTCTGTATTGAAGCTCTCATGTTAGTCATACTGGTGGGATGGTGAAGATGGTAGTAGAAACATTGAAAGCATTGTAGTTAGGCCCCGATCTGATGGGTTTGAGTGAATTCATCAGCAATTCCTCTTTTTCAATACTGTACAACACCTTTTGTAAACACATAATGATACTCATAAATACAAATACCTATAATTCACATAGAATTGGAGTGAGATGCTATTTAATATGTTAACTACAGAAGATAAGATGTATAAAATATAATTATTAATGGTTATCTTTGTTCCTCAGACAGGAACATTTGCCTTCATAGGAGCCTCCAGTGCACTCAATTGTATTTTTTCCAGTGTTGGTAATTAAAGGTGCTGACTGTTTATAGGCCTTGTCTGGCTTGGCTTTTCAGGCTCTTAAGTTTCTCACATGTTGCAGTTAGCATCTGCAGCAGTACAGCATGCATAACCAGAAGCTTTCACTTGCACTCCTCAAACGTTCACCACTCCTTGAAATTTACGTCTCTGTAAATTTCCACAAATGAAAATACAAATGTTCAGAAAGTAATACCTTGCACCATGAAGCCAACTGCAAGTGTTGTTTATGCCAGAGAGATAAGTGGTGATTTTGTCTACTCTGAGTTGTAGCACAGATAAACTGTAATTACTGTTTAACTGATATATCCCCTTATATTTCTTTTTTTAAAACTTAGTCTTTGTTTGATTATAGATGCTGGACTAGAAGTGAAAGTAAAAGATCCTCCGAAGGGAATGATACCGCCTGGAACTCAACTTATTAAACCAAAAGCAGAGCCTCAGCCAAACAAGGTTTGGAGAACTGGGGAAAAAAAAAAAACAAAACCAAAACCAAACAAAACAAACAAAACCCACAAAGCCAGATAGTTATATTTGGGTGGAATTGGGTGGGGGTTTACTATCTTTTAATATATACTTTATCATGTATTAATTAATGGTGCAGGACTTGAGGATATTTGCAGATCACTTTAATATGCTGAATGGAATGAAATTAATATACTGGATAAAAGGAAGCATATTCATTCCATTTTCTTTCTGTCTATCCATGAATGAAATGGTTAAAAGCTCCACAGAAACTACCTTCATCTCAGCTTATCACACAAACATTGAACAGCTATTATTAAAGCCACAGACTGAATTCTGCACTATTTTTCTTTTATATTTTACTATGAAATTAATTGCACAAAGGCTTTACAAAGATTTTGCTTGTTTTGTCTTAAGGATCTTCAGTCAATACTAAATCCATAAGGAGTTTCTTTAGTGATATTTCCCTTTCTTAGAATGGTGGGATTTTGTTTTTAAAAGGTATGCTTTCTGTAGCATTTGACTTCCCCATTTCACCTTATCATTGCACCTTATCATTCCATCCTGAAGGACTAAAATAGACAAAAGTAAAGAAAACACGCCAAAATGTGTGGCAGTGCTATAAGGAAAATGCCCAGGTGAGGGAACCACCTTGCGCTTCCTTTAGATGCAAAGGAAGGGATATTAAATGAGGTGCTGAATGTTTTTTTCATGGAATAAACTTGTATGAAAAAGATGTGGAATTCTGAAATATCAGAAGGTTGTCCCTCCCTCTCTTATTACAATTGGGAATGGGGTTAAGGAATACATGGTTACCAAAAGGATCAGGTGTTTGACAAATTCTTACCTATACAGCACATCCTGATTTTTTTTTTCCAACTTTTGAGTAATCTAGAGACAGTAACTTTGTTGTATGGTTCCCCAGTCCATAAATTCATCTAGCATCTGATTCTGCTACTAACAAGATTCTTTTTCCTTGCAGCTACACCTCAAAATAAAAATAATAAATGTACTTTTAGTTTACTTGCAATGTTTTATCCCTCGCTGCAACTCTTTTTATTTTCTCCACAAGAAGCTACTTTTAGACTTTCTCCCTTCTCTTGGAAGGAAGACTTCCTGGTTAGTTCATTGTCTTCATTAAAACTCCCAATTCCTACCAAGGGAGATTTATCTCACATGACTTAATGATAGCTCTATCCAAGCAGATCATCCTGTGTTGTTTGCTGTTACCAAGTTGAGGGACATCTGGTTTGAGATGAGATAAACTGCTGGATGGAAGTTCTGTTGTTCTTTTCAATTATTATAGTGGAAATTGCAGTGACTGGTTCACACATAATAACTCCATGTTGTCAAGTAACAGTCTCAGTGAGACTTAAAAGAACTTGACCAAAGTTAGTCCGCTGGTGTTCTGAGACGTTACCCAGTGTTTAATTCTTTCCCTATGTTGTTCTACTTGTATGTCTTGTTTCTTGTTTCAAATTGTAATCTCTTTGAAAAAGGAACCATCCTTGTCCTGTATATAGTGTCTGTAGAGCCTGCTGCAAAATTAAACTAGACCTTTCATGGTGAATCATATAAGCACTCTTCTTTCTTCTGTGCCATAATAAATTACGAAACAAACCAGATTAAGGTAATTCTTTGTGTATGAACAGCAGTATTATAAATAATACGGAAAGGTAATAATTGCACTGTGCTCTGTGTTTCTCAGTCCAAGAATGCAGATTAGACATGTATCAGTCAAAGACAGCCCAATACACCAAATCATGTTTCACTGAGAAAAAGGGCTTAGTTGAGTTCTAAAAGCTTCTTCATCATCTTTGTCAGCCTGAAATTTCAGACAGTGATAACCAAAGTTTATTCTCAGTGGTGATCTGTTTTCAACTAGAAGCACCAAAATATTTTCATTGAGGCAGTGGAATGTTCCAAGTTTTTAGTCAAACCTTATGGGAATCACAAGTTGAAAAGGGGTACTATATAGCGATTTTATATTTGTATTCTTCATTTTCTGGTATTTGAAGTCAGGTGCAAATCTGCTTTTTCTGTCCATCCAAGTTAGTAAAGGGAAGATTATGATAGTGATCTGTATTCAACCTGGGGTATGTGACCCAGGTTGTTTCCTCTCTGGCTGTGAAGCCTAAATTAACTAATTTGCAGGAAACTCCATTCTGCATCCTATTGAGGAAGACATTATCTTTCAAGCCATGTGATGTAATTCATTGTAATTGGAACCAACTAGAAGAAAGCAGTCCTAATTTAACTGAATTTGAAGGTGATCCCTAAACAGTTTCTAGTTGTAGGTTGCAGTTTTCTGACAACTAGTTAGCTGCTGCAAAGGGGGAAAATGTTTTTTCGAGGCCTGTGCAGTCTCAAAATCTTGAATGTGAGTTCTTCCTCTAAATTAAAGATTTTAATCCAGGTTATAGCAAACTGTCATAAGATTTTCAGAAGTAACATTTTGGGTTGATAATGCAAGGACCCCTAATTTGTAAGGCTTTGTTTATAAGCTTCTCTATATTGAGAATGCTATCAGCAATAATTCACCCTTGTACTTTTACAAGGATCTTGGAAGTCTTAGTTTTGTCTGTTGAGAGAATCTAAATATTTTGAGTAAGAGGATTTTTAATAAGCAAAACATTTGAAATCCTTTACATGCTTCTGGTTTTTTTGTTTTGTTGGTTTTGTTTCTTGGTGGTTTGGGTTTTTTTTTTAAATTAGCCTTAGAATAAATACCATTTCTTAAAATAAAAAATTTCTGTAAGGAAAAAAATAATTCATGCACTTAGCTGTTATCTTTCATTATCTTTCACTGAGTTTATTCCTTACATGTAAGTCTGTGCTTCATGTTAAGGATTAAGTCCATACTTCCATTGATACTTTTATTAGTTTTACTTGTAGAGTTTTTGAAAATAACCTTCCAAGAAAATATATATGCTTTATACCATATCCGTAAAATATATGCACCTCTTAAAACAAGAGACCAAAAGCATGGCTTACATTTGTTCTTTGTGAGACAGGTGCATTCATACACCTGAATGGTGAAAAAATTAAAGTGCATAACAACTGGGAGATTTTGGGGGGTTGTAGTAAGTTAAACTGATAATAAGGAGCCTCTGCTCTAGCCTATCTGTTGAAAAAGGAGAAGCTATTGAAATAGCTATTCGAAAATTAAAGAAATAGATCTGTTCTTTTTCTATATTAAAATGTCTAGTTAAACTCTTTAGCTAAGGAAAAGATCCACATTTTGGTCAAAAAGTTGACTAAAGAGAATATTACATAGCATAAATGAGAATGGTAATCCCAGGCTGATTAGTTAGGAGGTATATTAAGTTTGAAAAGGCAAATCCATTGAAACTTGCACGAATTAATAAAATGTATGTGTTAAAGGCTCAGGAGCCTGTACTGATCATTGTAGGGAATATCAGAAATATTTCCGAGACTGAATCAATGTCTATGTTTACATTTAGGGGTTTTTTTTAACACTATGATTTTATTGGTTATAGTAAAAAAGTGAAGTTATACACAGCAGCCGTGGGAAACTAGCAACAAACTGTAACTCTTATGACTGCCGTCTTGTCACTGGCATTTCAGAATCTGTTAAACCTATTTCTTTTTACTCTGAGAGCTCTGTTCCAAATTTTTTCTTCCTTACTGTCTTTCTTTGCTTCTCTTAGGTTCGCAAATTTGTGGCCAAGGACAGTGCAGGGCTTCGTATCCGTAGCCACCCTTCCCTTCAGAGTGAGCAAATAGGCATAGTGAAAGTCAATGGATCCATCACTTTCATTGACGAGGTAATCAATAAGACATTTCTACTGAAAAGTGGGCTAAGATGTAAAGTTAATTAATGCAAATAATGGGGGATTTTCCATGTTTAGATGTTGACATATACAACCTAAGAGCATAAATTGCAAAAATCTGAATTTACTAATTTAGTTTTTCAAGCTGTCATTTCCTTTTAATTTACTTACTTCAAAACCTATGTAACAAACATTTGAGATTCTGATACAAGAAAAGGAAGTTCCTAGAGTTCATCCTATAATAATATCTCTTAAAATTTAGCTTTTCATTACTTACTATTTTAACTCTACACAAAAATTCAGATGTAGCTGTCCTTTTCCTTACATCTGTAACTTACAGATTTGAAGGATCACCAGTGTGTTAGCCTCCTGTGCATGTATTTTTCTTACAATATAATTTCACATACAAAGAATATTTTTGCAATTTACGGAGTTATATCAGCAGTGGAAAAATGGGAAGTGGGGTATTTATGAAGCTTATAAAGGCTTGACTTTCTTTCTTTTCTCTCAAAGAAATTCCTATTAGTGCATGATTGGATTTAAATTTATCCTCACAGCTTTACTTCTAAAAAGATATACCTGTCATTGCTTTGAAATTCTGATTTTGTCAGTATTCTCTTTACTTCTACTTATATTCTATCAACATAGTAAAGGTGGTTGCTTCTTTGCTGCTATTATCTGTCTCTCTGAAGTCTGTTAATCCTTGCTAGCTGCAGAAGTTACAGGAGGGCATGGCTCCTTTTTGTTGCTTGTTTCCCATAGATCCACAATGATGATGGTGTTTGGCTGAGGCTGAATGATGAGACAATAAAGAAGTATGTTCCTAACATGAATGGTTACACTGAAGCCTGGTGTCTGTCTTTTAACCAACATCTTGGCAAGAGCCTTCTGGTACCTGTTGACGTAAGTAAAAGGTGCCTTTGAAAAATATCCAAAAGTACACTCTATCCTCATTACAAGACTTTCTTTAATTAAGGCTGCAAATAAGTCCTGAGGTAAACAATATTTTAGTTATCAAATATAACCGTAAATGTTTTTGGAGTTTTGAGGGCTGTTATGTAATGAGGGTGGAGTGTAGAAAGGTATGAGGCTTATGTTGAAGCCTCTCTTCCTAGACGAGAAACAGAAGTGCAAGGACTGCTGTAATAAAAATAGAATAGTATTAGATTGTGGTCTACACCAGGTGTTTCTAATGCTAGGTTGCATTTTCTGTAAAGTGGTCCACTGGGGCCATGATTTCAGAAGAGCCTTGTAGCCTATAGTGAATCAGTATAATTGAGACTTTTTTTAAAAAAAAACAAACCTGAAAAGTTCTTTAGGCTCTGGGTTTTCTGTATATTTTTTGTGAGTTTTACACCTGAATCCTTAAGCTATCAATTTATTAGCTAGCCAGAGAATCCCATAGCTTTAAGACTGAGTAAAAAATTGAATTTATAGTAAGAGTAAGCGTAATTTATTTGAATAACTTTTATGGTGATCACCATCACTACAGTTCAAACGTTACAGCTTTTCTGGAAACAGGACACTTTTTTTTTTTTTAAATGCAAAGGACAGAAAGAGAAAACTGTATTAGCCAAACCAGTGTTTATTAAAAAATTTATGAAAGTGCAGGCCTTTCTGGCTCATCTGTTTTCATGCATTCCCCAGAGTGGGCAGTACCTTGGTTTCTTCTAGGCACAGGGTGAGAACCAGATCTAATTGCAAATACTGCTTTTTAGATTTGATCTTATATAAGATATATATATAGGTCTTATATAAGGTAGCTGCTGTTGCAGTTGAAGATAGTTAACAAATGTTTCGTGAAACTAAACACTTCCAGCCAGTAATATCCTGTTGATGTTTTTCGGTTACAGAAGAACTGAGATATTCCCAGTTCCAGTGAAACTGGGCTATTTGCTAGTAGCCAAATCTAGAAATTCAGAAACCCCTGTGGCTGCAGCTTGTGTTCTGACACACGCTGTTATATGATGTGAATAGGTCTTCTTCCTATCCACCTTCTTGACTGTAAATTATTTGTTGATATATTTCTATTTGGAGATTTCTTTCAATAGAATTCTTGTTTGGAGGATTACTTTGTTATTGCATATGGGAAGCATATTATTTTTGCACTCGGACGTCAGTCACTCAAATATGCCTGTTGTCACACCGTGTATCTAGTTTACTCTAGAATATATGAGAACGTGGGTAAAAAATAAACTTTGCTTAAAATCTTGCCTGCATTTTTGTCTTAAAAAATTGCTACAGTGTGCTTTCATGAAATGTTAATATTTTTATGCAACAGTTGAATTTTAGCAGTTCACCCATGATAAAAGTGAATTCACGTTGACTAAGTAATTAACTTCTGTAAGTCTGGATGGGTATTATATTCTGCTAGACTTTTATTTAGTTGTTTGGGGTTTTTTTAGTTTAGTTATTTTTAATACATTTTTACGTGTTGAAGGGAACGCTTTTGAGCTCAGCAGTTGTGTCTGTGGTTAGCAAGACCTTATTGGCTGGCATATTTTATATAGCTCTAGCATTCACTTAGTTCCAGAGGAGAGCATATGCTGTGCTACTCTGAGAAAAGCCTGAAAGAAAATGCATGTGATAAATAACTGAACATTCAATCTTGATAATATAATCTTGAGGATTAAAATTTTATTTGAGTAAGTAGGTCAGGTACAATCAAATGTGAGACAGTATTCGATTTTCAAACATTTCACTCTCTACCTCTGTAAAGTATTATCTCTTTCCTTAAACACTGCTATGAATTATTTTTATACCATTCAATCTATTAAAACCTGTTAGATTTGCTTAAGTTTTTTTTAAGTAACAGTTACATTACATCTTGAATAACACAAATCACGTGCTTTCTTAGCTTCTGGTCAGTAAGCAGCACTCAACAACAGCAACTCAACAGCACTCAACTGTTCTAACAATGAAGGAATGTGCAAGAGATGTGTTTTAGCTAGTTTCAGATGGAAAGTGTCTTTGCACAGCTCTCATATTTTCAAATTTGAAAAAAGTTGAAAATATTAAAAAAATTTTTTTTCTCTGAATTGTCAGAAAAAAGGGCTGTGTTTGTAAGTTGTCAGATTTCATCAGTACAGTCCTCTAGAGGTCAATGACTCATGTCGCAAAAGATGTTCAATTAAATAATAAATGCTGAAGGTTCATTAGATAAAAATTGTGATACTATCCGTATCTGCTCATCTTGTTCTCTTGATCTGGGTAACTGAATGACATAATGAGCAGAATGTAATAAAAAAAATATATATTTTAGCGTAGAAGATTTTTTTTTGAAACTGACCAGTAGTGGCTTAAGAATAATGCTAGAGAAAGTCTCTTGTGTGACTGAAAATACAAATGGAAAATCAATTGGCTGAATTAGTCATGGTATTCCCTGTTCAAATAGATGTCACATTACTTTTATTAGGCTCCATTTTTATTCAAGTCACGAGTGTGCAGACTTGTCAACTCCAATTACATTGCTCTGTCACATTTAAATATGCAGGCCTTTTATAATCATCATCCCTTAAGTAAATAAAATCTCTCAGTATGTTTTGTAAAATATGTGAAAAAGTGTATTTTTAAAAGAAAGTTTTAATTATTCTGTTTCATCACTGAATTGAACAGTAAACAAATAAAAAACAGTAGGTTTTTATCAGTGTTAATTTTGGCCTCTTCTTGACATATATATTATATCTACATTTTATGTAGATTTATTTGCATTAACTAAATATTTCATGATAAAACAAACACTGGATGTTGTGAATTTCACAACTATACTGTTTCTATATATTTTTTTCAGAACTATTATATTTAAAGATAAATGATTATAGGAAAACAGAGATCCATGGTAGTTACCAATGTTTTATTTATTTGAGCATTGGTCATTTACCTTCTTAGAAAAATCTTCAGAGTCAATGCTCTTCTTTTATTGGTCTTGTCCTTTCACAAGGAACTGCTATATAGCCTCTGATCTGAAATAGTGCATCCAATCCATTGTAGGTAATACAGTTATAAAACTGAATTTAATAGATTGTGATTTTGGACAAGCTGCTTCCATCTCTGGTAGTTATTTTTCCCGCTGTCTTATGGCATTCAGTTAACTGTTTTTGAAAAAATACTTGTTAAGTTCCTTATGCTGACAGTTATGTATTCATGCTTACACATGGTACTTAGTGGAAAGGATATAAAAGGGTGCACACTGGGCAGAAGTAGACTTTTATCTTGGTTAAGCTCTGGAACTTGACTTTTAAAAAAATCATATACTAAGGAAGTTTTTGTTACTTCATTTTAAATGTAAAACTTCATAAGAAGGAATGCTGTATGCTGATGCCCAGTTACATTATTACATTCCCCAACCACCATAGGCAGTCAGGATTGAGAAACTGAAAGCTTTTCAAACTGTTATTGCAGTGGAAGAAGGAGCCAAAACTAGTATGTAGGCTACAGTTTTTGATCCAGAACCTCAGAGAGCCGAATGTTCTGTGGAAATATTGAAGGACATTTGCAAGAGTTTTCTACCATTGTTTTGAGCACAATGGAAGGCAATTGGAGAGTAAGACTGTGTTGGGTAAAATGTCGAGATGGTTGTTTAAAATATAATACTGAGATTTTAAATGCTTCCTAATGGTCTGGGTTTTGGTATCAAAACAAAGTAATTTTTTAAGTGGGGCTTTTTGTTGTTTTTTTTCGGAAACATTAAAGTTTATTGGAAGAAATATGACTTCCTGAAATTAGTTTTAGTTCTTGGAATAGAAAGTTTGAAATGGGAAAAATAAACTAAATCTACAGATGGTAGCAGAAGGACTAAATATTAAGCTTTTCTGTCGTCGTTTCTAATCTATTCATCTAAACTGGTACACAGTGTTCTTAATAGCCAGGAGATTCTCAAGTTCCTAGAGCAAAGGAGAGTTTCTAGTTTGATCTTTTTGGTGTTGCTAAGATGACATGGTCCCCCTTCGCTGCTGTTGGTTTCCCTTGTATGTTTTACACATAGAGATTTATGATGTAGAAAAATAGGTCTTTGAAATTATTTAAATAATTTAGGTATGGATAGTCCATGTTTCCCTGTGCAGTAGAAGTCCCTCAGAAAATAGGAGATATGCTGCAAAGTAATATAATCAGTCAGTTTAAGTATGTTGGATGCCTATAAAGTACACTCTCATGTAAATGCAGACTTTTTTATAGTTGTCATAGTTTTATGTCAAATTGGTGAGCCTGTACTCTGCCAATATTCCTATCTAATACCCTCCTCACCTTCCCCAAAACATACCACTAGTGTATTGGTACCTCCTTCAGTTTTGGCAAAAAGTACTCAATTCTGGAGAAATGCTGGTGTTTTGACAATTCTCCTTTTTTGTCAAAATGGCAAATCGTTTTTATTCCTGAAACTTGATGTTTACAAAGAGTATATAGCTAGATAATTTGCTTCTATCATGAGATAAAAGCATGAATTCAGTTACTTTTAATATGTTTGTGTTTTTTCAAGGAATACAGATGAGGCATGCCAAGGGTGTTTTGTACTTGTTTCAGCTTGAAAGGATTCACTACCTTAACTACTGTTAAATTTTCATGTGACTACTGTCCAGGGATTTCACCTGGTTCCCTTATCAGGATGGGGATAGGAAATTAGATTTTGATACCTCTGTTCATGTAGATAAAATGGTTGCTTTCTCAAAGGGATTCCATCATAAATATGATTACTTGTACTGATATATATATATTATTACTTCTTTCATTTGACAGGAACAGTGAAAATTTCTTTGAAATGAGTAGAAACCAGCTTATGGAGAAAAGATGGCTTCTTTTTCGTGTTTTCATGGTCAAAAAATGCTGTCCTCAGAGTTCTGTGGGAGGAAAAAATACACAGAACAGCAGTGCTCATTTCTGTAGTGTGGGCAATTGGTTTTAAAATTAGTGGCCACTGTATTTGGTTGATGGTCATTCATAACGAACTAGTAAATGCATTGTACATTTTACAAAACCAAAGAAATCTTAGCAATTGTTCTCCATATAGCACTGAAATTTTTGGCTCTGGTAAGGAGTACGATTTTGATGTGCAAACTGGTGAAATCTTTCTGTGCAAGTGAACTGCTTTCAGCAATGGTGAGCTTAGCCCTTCTGCATCTCTTTAGGTCTGAGTTGGTGACTAAAATTCCATGTGCATTTGTCTTGCATTAGTTGAAATTATCTTTCAGAACTGCAGAGCGTCTTGCTAGAAAACTGCTTTGTGATGGGACCAACTACTGTTTCATTGTAACAGCAGTGTGGGATTTTTCTGTGCATGAAGTCTCAAGCTTTATAAGAAATGTCTGGCTCTTAATTTCTGTAAATGGCATGACACACTACATCCATTTTGAGCTTTTGACATACTAAACTGTTTCTGTTTAATGGATGATTTGCCATGGTGAGCAATGGACTCAGGTGACTTGATTAGGAGAACAAAACTTTCCCCTTTTGCAAAACATTCTACTAGTAAATTTACTTGTGTAGAAAGTTTGCATTATAATACCTTGAGCTTCTTCCTCCAGTATTTCTTTGTTCCCATTTCTTTGTTGATATGTCTTTTTTTTTTAAACTTTGTTGCTCAGAATGTCTTTAATGCTAGCCAAGGAGTAAGGGATTTGGACTTTTTTTCATGGACTTCCAAAGCTTTACCCCCTAAGGTGAGTTAAATTACAGGAACAGTCACACTGTCTCTCATGTTTTCAGAATGCACCTTATGACTCAACTTTATACTAAATATTCTTTGAAGTCTGTTTTACTGCAAATTATTTTTACAGGAAATAGCAGATTTGCATAGGGTGCTGTATCCGTGTCTCTTCCTTTAGGATGAGAAAAAAATACCAGGGCAGATTATTGAATTTTCATTAATTCATAAGTAGCACTCTCCTTTTTTAATAAAACAGATTAGAAGTTCAGAGAGATAGCCTAGTAACGGAAGAAAGGCTTTAATTTCCTCTTAGTGCAGAATTTCCTAGTAAATTTTTTTCTGTCTTTGAAAGGCTTCACATGCTGTTGCAGCATCTAATAGGATGATATTTGTATGAGTAAGGCCACAGATACTTAATAAATACTCTGCCCATTCTGAAACATTTTTAAAATTATGTAGTTATAGGAACAGGTTATGTTAAGTACAGTTAAGCTGTTTAACTACAGAAATGTTTGTCTGAATAGCAGTGCTGTAGTGATTTTGAGATCCATTTTTTTCATATGAACTTTATAATGAAGATGGCATTGTGTTGTACATTTTGGTTTAGAGATTTTAAAACTTGTTTGTCCACTGAATCTTTTTCCCCAGAATAGCAAACTTTATTATAGCAAGATCTAAACAATATTTAAACTTTTTTTTTTCCTCAAAACAGTTAACCTCAGCTTGCATTAACTTGCTTTGTAAGTTACATATTTACCTAAGAGTCATTTTTGTGTAAAAGCTTCTTGAAAAAACTGCTGTATTAGTCTGGAGATAGTGCACAGACTTCATACCAAAAAAAAGGCGGAAAATAGTGATAGTTAAAGAGGTCAGAGGAAATTGCATTGATTTGAAAGGAAGTAACAAGAGCAGAAGTTTGGTTTAAATCTGACAAAAGAAAGTATTCTTTTACATAGCAGGTAGTGAACTTGGATGGTGGTGTTACAGGAGATTGTTGAGGCAGAAAGTATCAGCATATTCAGAAGAAATTAAATTTATAGAAATCAGATTCATAAATAAACACTAAAGAAAATAGGGTATGCCCCCTATAATAATAAAGATGTTAAATGCTGTTGGTACGTAAAGGACAGACTACTAATAAAGACTTGTATTCTGCTTATAAAGAGCATCTCCTGTTGCTGTTGCTGAACTCAGTATACTAAATTAGGTGACCCACTGGCTTCATCCAGGAGGACATTACATAGTTCTTAACTTTCAGATGTTCCTTTTAAAGCACCTCTGACTTTCACTGTAAGCATAATAGAGCCCCTTTCTGCTTCTCACTTGCTTTCTTCTGATATAAATGCATTTTCTTTACTCCCATCCCTTATATTTTTTCTTTACAGTAGCCTTTTTGTTAAGCTGTAGCTGGCTCAAAAATCAATGCTAATTTTTTTCTTCTTTTAGTAACTGCAACCTTTTCTTGGTAAGAAATTCAGAAAGCATGTTTTCATTTCAGATTTGGATATATATTTCATCAGTAATTAATATGAGATGAAATAATAATAATGCAGTAATATTTATATGAGCATTTACAGTCTATGGTATTGCTGTTACTCTTTGTTATAATTTTGCCCTAAAGTTAACAATATATTCTGAATGTGAAATCAAAAAGAGAAGCATTCCATATGGAGAGAGATAATATTCAGATTCCCTTTACCTAGCCCCAGACTTTCACAAAATTTCACAAATACAGAAGGAGGAATGAATGTGTATCCTGATAAATGTCAGTGTGGAATAAGGTTTAGTGAAAGCAGTTAGATTTAAAAAATTGTCTCCAAGGTTGGATATGAACCATTCCTTTTATGTAAATGGTTGCATTTATACCACTTTTGCTTCAAGAGAAATATAGTGACTTTTCAATTAATGTGCAATTTACTAGTAGTTAGTTGTTTAGCATTGCACAGTAAAATTAGCAATGTAACTAGTATCTCTTTTAGCTTTGAAATTTACCTTTTTTAGTCTCGAAATATTTCTTATCTAAATAGTTCAAAAGTGGGATTAATAGGTTTTATTTTGTTCTGTTTTGCCTTTTTTTAAATTTCTCAGGAATCTAGGTCTAATGCTGATGATTTTTTCAAAGACCTAAATTCGCACTGTCCACAGGAAGCAGTGATGCAGGAACAAGATATGCCATTCCTTCGAGGTGGACCTGGAGTGTACAAGGTAGTGAAGACTGGCCCATCAGGTCACAACATAAGAAGCTGCCCTAACCTTAGAGGTATCCCAATTGGAATGTTAGTTCTGGGAAACAAAGTCAAGGCAGTGGGCGAGGTATGGATCCTTGTAGCTTCGGTTCATGTCTTCATAGATACCAGTATGTAACAGTAGTAAACACAACAAAAGAATCTGCCTCTGTACAGGTTTGCTTTTCCAATCCTCATGATAAATACTGACCTTTGAACTTGGTTTGTATTATAAGTACTAATGCAGTTATATCTTTTGCCTTTTTGCATTGATTGGAATAATGTTAAAATTGTACTGCAGTTAAATATGCTTGCTTATTTGTTTCTGTTACAGTATTACAAAATTATGTTTCTTGTTCTACCTTTTTGTCATATTCTTTGAAAGAATTTTGTTTCATTGAAAAAAAGTTTTCCTAGGACCTAACCATTTAACAAATTACTGTATTTCTCTGTATTGATTGTATTAATTTATTCAGTTGCTGAACTGTTGTTACTGTTCTCGATTGTCCAGCTGTGGTGTTTTATGGTTAAGAAGGGCTTAAGGATGAAGTGTGTCATGCTATTTCCTAAATATAATGTCAGGAACAAAATTAATACTCATAAAAACTTTTCATATTTGACTTGGTATTATAATTCTACTGTTGCAGCCATCAATTAGAAGGTATATTTTGGTGACTATTTCCTCAAGTTTTTATTCAGGCTTATTTGGATGTTCTAAAATTGCGATGTTGATGTTTTGCTCCTTTCGAATGTAAACAGGTCTAATATTTTTGGAACAACTCCTAACTGTAAATTTACCATAAGTAGGTTTAGTACTTCAATCTGCCTCAGCCTGTGGCCTTAATTTAAGAAACAATTTTTTTTTACATTTGCTTTGTAATACAACGATTGGAATGTGTTTTTCAGATGCTATAATAAGTTGCTGAATCACGCTACTGAATTATTTGAAAAGTCAATAAATTTTGCTTTTTTTATGTGTGTGCATCAGGTGACTAATTCAGAAGGTACATGGGTGCAAATGGATAAGAACAGCATGGTAGAGTTCTGTGAAAGTGATGAAGGCGAGGCATGGTCATTAGCTAGAGACAGAGGTGGAAACCAGTACCTCCGACACGAAGATGGCAAGTGGTTGTTTTGTTTTATTTTTTAAAATTAACTTAGAAAAAATTAAGCAATCTAAATAGGAGAACTAAAGTAGGATCTGAGTTTTGAACAGATATCATATTTATGCATTTTCATTTGAGTTATATGTTACACAGTTGGACTTGAAAGTTGTTTATAAACAGTCTTTAAATTTTTTTTGAAGGAACAGTTAAAAATATTTTCCCCATGTTTTCCTCTGTACCAGTTATGGTTACAGGCCATAAGTTTAACCGTCTTTTTAGCTATGGGGATAATTTTTAAATAAGTAATTGTTCTTTTTGTAGTTTTCTTTGGTCTTCTTTGTGTCTCTTGAAAAGCAGAGTAGAATGAATTCTGATCCTGTTAAGTTTGTTAATTTTGTCACACGGCATCCTGTTAAAAACCTGTTAATATGTTTTTTAACACTGTATTTGAAATTAACATCAAATTAGTTAATTACTCAAGTTAGCAAAGTATGATTGCATTCTCTTAAAATGCATAATTTCTCTCCTGGTAATTCATGTTCAGATCGGGTAAGACCTAGAAATAATTAAAAAAAAAACATAAACACAAAAATTTTTATTGCCTTCCTCCTGCTCAGTTATCCTTCTTGTTGATCTCCCTCCAAACAGACTTCATTACTGATCTAAAATATCTTTTATTCACCCTAAATGCTTCATATGAATACCTTAAGGTACTCTGAAATTGTTATTTCCTTAACAGAAAGACTCAGCCCATCCACATGAGTTCTGCTGTGCAAGATTGTGGCCAGTGCATATATTTCTTAAAAAAATGAAAGAGGGAGTGATCTGTCAGTGTTTATACTTCTGGATAAGATCATCTGACCAGAATCTGACATTGGAGATTCAGCTGGATGAGGTTGCTCAGGGCCTTGTGTACTCAACTTCTAGCTAAATCCAGCCTCTCTGAACACTTGTACAAATACTGGCTCACCTTCATGGTGAAAAATATTCTTAATACCTAATCACAGTTTCCCATGCTGCAGCTTCTGTTCATTGTCTCTTGTCCTGTCACCGTGAACCTCTGAGATGTCTGGCTTCATCTTCCCTGAACCCTTTGATTAGATAGTCAAAGGGAGCAATAAGATCTCACCTTAGCTCTCTTTTTCTCAAACCCACATCTCAGCCTGTCTTTAGATGTTGTGTACTGTACTGCCCTGAATATCTTGGTGGTCTCTGCTGAACTCATTTCCGTCTGTCTTCTGATGGGGAGCCTGAAGCTGGACACAGCACCCCAGCTGGTTCATTGTGTCCCTCTTGTCTTCCCAAAGTCTAGTAAAAATTACTATGAATCTTCATGATTTTGTTACAGGTGTTCTTAGAAACATTTAAGGTTCTTCCACGGATACTGTAATTTTGGTAGAGTTCTCTAGAGGCTGGTTTGTTTCTACTCGCTCAAAGAGTTAATTTCTTCAAGATTTCTTTCTTTTAATCTATATTTCTCTGTTTTCTGCATAAATCTGGGCATTTTCAAATTATAATCTTCCCACTCCATTTATAGGATTTAATGTATCTGTTTTCCAAAAGATGTCTTTATGAAAAGCTTTGACCTCACAGCAGTCATATTCTGCTTGTGTTTTTATGTTCTTATTGTCAGCCTTTTACTTTTCATTATAACAGACTCTTTGCCCTTTTTGTGGTTTGGGTATTTGGTGCGGAAATTTATTTCACACATAGATGCTCTAATAATTATCATCACATTACTATATTAAAGCAAATAGTTCCTTGCTAATACATATGTATTTTCCGTAGGACGTTGTGGCTTGACTTTAAGGTATAAAACATTCTGCAAAGAAGAGAAATAATGAAAAGTTTTTCATAAAATATATAAGTATTTATGTAGTGCTTAGAACGCTATCTTTTTTTCAAGTCATAGCTTTTGTGCTTACAGTTATGTCTGATAATGTCAATGTTTTACTCTTTTCTAGATGATTTTGTTTTTATAAGTAGGGTGAAGATAGATAAATCTAGCTAAAGCAGTTTAAGCAGTTATCAGTTCAATTACTAAAATATTTTAACCTGTTTTATGTTCCTAGTACTGGAGGTTACTTTAGACTGATTGTTTTTATTTGCCGTGAAATTATTTAGAAATACTTTGTCATTAGTTTCAATGCTTTTGCCAGAGGGAAATAATTAGGATTTGGAGGAGCTCCAGCTAGATTTGCAACTGTCTATATTTTTATCCATAAATAATGCCATCTTTCAGATTATGTTCATATTTTCATTATTTTAAAAAATTATAATTTAACTCCCATAAAGAAGTAGAATTTTTGTCAGAGACAAAGCAGAAGTCATACTGTATCCCTAGGTCCATAGGCAAGTATCCAGTTAAAACACTACAGCAAGATCTAGAGTTGCCTCAGAGAAAGTTCTAGATCCTTTCTTTTATAAGCTGACTTTAAATTTCTAACTTTCTCCCTGTTATTTTTTTATTTTAGTTTAAATACGTGTGTTATGTAAAAGTTTGTACTGTGAAATGCAGTTTGGGCCTGAAGTGCAATTTTTAAAAAATTACTTTTAGAAGACTTGTGATTTTTTTTTTTAATAAATCCACATTAATATTAGTACATTTACAAGAAAAAAAAAGTTGTTCAAGGTGCCTGCTTGAGCTTTTAGACCTGCACTTCGGATATTTCTTCTGAATACTTTCTTATATATTATCACTTGGAATTATATTTCTGACCACATAAAGTCAGTAATTTCTCCCTAAGTCTAAACAGTCAAGTGGATTCTATCTCGTTTGTTTTGGCTGGATGTTATTAGGAATATTATGAAAAGCTCTAGGTTGGTTTTGGTTGGGGGTTTCTTTAGTGTCATACAGAAAGCAAAATTGTAGTACTCATTTAGNTAAATGTCAGGAAAAAATCTCTTATGTCTCATGAACTATTAGAGCATACCCAGGATTAAAGATTTATTGGCTCAGAGTTTGTGACTGAAAACTATCCCTTCTTCACTTTGCTTTGTCAAATGAGTTTAACAATTGCTGTCCAAAAGGTAAACGCTGAATGGTGTGATGTTACTGAAAAAAACAAAGTGTTGAGCTAGTTCCTAAGTGGCAGATAATGGCAAAGCTGGCAGCAACTCAGTCAAACATAAAAACAGTCTGTATGGTATTTAGTCCTCTGTCTTTATATTTTTAGAGCGTGAGATCTAAAGAAGAGGTGTGCTTTTCTTTTTTTAAGAGAATTGAGTAGAGAGGAGGAGTGCTATGTGTGGAAAAAAATGTAACTCTTTTGCTTTGTGACTCATCTTTCCAATGTAGATCAGTTACTAAGATGGTCTAATTCTGAAGAGGTGTGTTTTTTTTACAGAGCAAGTCCTCCTAGATCAAAATGTGCAGACTCCTCCCCCAAGTCCTTTTTCAATACAAGCTTTCAGTAAGGGGACAAGCTGTAGTAATGGACAAGGGTTTGATTATGGCCTTGGAAATAACAAAGGTATGTTTTTGCACTCACACTTTAAAAAATTATGTTTTTCTTAACTTGACTTTTATTTTTTATTACTCATTTCCTACTCTTTTAGGCACTACAGATGTTCTTCAAAAGACATAAACAGTAGTACAATGAATTACAAGGTGTTTTTCAAAACATGTAGTTAATGTTAGAACTGCTTTTTTATCTGCTTTAATTCCACTTAATCTAAGTACTCTGTATAAAAAGGATCATCTAAGATTTGTAAGTTATAATTGAGGCTTTCTATAGTGGTAGGCACAAAACGCTAATGCTCAAATGAAAAATACATACTTTTAAAACAAAATAAGAAAATTATTTGATTTAGAAAGCATGTGTTTTTAAAAGGACAGAAACATTTGTCATCTGTCTTGACAACTTTTTAAGTGCAATTAATGGGTTAACAAGATAAAAGATACCATTTGCGATTTCTTGTAAAACGCAAAAAAAAATTAGAAAACAACAACAAAAAAAAAACTCAAAAAGAAAAGTTGTAAAACTGAAGTTACCTTTCTGTCACATAGATACTAGTTACAAATGCTGGGAAATAAATAAAACCCTGTTAATTTTACTGGCATAAAATAATTGTTTCTTTTAATCATGGTTTATTTTGTTGGCAAGATCTAAAAATATATATATATATATATATGTGTACATATATGAAAGCCATCACAGTAAACTCAATCTGCATGCCTTTTGTTCACTTATTGATTAGGTCTAGAAAATTTAATAATACAGAAGGGACTTCTGTTGAGACAGCTGTCCTTGAGAAATATGCCTGAAACATGGAGCTTTGCTGTTCTATTCCTATATCACTGTACTCTGTCCATGACACTTCAAATAGGGGCCTAAGGTGTGCTACATGTTTTTTAACATCAGCATATGCTCTTAGTGGTCTCCTAAATAAGGTAGTCTTAGTGGTCTCCTGAATAACTCAGGACTTATTTTAAAGGAGAGGAGATTAGGAAAGAAATTATTCCTAAATATTCTACTCTATTAGTGTCACAACATGAAATAGTTTTGTATCATTTCCCAATGCTTTATTGTTTAGAGTGCAGTCCGTACTTGGCCATGCATATGGGAAACTTTTTTTGGACTGAAAAGTTGAAGTGTTTTCCTTTTGTTTTATAAGGCCTTTTATACAGAACCGGTTTTCCCAGTTCAGCCATACTCATTTCAAACTAATGGTTGAATCACAAAAGTGGAAGGGTTTAAGATGTGAGGCAGTATTACAGCCTGTCTCTCAATGTCAATTGTGTAATAGTGCAAATATTATCTATTCTTTTTTCTACAGAAGCATATTAGGAAAATAATTTTTCCTTCTGTATTGTCCAAAGATAAAATTTAGAAATCAATATGCTATATTAACAGGCATCTTGGTTTCTTGAAGACACTGTGATTCTCTTTACTATATCTTAAGCAGTTTCAAAGGCGTTTCTTTGGGATAATACAGTTACAGAACATTTGGAAGCTACTCCTGGCATTGGATTCCATACCATTTTACACACATTATTTTCTCAAGCTGTTATGCTTCGTGTGAATGAACAAATCAGCTAGATGACTTTATTCATTCTGTGTACTGTATTTCCTTCTGAATTGCCTAGGAGCGGAGAGTTGTTGGTAACTATATTGACAGAATAATCTAATAACAGAAAAATAGGTTTGCAGAATAATAGAGAAATAGAATTCTTCACCTGTATATGCAGGGGTTTTGTATTCTCAGGTATAAGAAGCTTTTGAGTTTTGTGGAAAATAAAACATGGAAGGCACAAGCACAATCTCATAGGAGAATTTCTGAATGAAACACTTGTTGTTTGTTAAAAGTACCTTCTGTAGGGATACCGTAGTTTCAATGAAAATTCAATTGCCATCCGTGAGTATTTCAAATTTCTGGTCAAATGTAGAGATGCCCATGTAATAGGTCTGTGTTTATAGTATTACCTGCAAGACCGAAGACATGACTCCCACAGTGATTGTTTGATTTAACTATGCCTTCTCTCTGCAGTGCAGGCAAGTTTTTAATATTTCTCCTGAATCGCCCTACCCACCTCCATATTTGATTATTGTGGGCAGATGATTTTCAACCTCTTCTCAGATGTTCTTTCCTTTAAAATAATTACTCATTTTAGGAAATAAGCGTGTTGTATTAATAATAGTGGTCTGTCAAACATGTAAATCATAGAATGGTTGGGGTTGGAAGGGACCTTAGAGATCATTTAGTTCCAACCCCCCTCCCACTAGACCAGGCTGTTCAATCACTTATAGGTTTTTAAGGTAGGAATGATTGCCGCTAAAGTACAGATTCCAACATTTTTTAGGTATGCTACTTTCAAAATAGCCAAATAAAATTGATTTATAGGAGTTCCTAGGTAATACAGGGTTTCATACACCCACTGGTCTTTCTCTAACTCCATGAAAAGAAAATTAATCATCATCCAAAAATGTTCTCAATTCAGTGAGTTGTAAATTATATAGTAGCTGCTAAATTTTTTCACTAGGTTTTTTGGAATGCTGTCAAAATGCTAGGAATTTGCAGAATAAAGTGACATTATTAAGATTTGCCTGAAGATGGTTCAAATGTGAGATTCTCTCAAAATCTTGGTTCCTCCCACCTCATATTACTAAGTATACTTCAAGTTATGACATGGTGTGGCCTTCTTACTGAGGCATCATGTATTTCTAATGCTCTCATAGAGGTTTTTGAGAATTGGCATTCAAGATTAAAACTCTATTTTTAACATGCTAGTTTTCTGAAGGCCTTCATTTGTCTCACAACAAATGTATGTAGTTCTTCAGAAAACCAGTTCTAGTTCCTAAGTGATACTAATGGGTTTTTTAAATTATCTTTAATCTGATCTTGAAAAACAGCACAGCAGAATACTTAAAAGATATTCACAAAAATGAGCAAATATTTACCAAAGCCTTGGCACAGAAATACATTCGCCAAAGCCTAAGTACATGTTAGCTTTCCCTTCTCATCAATTTTTCAAATCTCCTTCTGCATGTTCTGTTGCATGTGTGTGTTACTGTAAATGCTAGGGATTCCTGTTTTTTTCTTTGGCTGCTCTTCATTTTTTAGCAAGGTGAATATAAATCTCTATTTTGAAATGTTTTAAATAGTTGCACTAAAATATCCATGATCCCTAAAAACCCTGCTTGTACTTTTTAGTAATTTTATTGCCATGCATAGAGTGAGATTTTTACTTTTAGTTACAACCAGAGTAGTATGTGGCTAAATAAGATTTATGAGCTTTCTCTGTTATCATCATTTAAACTTTAATTGAGCACCATTTTACTGTGCCTTTCTGGAGAATGACAGGTAACAGGTTGTAGTTTTGACTGTTTTGCCCACTACAGGTGACCAACTGAGTGCCATACTGAATTCCATTCAGTCACGGCCAAATCTCCCAGCTCCTTCCATCTTTGATCAAGCTGCAAAACCTCCCTCTTCCCTAGTCCACAGTCCATTTGTGTTCGGACAGCCCCTTTCCTTCCAGCAACCTCAGCCACAGCTTCAGAGTAAGTTTGTCAGCCTTACCTGCCTCATCAGTCCATTTCTGCAGCTTTGACATTGCTGTTCTCAGTTGCTTACCAGCTACTGATCATCCCTCAGTGCACCTTTCTGGTTTTGTTGTTTTACGTTTTCCATGATTCAGAAGCATGTGAGGTAATGCTCCTAAAGAAGTATACTTGTTCAACTTGAATTTTTATATTGACAGTATTTTGCTTTTGTATGTGTTTTTCACTGTAGACAAGTCATGAAAGTGCATTTTCAATACCGTATGCAACTTTGGGTTTATTATAAAGGTAAATATTTTATATAGTACAAGATGATGATAATTCTTTTAACATCAAAAATGCACTGCAGTAAGTTCATAAGTGTTAACTTACCTCCTAAATTCCTATTTTTGTCATTCCTCCTAACTTTAGGCCTGTAGCTGGACAGTGGGAACAACTTGGTACTGCTCATCAGAAAGGTTTTGGTAGTCTTCTGTTAGGTGTTCATAGGATTAGCATGGGCATGAAAGTTTGCACTTTGAGGTGAAACTAACCTGATTACTAATGGGAGGACAGGAAACTTTTTTGGTCATGAATAATGAAAGCTAAAAGCTCAGCTTTCATGATGGATAGCTGATGTTGCAATAAGTTCTTTCTTACATACCGAACAGTTATAGTATGGGTTACAGGAATACTAGTTTTCTCCTGTGTCCCATAAACTGCACTTCTGAAGTGCCTTAGTTCTTTCTTGTAGGACTCTGTCAAGTCAGTTCACTTTCTATGTCTATGCAGTCCTGGGTCTATCCAGCTCAGCTTATGAAGTGACAGTGAAGTTGCTTCGTGTGAGAACTTGTATAAAGACTATCAGAAGTATTCTGACTGTGATCTTCCATGATTATTCTGGACTTAAACCAATGTCCTGAAAGCAGAATATTCCAAAAACTACTCAGATAAAACAGCTGATCGCCAGTTGTATATTCTTCCCCATCACTTTCAGTTTTCTTCTCTTGTTCAGAGTAGTTAAGTCAGAGTTTCTTATTCAGCTTTGCATGAAAATAACTGTAATTGCCTTATCTCAAATTTCAGATGATTTGTCCTTTAGCATTTAGACCTACGTTGTATGAAGAGAAAAGCTGTCAGCATTTTTATTGACTGCCCAACAAGATCTTGCTCAGCGGGTTTGCCTGTCCCAACAGATTCAGATAAACTGTATTCAATTAGCTATATCCGTGTTTCATGTTCTAATGAGAATCCCTGATTCAAAAGGAAGTCCTTTTTTTGTCAGATAGGGGGAGCACTAGTAGTCTATCAAATAAAGCAACAATGAAAGTGGAAAAATTTTTCAAGTTTGTCTGATTTGGGATCTTAGTATTACTAAGACCTTAGTATAAGGTCTCAACTGATATGGTCATTTGCCCTTCCAGCAGGGCAAAACTCATCAACCAGAGGATACCAGAACTGATATGCTGTTGTGCTACTGTGATTTGATACAAGGATTTTCTTTCAAACAGTTTATGAAACATGTAATTAAAAGTTAAATCCATTAAATAACACATCCCAAGGGTCCATATTAAGTCAATTGAATTTTTGCTTTATCTAATGGACTGATGATAGTATAATAGGTGAAAGAAGTTGTGCCAGCCTAGATTTCCATGACTACAGAGGTTATATACTAAATACTAGTCTTGACTGAAAGTTAGCTTAAATAGTTCAGTCTACCACTTAAATTTTCTGTTCTTCCTCAGATATCTCTACCTCTGAGAAGAAATTTGATTGAAAAGTGTGATTCTGAGGAAAGTTAGGATCATGCTGAATATTTGTTTTGAATATCTAAAATATAGAATTATTTCCTTT